TGAATGCCACCTCTGATCCAGCTCCATAACTGTACAAAACCCAACTGAGGCCCACTCAGTCCCTTTATTGTACATTTCTTCTACATCAACAAACTGACATTTGCTTCTCCAGAGGGGCATTTCTTACCAACCCACAAAACTCTCATCTCCATATCCTGCCCAACCTGAAGCCCCACAGCTACTAATTCTGCTTTACTGTGATAATTCAAAAAATAGCTGACTCACAGAAATGTTATACGAAACGAAATAAGTTTGAGAGGGGATGTTTCATGTCAGAGATGACCTCCTTGCCCAGGCTCGCTCCCACTTTACCCTGAGCCCAGCAGAGGTTAGGGCTCCACGCCCTAAGAGTTGAGGGCAGAGAGGTTGCCCTTCTCCGGTTTCATTCAGAGGCTTAGCTCGGTCTCCTGCTCCCCACTAGAGCCGCCCAGGTGGGGTCTGTGGGCTGCCCAAAGATTCACGGGGAGAGGGGGAAATCATGTCAAAGTGAAGGTGACAGGCCTTTTGGCCGAAGGATGAAATAGAAACTTAAAGTTAAGCCACCCTTTCTGAAAGGCAGCTGAAACCAGGCTTCCCCTGAAATCTCCCTTCCTATTCCTTTGCCCGATGCAGCCTTTTTTTTTTTTTTTTTTAAATGCAGAATAGCCAATTGGACTCAGGCTCAATTGCTATAAAATGCTTGTTGTAATGAGCCAGCCTGGCCACAAGATGTCAGGATTGTCTTAGTCAAGAAGAATGACCTGGCCTTCCAGACTGACTTGCCTGGGATGCCTAGAGAAACCCAGCTAGTGGGCTCCAAGCCCTCCTTCCTTTGGCATCATTTATCTGACGCTGCTGGCACCCCAGAGACCATCATCCTCTCCTCCCCACCTCCACTTCTCCAGCCATCCCCCAGGTGGCTTTCTGGCACCTGACAAGTGCTGCCCAAAGGCAAACGGCCCTGAAAAGCGGGGGGGGGGGGGGGCCCCGGGGGGGGGGGGGGAGGGAAGGGGGGGGGGACAGAAGCAGAGGGGCCCCTCAACCTGCCTGAGGATGACTCACTACAGACAGGCTGTGTGTTTTGGAGGCAGATTTATGATTTACACATTTATGAAGCAAAGCAGGCAGAACTTGCCTTCCTGTTGTGCTCGGAGCCAACTGAGGAGAGCCTCAGGGGGGTCTCTTGCCCTGGTGGGCTTTCTCCTCCCCAGGCTGAGCAGGGCACCTGCAGGCCTTGAGCCATTCCTGATTAGGAAGGGGCGCCCAGCTGAATGAATATCAGACCTTCATGGGGGACAATCCTCTGCTCCCTTCCTCACTTATCTTACCTGCATTGCACAAATATGTGATCATGCAGATTTTTTTTGTAGAAGTGAAAATAGAATGGGATGATAAAGTTTGTTCACTGAACCATGAAAGAAGCGTGTGAATGCTCTCTATAACTGCATTTTCCCTGTAAAAGCAGAACATTCTGGCCATGGCAGAGAGCGTCAGATTAACTTCTTGCAACAACTTTACCTACATTTGATGAAATAAGGTTTTAGTGTATTTTCCAAGAGATCTTTCTGCAAACTGAACAATTTTTGTATGCTTTAATATACAAAAAAACCAGTGTTAATTTTATCCACCTGTGGAAAGGGAACTTCATGAGGACAGTGGTGACACCCAAGCAGGAAAAGCCCAAAGGGAACATCAGGCCAGCCATAAAACAAACTTGCATAGGAAAAGAGATTTAATAAAAGGTATTGAAAGAAGCCCCCTAGACAAAAGCCAAGTAATTAAGAAAACTAAGGAAACAAGAAAAGAAAACCCTTATAAACACAAGACATGCCAAATCAGCTAAACAAACAGACAAAAGACACAAAATATATTGCAAAGGAGACAGACAGGAGATTGCCACAAGAAAACATTAGGAAACTGATAATCCAATCAAACCATCCTGCAAAGTTTGCCTTCTGCACCCCAAGGAGTTTACCCTCCGGCGGAAATGAAGACAACCCCTGAAAGGATTTAAAACATTAAGAAATACAAACACAAGCACACACACACAAAATGAGAAAAAGGTATATAAATCAGGGGGCTTTTCATACAAAGCTAGCTAGCCCCAGGAACGCAGACTTCTTGCTATCTCTCGCCTTCCTGAAAAATAAAAAGAACCAGCTTCCAAGCAGTTGTCTGTATCCTTGCACCGGAGTTCTCCCAGCGGGAAAATTGAATCCTCAGAAGAAAGGCATTTTAAGCAGCCTTTCAACACACCAAAGTGCTTTTTTTTTTTTTTGCTTCTGTTCAACTGAATCCAATTTTTGGAGACTTCCTGGATGTATTTTCTTGGCAGTTTTTTTCAGAAATGATTGCCTCCTTCCTGGTGCTGAAAGAAGTGACTGGCCCAAGGTCACCGGGCAATCATCATACCCAACATGGCAATAGAGCTGAGAGTCTCCTGGTTTCTAGCCTGATGTCTTAACCCAGGAATCCTCAAACTTGACAGTTTTAAGACTTGTGGACTTCAACTCCCAGAATTCCTCCTCCAGTCATTTTAGCTGAGGAATTCTGGGAGTTGAAGTCCACAAGATCCTTGCCTTAACCACTACACCAAACTAGCTCTCAAAGTACTTTCAAAAAAACCATAAAGATTGACACCACCATAAACAGAGGTAATTTTATATTGTTAGCTTGAGTTTTGAAAAAGTTTTATGTATACAGTAGCATCCTTCATGGGAATCTTACATTTTTTGCAGCCCAGGCCGAAAGAAACTTAAAAGATCATCCTGCAAATGAGCCAGTTTTCTTCCTTGGCCTATTAATGTCTTCCAGCTTAGCTGGGGAGACCTTGAGGATCTTGGGAAGGCTATGGTTAAACCAGAGCGGCTAATAAGAGAGCTTTGTAAAACCATCTTACTGTAACTGAATTGGCCTGGCCATTCCTTACCTAGCAGAGTCTGCTACATAATGGCCGATCTGCAAAATCTGGGCTTAATCCCTCAAAACACTTCATTACACTGACCTCATTACACTGACCATCAACTTGATGGCACCATCAATCTCTGCTTGGAAATGATTAGAAGCATTTGGGAATTTACCCATCTCAACTACTCTGCGGGAGGATCGCCTGACCAAGGAAGGCAGGAGGGCTTCAGGACAAGCAGATGATCGAGGCCTGGGGGGAAACCCAGGGTGAGTCACCTAGCCCCAGCCACACACCCACATGCAGGCCAAGTGGAAGCACCGTGGGTGCTTGGCGTGGAACAGAGAGACTCACTATGAGCTGAGAGCCTCCATGACTGAATGAAAGACTGGGGAAGACATTCTCCTGGGAGGTCAACAGAGGAGAAATTTTAAATTGTGAAATTTGGCCCCTTGAAGGCTTGAATGCCAGCAGCAGAACTGGAGTAAAGCTTAGAGGCAACTTTTAATATAGCTGTCTCATCTTCCAGTTTCACCACAATTTCAGTCTTGCTCAAAATGTGGAATTCCCACTATTGTTTATATTGGTTCACATTCAGCTCGCCATGGTCCTCGGCTCTTGACCATCACTCTAGACTTCTTCTTTCTTTTGCTTATGGGCCTGGCGTGCTAAAATTGTACAACTGAAATGCTGTGTAATGACCACACTGTGAACACAATCTCCCATTTACATGTGAATAGACTCTGGTGCATGAAGAGTGGCTCTTTTGCATCAAAATCCCAGCGCCAAGTCCTCTCATGCATGGCTCAGCCAGCTCCACCATCCAGGTGGAATTCGTATCCTCCAATTATTCTGAATCACCTGGGGCTGTGGGAGGCTGCTTGTCCTATGGAGGAGAGTTGCCCTTGAGAGGGTGGTGAACTGGATTGCAGCCTTTCAGTACCCAAAAATTCATATCCAGAGAGTGGCACTGGAAGACTGAAGAGGAGCCGTGGTGGTGCAGTGGTTAGAATGCAGCATTGCAGGCAAACTCTGCCCGCTGCTAGGAGTTCGACCCCAATGGGACTCAAGGTTGACTCAGCTTTCCATCCTTCTGAGGTCACTAAAATGAAGACCCAGATTATTGGGGGCAGCATGCTGACATTGGTAATCTTCTCAGAGAGTGCTGTAGAGCGCTATGCGGCGATATATAAGTCTAAATGCTATTGATATATTCTGAACATCCAAGCCCAGGCAATCCTGTACAAAAGGGTGCAATTGGGAATGATGTAACCAGTGTTCATAATTTAGGTTTCAATATATTTGTTCTCCCACCATTTTAACAAATACCTTAAAAAGGGATGAGATGGGGCAAGAGAGCAAGTTTGAACAGGTGAAGGAAATTAGAGCAGCTGATTGAAAACTATATATTAATTTCACTCAACAAAGTAACCTTTTAGTGAGGAGAAGATGATGATAAAATTCTCCACCTTTCAAGGTGCTATGGGGAGAAGTGACCAATACTGGAGTTATCAACTAACGGATTGGCTATTTGGGCAGATTTTGTGGTGCAGCAGTCAGTCTCTCTTTTCTTTTTCATCTCCTTCTGCATTTCCTTAAACGGGGAAGAAGAATTATTTGCTTGGCTCGGCTGGCAGTCACATGATTGTTGCATGGACAGGTAACTATTTACATAAAAATTCAGGCAGACAGGGAATGCCTGGCTGTTGGGACTTCTAAGGTGATGGGTGGGTGGGCCTCTTTGCCAAGAAAAGCAACACCCCTGTTAAAAGCTCTGGGTTATTTCAAGAATGGAGAAACTCTGAGAAGCTCCCTGCCACAGTAAAGAAATGGAGGAACCATTTCAAAGTGAAAGAAAGAAAATCCTAGCCAGGAAGATAGTCGGCTTCCTCCGAGAAAGGATCCCACCCAGGGATTCCCAGTTGATGACCATGGGTCTCGGCCCAGTCATTTGTTTCAATACGGTCAGTTCCGCAAAGCCTGGCCAGATAATACTTCCCCCATTGCCTTTACTACCTCCAGCCGAGCTATGATTTATTTGCGTTCTTGAACTTCTGCTTTCGCCAGGAAATAAGCACGGCTGCCTAGTCAAATGAATAACAGGAAAGTTGTCAAAAACTGCTTTCCTTTTCTTGCTTAGAAATGCAACCAGCTCAGGACAAAACTTGCACAGGTAGGTCCAAATTTGCCCTCCTTGGGGTCTTCAGAAATTGCTGTCTCTGTAATGCTTGTAGAGTTGCTTCCAAATTAAACATTTGGAAAGAAGCTGGTGTTGCTGTGTAAAACAAGAGAGGTGGTTTTGAGCTGTCACCTGGGAGGAGTTGAACTTGCTAGTTCTGTGGAATTGGAGAGGTCACTGGTGCTGTTGGCCCAACCACCTGTGTTTAAGTCTATGTCCCTCCTGCCTGGTTAAAGCCTCTGGGGGAGGAAAGTGTGGTTGTGCTGTGGTTAACATTTCTGTGAGGTAGGGGGCATTAGTGAGAAAGTGGTGGGGGAGATGCAACTCTGAAGACCCCTAGCTCTAGATCCGGCCTCACAGCTCTCTCCTGCATCCGTACTGCATCCGGGACTGTGTCCAGTCTTGGTCACCAGAATACAGAAAAGATGCTCTGGAAAGAGTGTGGAGAAGAGCAACAAAGATGGTCTCCAGGAGTCTGGAGGCTAAACTGTATGATAAATGGTTGTGGGAACTAGGTGTGTCTAATCTAATGAAAAGAAGGACTAGGAGTGACATGATAGCAGCGTTCCAGTACGTGAGGGGCTGCCCCAAAGAAGAGGAAGGGGTCCACCTATTTTCCAAAGCCCCTGAAGGCAGGAGAAGAAGCAACTGATGGAAGCTCATCAAGGAGAGAACCAACCTACAACTACGGAGGAATTTCCTGACCATGAGAACAATGAACCAAGGGAATGACTTGCCTCCAGCAGTTGTGGGTGTAGATATTTAAATGTTTAGTTTATCTTGGAATTCTTTGGTTTGAGAAAGGAACTTGGCCAAATTACACTGTCTCCTTTCAAGCCTTGTTTGCTCTCCACTAAAATAGAAATATTAGAGGTTCTAAATGGCTCTTCATTTTGGAATTCTAACATCCTCCTCAGACATGCTTTTAAATATTACGGTGATTCAGTGTTACTTGCAGAAGATGATAACAAAAGGCAAACATTCAAATTACAAAGACAAATAATTTGCCAGGGAAAATCAGGATGCTCAAGTTTTAACCCATAGGAACTTGTGTGCAGGGCAGAAAGTCTTGCACAGAGCACAGAGCACAGAGCCTGTCCTTAAAGTGGGGTTCTGAAGCTGGGGTTTTATTTCTTGGTTCTTGAGGTTTCCTTCCCCTGTACAGTGATGTCTATGGGATGCTGTTGTTATTGTTTTTACTGTTTTGTAGCTATCTTCTTGTTTTCATCTTAGTTAACGTTAATCTGATTTTGCACAGAGTTACTTGAGAAATTGCTGACATGTCTATAGTTCACTTTTTTTTGCCCAAGTTATAAACGTAAATCAGAAACCATGTTTAGCCATTTACACTGACCGTCTTTTCTTGGTGAAGCCACAGGATGGCTGGTGATAATACAAAATGCAAGTGAGCAATGTGACAAATGGTACATTGCAGGCAGCAGGAGGTCGGTTTGCAAGATCTTTAGAACATGCCTGGGATAAAATTAGCTGTGCTGATATGCTATTCTGCTTCTTCTCATTTGTACTAAAATGTGTTAGGTGGAAACCATGATTTAGTGGTATTCATGGCCTATCTGGTGATGAGTCTGGCATATGAAAGACCAAGTCTTGACTTGGAAAAAGAATATAAAAAGAAGAAGACGTCTTGTGTGTTTATGAAACTCAAAGAAAGGGGAAGGCCATACAGGACTAGCTCAGAATGAAACGAGTCTTATCAAATGGTGGGTGCAAACACTCATGGAAACAGCTATTTGTTAGACATTAAGTTTCATACACACACACACACACACACACGTATGTATATGTATATGTGTATGTGCATATCTTCTCTCTATACCAATGACTGCATCTCAAAAGAACCCTCTGTTAAAATACTGAAGTTTGCAGATGATACAACAGTGATTGGTCTCATTCGAGATGATGATGTATCTGCATACAGACAGGAGGTTGAACAACTAGCCTTGTGGTGCAACCAGAACAATGTTGAAGTAAATACACTCAAAACCATAGAAATTGTGGTAGGTTTTAGGAGAAACCCTCCTATACCACCACCACTTACAATACTAGACAACACAGTATCAACAGTAGAGACCTTCAAGTTTCTAGGTTCTATCATATCTCAAGACTTAAAATGGACACCTAACATCAAAAACGTCATCAAAAAAGCACAATAAAGATTTTTTTTTCTGCACCAACTCAGAAAGTTCAAACTGCCCAAGGAGCTGCTGATCCAGTTCTACAGAGGAATTATTGAGTTTGTCATCTGCACCTCTATAAGGGTCTGGTTTCGCTCTGCAACCAAACAAGACAGACACAGACTTCAACAAATAATTAGAACTGCAGGAAAAACAATTGCTACCAACCTTAGATATATGAAGATCACGTGAAGTGTTGATACTGCTTTATACTGAACTGGTGAAGACACACTTGGAATGTTGCTTCTAGTTTGGGTCACAGTGATAAAAAAATGTGTTGAGATGCTAGAAAGAGTGAAGAAAAGAGCGATAAAGATGACTGGGCTTCTGGAGGCTAAACTGTATGATGAAGAGTTGTGGAAAGTAGGTATATCTGTCCTGTCAAAGAGAAGGATTAGAGGTGTCACGATAGCTGTCTTTCAGTACTTGAGGGGCTGTCCCAGAGAAGAGGGCTTGTTGGCCTATTCTTCAAACTATCAAGCAAGCTGGCAGATCTTTAAAGAGAGATGGAAACTTATCAAGGAGAGACCCAACCTAGAATTAAGGAGAAATTTCCTGATACTGAGACAATTAACCAGCTTGGCTCCAGTAGTTGTGGGTGCTCCAACACTGGAGGTCTTCAAGAAGAGACTGTACAGCCATTTATCCAGAATGGTATAGGCTCTCCTGCCATGGGCGAGGAGTTGGACTCAGATGTGGCATATTCAGCAGGTTCTGACCACTTCTGGAGAACCGATAGCGGAATTCTTGAGTAGTTCGGAGAACCAGAAAATCCCACCTCTGACTGGAGGTTTTACAGTATCCTTCCCCTGCCATGCCCACCAAGCCATGTCCATAGAACCGGTAGTAAAAAAAAATTGAATCCCACCATTGGTTGGACTAGAAGACCTCCCTTCCAATTCTGTTATTCTATGTTTTTGTTCTGTTTTCTTCCAGATCATTTTGTCCAAAGCATGGAACCTGTGCTAGAGCTACCAAAGGCCTTGGAAGAGAAAGCGGACTCACCAGGTGAGCATGGAAGCCAGGATCTCACCTGTCCCAAAGGAGGCAACGGGGCAGCGGTCAAAGGGCAGCCTTCACACTGTGGCGAAGAGCCTCCGTGCCAGCAGCTCTCCTTCCGACAGGAGACCCTGGACCAGCAGATCTTGGAGTACATGGAGGTGGCTCTTTTCCTGAGTCCAGAAGAACAGCAGAGGCGATGGCTTGCCATTCTGACCACTTTTCTGAAGGTTAGTTGGATTTCACATTATTGGATATTTTCAACAGAAGGACGTCCAGCTGATATCCATAACAACAAAGAAAAAAGGAAAAAAGCAGAAAGGAAATGGCTACCTGAAAGGGCCTCAGGGAAGGTGGCGTTTTACGTCCGTTTGGAATCAGCAGCTGGTTTCAGGTTGGGAGGCAGCGTCATTCAGTGGATTGTTTAAGAACTGCTTGATGGAACAAGGACCCATAGAGGGAACACTGGAAGTCTTGGAAATGTTTAGCAGAGAGAGGAAACTAAAGCTGCCTTCAGATAGTGCTGCAGAATTTCTTTAGTTCCACTCCACTCTTGCGATCTCTCCTGTCATTGTTGTTACTTCATTTACTTTAACACAGGACAACATTCAGGCCTATGTAAAGGGACCTAGACTTACTTCACCCGTGATTGGTGCTGTGGAAGTGTCAACCTTTTGCTGAGGTGAAGCCAAAAAACACCGATTTTCAAGTCAGCTACATTTGCACTTGATTTTAAACTTATTTTTGTATCAGTTGTTCCTTTTAAGATTGATTTTGGGATAACGGTATGATTATGGCAGCTGAGTTGTTGAGGATCATGCAAGCTCAGCTTCATAACACCTCAGAAGTATTTTTGCTACAAATGATGCCATGGATCAGATGGAGCTGAACAGGGGTTGTTGTTAAGGGTTCATTAACAGAATGTGGCAATGTTGCTTAGCTGTGGCTTCTAATTAGCAACGAAGGAGCAATTTGCACTCCCTCTGCCTAAACTTGCTGACCAACTTCCAAGTTCTTTGTACAAAAAGTTCCTTAAATCCAGCATGGACCTAAGAGAACGCTGCACCTAAATGACAGCACACAAACGTTTCATGCCACTAACATTTCAGAATATTCTCCTTTTGCTTGATCTGATTTGTGACGATTTAAGCTTTGGTGGTTTTCTGTTGTAGTCTGTTGTATTTTTATACTGATGGCTCGTAACCAAAAAACAACTGTAAAAGTACAGCTGACCAGACCAGCAATTGTGTTGGGAGTTACTGGCCTAAAAATTAATTAACTTATTTAAAGTGTTAGGGCATATTTGAATTAACACCCAGTGTATATGGAGAAATGGGGCTGCATGTCTCCTTTCTCTCTATTGTTCACCAGTTCAAAGCTGTTTGATGGACACCTGCTGGTGAGCTACAGATCCTCAAAGGCTATAAAGATGGGTTGGGCCTCCTCAGCGTGCCTTTAAATTGAGAAGAAGGCCCTGGGGAAAGCAGCCACTGGGACGGTCCAGGTGCTGAGCCTGGCCTGAGTAGGGATGTCCAATTGAAGATGGCTGTTTGGATGACCTAGTTGGCTTCTCTGGCTCCAGGAGAACCCATCCTGGAAGGTGCTGGGAATGCAGTAGTTGTTAGAAAGCCATGGTAGTTATCCTACTTTCCTCAAAGAAGGACAATCCTGAATTAAGAAGCTTCCAGCTGAGAATAAAAATCAGTCAGGGAAAAAAATCATTCTGGTAGGGAAAATTACCAAGTCAATGCATTGAATGACATTTTTTTTTTTGACATTACAAAAAACGTTTTAGGCCTGTGAGCAGTCAGATGGCAGCATCTATTTTCCAAATATCCAGCTTTTAGCAAGTGAAACTTCGAGTTTTCTGGTGAAAGAAATCAAGAAGAAAATGAATGGAAACTCAGTAGGTGAGCCTCTTTATGTATTTGACCTGCCCCCCCCCCCCCCCTGCTTTCTGATTTATCTTCTTGTTGAAAAGATCCGTGCCAGCCGTGTCCACCAGCAGGCATTAAAAACTCTTGCCTTTATAGCTCTGTTTTGTTCAGGCCGGGTCAGGATACCAGTTCATTCCTTTAGGGCACGACAGAAGGAACGATGAGGATACGGAACGGGAGAATTCTGTAAAAATTGTAAGCAGCCACAGACTAATAGCGGAACAGGACAAGAAGATTAATATAGTACTAGATATGGCTGCAGGGGAAATTCTCAGAGTTGGCAAGGAGCCAGGAAATTATGCTGCTTTCCCAGAACGGCTGTAATGTGGTGGCTGTTTTATACGGCAGTTATTTCTGGTGTGTTGAATGGATTTCTGAATGGTTGGTGGTAAGCACGCATGCAGAGCGTAATGGTGTTCTGCAGCCGCGTGGTTCTTCATGTTTGCCTGGAGTCCATCTCCACTGGCCCCTCTGCCATTCACTGACCCTCTTGTTCCTTTCTTGCATGGTGTGAATATTGGCTGCCACAAGAACAGAAGACGCTCGACTGCTTGTGTGGCAATTTCTGCAGTGGAAGGGAGAGCTGGAATCTGATGGTTACCTGCTGCTAAAATCAATCTACTCTCTTTCACTCTACACCTCGGTAAGAGAAAGACTTAAAGAATTTAAGGATGTGCATTTTCAACAACATAGTCCCTGTGGGCTTTCCTACTGCTGGCAAAATGGAGGATTATCTCCCCAGTTGTTTGAAACAAGAGACCTGCTCCATCTTATGGGCATCGATGCTCCAAGAGTGACTCTTGGGGCAAAAGCCACGGTTTTAGTGGTATGGCAGCTGTGCCAGCTTGTCTTCCGTTATTACTGAGGGCTCTTTTAAGACCAGTAGGTGTTCTGGAAAGTACGACTGCCTTGGCTGCATAGAGTAGGACAGAGTTGAGTTTTCTGGATTATTGCTCGGGAGTTGAGCGGGGAGGCAATGCACAAGCAATCAGGCAACTCCACACCATGAAGGAGCTTTAAGTGCCAACTGTCCAAATTTCTTTAACAGTCCAGTCAATTTTGGAGAATAAGAGAGCCTGATGAACAACAAGCCACTTCCATTTAAACACTTTCCATGAAGGTACAGAACTTTTAAGATCACTGTATGTGATCCCCACCCCCATATATAAATGTGTTTTTTTTAATTCTAGAGTTTATTGGGTTTCTGTTGTGATAATGAAGCTGGAATAGTGATTTGGAATGTTTAGACACTCAGAATACCAAACAAGTTGCAGATCAGCAGCTCTGAGAAGGAGAAGCTACTAGTCTGGGGTGAAATTCAAAAAAAAAAAAAAAGATTAGTCAGGACAGGAAACACAGAAATAAAGAACAAATTTTCAATTGAAATTGAAATTGAAAACTTCATATGCTGTAAAATAAAAACGTACTACAAAAAAAAAAAAAAGAAAGAAAGAGGAAAGAACCGGCAAATAATGGAAGAAAACAGAGAAGAAGGTGGACACCAAACTTTGGAAAAAGTACCAAAGGAAAAATTGCAAGAGGAGGTCAATAAAAAAATCCAGAACAATGATCTGTACCGCTTTTCTGATCAGTCTTATTTTTTCTCACTAAAAATGCTCCCTGGGAAGATTCTGAAATTAGCATCAAACATGGCGTGCTTTTTCTTTGGGGCAGGAACAGGAAGTCCGCTGGAGTTTAATCAAGTCTGGGTTGCCTGTGACGATGCTGCAGTGCCTCCACCTCTTCTTCGTGTCTCCCCTGGAAGCAGCTCCTGGGGGCAGGGAAGAGGAGGACCAGGCCCCACAGAAGACCCAAGACATGCTGGTGCAGGTGGGTAGTGGCAGCTGGACCTTGAAAGGCCATCTAAAAATAGACTAGAAAAAGATGTTTTGTTTGTTAGGATTCCGGCAGTTACTCCAATTAAATCATGAACCTCGAGCCATACTCCCAAAACTTGAAAGAATTTATTAGAAGTTAACATGCCGGCATTAGCCTGGGTGTAGCCGACTTTGAGATACATAATTCACTGTCACCCTTGATCCTGCTTTCCCCCCCACCCCTCTGGGTGTATCATCCAACAAAACACATCCATAGCCAAGAGTCATCAATCATGCTCTCCAATTAGATTTTTGCATGGCAGAAGCTTCAGTCATCTAATCAGTCTCTGAAGAAAATATGAATGGAATGTACTTTCGATTCCACACTGCTGCCTGCTCTTTGAAACTCCCCCCCCCTTTCTGTTGACAACTATAAAACATGTATACAAAATGTTTTATGAGTTGACATTGTCCTTTAAAAAAAATATCCAGGATTTGCTTGGCAAGTTTTATTTGAATCAAATAGTGGCATTATTGTTCTTATTTACTTTTAGACAATGGTCAATATTTATGCAGAGAAACAAGGAGTAGAGATGCTTCTCATGTCCAGCCATCTTAAATCTTTGATCCTAGCCAGATCCTCCCTCTGGGATCAAGGCAGCCCTGCTTGGAAACAGCCTACAAGCCAAGTGCTACGGACGATTTCAAAGGCCCTTTCGGAGACCACCATTTCATACCTGCAAGGTAACGGGGCCCTAACTTCCCCTGTCCTCAGTTCATGAGGACTCAGCCTCTGTGGAGCCCCTCATCCTTGCTCCCTTCATGACCCATGGGAGGGAGGGGGGCTTGTCAAGACGTCTTTGTCTTAATTCTTCATAATTACAAATGATTCTTTGTTTTCTAATGGAGCACAATTGCACCCCCCCTCGCCTTTCCATCCACTGTCCTCTCTCTGTTTTGCATTATGTGTTTTTCTTTCCTGAAATGCGCAGGTTCCGTTTTACCTGCAAGAGCCTGATAATTGTTTCTAAATTTTCTGTGCAAAACATTTTCTGCGCCTCTTGCTTTGTGGATGTTACTTCCATGCAGGGAGGAAGCTTCTTTGCTGGACTGCATTCATGGAAGTTGTTTCTGTTATCCACTTACCTGGCACTCCGCTCTTGGAATTGATAAAAACCAGGGATGGGATTCAAATTTCTTAACAACCGGTTCTGTGAATGTGGCTTAATGTGTGGGTGTGGCTTGCTGGCTGGGCGTGGCTTGGTGCTCATGTGACTGGGTGGGTGTGACCAACCTGTGCCTCACCTGGCCCCTCCCAGCATTCCTTGTCACACCCAGCCTCAACTTTATAGTTCTGTAAAAATGCTGTTCACCATTTTTTGACTTTATTATCTACGTGCTATAGATGTACTTTCATGGGCCACTGAAGGGAGGAAATGGCTCACATGCTTTGCTCAAGAGTGTGATAGGCAACAGGCTTTTAAGGGGCTGCCAGAAAGAGGGGGAGGGGGGGGGGCAATGTATTTTCCAAAGCACCAGAAGGCAAACAAGAAGCAATGGATGGAAACTGAACAAAGAAGCAGCAACCTAAAACTAAGGAAACATTTCCTGACAGTGAGAACAATTAACCAGTGGACCTGCTTGTCTCCAGAAGTTCTGGGTGCTCCAACACTGGAGGTTTTAAAGAAAAGACTGGACAGCCATTTCTCTGAAATGGTATAGGGTCCCCCCCAAGGTCTCTTCTAGGTGTTATTCTGACACCTTTCCCAGGATCTTCACTCAGAGTTTGGCATCCTCAGTTTTCCTGCCTGAGCAGGGGGTTGGACTAGAAGACCTCCATAATCCCTTTTAACTCTGTTAAACACACATGTATTTATGCTCTGGACTATAGACATGTAAACCCTGAAAAATACCTGGGCAAAAGATAAGCAGTAAAATCACTCTAGGTGTAGGGACAGTGCAAAATATTAATATATGATAAATAAAGGTACAATTTCTTTCTTTCTTTCTTTCTTTCTTTCTTTCTTTCTTTCTTTCTTTCTCTTTCCCTCTCTCATTTCTTCTTTTTCTCTCTTTCCCTCTCTTTTTCTCTCTCCCCCCCCTCTCTCTCTATCTGTGTGACTCTCTATGGCTCTCCCCCCCATATCTCTCTGTGTGTGTCTCTCTCTCTGCCCCTCTCCCTATCTTCCCCTCTCTCTCCCCCTCTGTCTCTCTGTCTCTCTCTCTCTTTCAAAGACATGGCTGGGCCAAGCCAGCAAGCTCTCCTTGGCGTTCTTTGCTACTTCTTTCATTTCTTCTTTTTGGAATCCAGACTGGCTGAACAACGATCGGCAGCCACAGTGGAAGCATCCCTTTGGGCGATCCTCCTCCTCCTCCTCTCATGACTAGCAGCTGTGGTGGGGCAGGGGGGGTGCACACACGCGGGGATGCTCCTCAAGCGAACAGCCACCCGCCCCGCACCCACTTTTTCTGTGCTTTGGCATTCACTTGAGGAGCGTTTCCCCGTGCATGTGCACCCCCCACCCCACCACAGATGCCAGTCACGAGAGGACTTCTTTCGCTGAAGAGAAAAGGAGGGGGAATTTGCCCCTTCCTGGCTTGATACGAAGACAAAGGAATCCTGCCTCAGTAAAGGAAGAGGAAAAAAAAAAGGATCGAAGGAGGCAAATTTGATTGCCTTTGAAAGCCAAAGCATAGGATATTTGAAAAGTCTCTTCCATAAAAGGGGAAGGGGAGGATTCTTGCCACTCCCTGCAATTCAAACTGAGGCACAGAGCTTAGCATTCCACATTCACTCCTGCCTTCAACATTACTTTGCTTTAATAGAAATCCAAATTAACTGTCTTTATACTGATAGGCTTCAGGACTTCAAATAACCATCTTTTTACTATTCTGTATCCTGTACAGATGCAAATAGATAAACTCCACAAAACATCCATAACAAAGTACTTTTATTGGTTCATCAGGTATCCTCATAACTCACATTTGAGATGAAGTTCTTCTTTAATGACCAATCCTTTGCATATCTGTCTTGTAGGTAAAAAGATGGTTTATCTCCTATCCTTTTTCTCTCATCTTGTAATGATGGCTTGGTGGCTTGGCCCAGCCATGGCTTTGAGGGACACACACACACACACACACACACACACACACACAGAGAGAGAACGTTCCCTTGTCTCCCAGCCAACACTGCCATGGCCCTGCGGCTTCTTTGTGGCTGGGGGAGAAAGAGAACATTCCCTTCTGGCCTTGCAGTGGGGAGGCAGCTAGCTAGCTAGGACATGGCGAAGCAAGCCAGTCATGCCCAGGGACGGGCAGGAGGGACATCGCAGCGGCCTAGACTGGCCCAGGAGTCGACTCGACCGGGCCATGCTTGTAGGCTCATTCACCCAAGGAGATCAGGGCCATGGTGGGAAGCAGGCAGCAATGGCAGGCGAAGGCAGGTTAGCAATGGCAGGCGAGATGAGGAATAACTGGGTGGGGCAGGGTGAGTGGGCGGGCAGGAAGGGCCGGGGCCAGCCAGGGGTGCAATTTACCGGTTCTCTGAACAAACTCTGAACAACTGGTTCTACCGAACCGGCCCGAACCGGTAGAATCCCACCCCTGAAAAATACTTTTACATTTTTTTTCATCAGCTGAAACATGGCCATATTTGGTGGTCATTTTCTTCAAGTACCATTACAAGCTTGCAAGCCACAACTGCAGGTTCACCATCTCTCTTGCTGGTCTTTCATGCTGTGTGATGGGAAAAGTTTCTTAAGCTGGCTGCCACCCCAGGCGTTGAACGGTTGACAGTTGGCGTTATTTCTCTTTTAGCTTTGGGCTGCTTCCCAACTTTTCATAGAGTTCGGATTAGATTAATCCAATCTGAGCAATCCAGCAGGGTGCTGACCCTTTGACTGGATCCAGTAAGGCTCTAATTATATTCTTACACTTATCCTTTCTTGATTTAAACATTATCTTTTTCCAGTTCAGAGGTTGTAGGTTATATTTTGGTATCTCTGAAGCTTAATGTAAATTCACCTTATGGTGCCGGAAGAATAAGTAGAAATTTCTATAAAACAGAGTGAGGATGACTATAATCTTACATGTGGCCATTACTTATTACATGCAATACTTTTCTATCTACAGATTCCATCAAAATGTCTATCCACAATTTGTCAGAGCTTGATGATTCCTTGCCTACTTGGGAAGTATGTGAATCCATCAATATTATCCTGCATTTTGTGAGGAATTCCTATCTGATTTCCCCAGCCTTGCTTTTGGAGTTTGAGAACAATGGGGGCCACCAGCTGCTGTTGAAATTTTTTTTAAGGCAAGTCAATTGATAGTATAGTAGCTGCCAAGATGTGCCGCTAAGAGATTTTTGCCTCACTGTTTTATTTGGGGGGGAAATACTTTCAAGTATCTTTTAACATTCATGTATCCTTGTAAATGCACATTTCTTTCCAGCGATGGAATTCAGATTGTTGGTTAAACCATTCTGGACAAAGATTGCAATAACATGGTGCATCTTAAATGCAGATTATTCAGTTTTCTTCTATGGACTTTCCCTTTAAACTCTGGACAATTGTTCTTCAAGGATAGACTTTAATATCTTTATCCCACACTTCTTGCAAACATAAATCAAAGCTTGTGCCTTTTTCTAGGCACGTTTGTCACGTGTTCAGGACAGACCAAAAGAACACAATGGTTCATAATATCAGTAGATCAACAACTGTAGGCTCATCCTGGCTAAAGCTGAACAGTGCATACCATGGGGCTTCCCCCCGCCCAAATAAACTGTCCTAATGCGACACTAGGACTCCTTCTCCATCAGGGGCACCGGGAAATCAGAGAATCTGAGCAGAATCTCTTTGAGAGGGAAACCTAACCCTTCGCCCCTTCCAAAACTCACTTCAGGAAGACACCAACCCTTTCCCCAAAACCAGCAGCCTCCTGATCAACCAAACTTTAAGGACAAAGAGGTATTCTTCTAGGGCCATGATAGCGAACCTATGGCACATAAGCCATTTGTGCTGGCATGCGAGCAGCGGGCAAACTTACCTCACTGTGCATGCGCACACCTCACAACTGATTTTCGGTGGGTTTGAGGCCTTTTTCGGCCTCCCAGAGGCTTGAGGAAGGCTTCTGCAGGCTTTGCAGGCCGAAAACTAGCCCTGTTTTGTCACTTCCTGTTTTTCTGAAAATACCAGAAGTGACGAAATAGGGCTAGTTTTTGGCCTGCAAAGCCTGCAGAAGCCTTCCTCAAGCCTCTGGGAGGCCAAAAAAGGCCTCAAACCAGCCAAAAATCAGGTATGAGGTGCAAAAATCAGGTATGAGGGGGTGGGGTGGGTGGGTAGGGGTGAATGGGGATTGCACATGCATGCGTAGGGGACAGGGGGGCACACATTGCCTTCTAAGTGCTGGTACATGAGCGCAAGAGTGCAAGCGTGTGCACAGTTTTTGCCACAGGAGCCCAAAAAAGGTTAGCCACCACTGTTCTAGGGCTTCACAGAGTGTGAGAAGTGATAATATCACCTTATACTGCACTAGTGAGGTCACACTTGAACACAGTGTCCAGTTCTGGTCACCATGATACAACTAAGAGGTTAAATCCTAGAAAAAGAGTGCAGAGAACAGCAACAACGATAAAATGAGGGGGCTGAAGGGAGGTTAAGGGAGGTATGTCTAGCCTATCAAAGAGGAGGATTGTGGGGGACAACACGTAACTGTCTTCCCGTATTGAGAGGCGGCCACAGAGAAGAGGGGATGGACTTATTCTCCAAAACTCTTGAGGGACAGGGGAAGAAGGAAAGGGGGGAATGCTTGCAAAAGAGAGAGATCCAACCTAGAACGAAGGAGATATTTCCTGACCGTGAGAGTCAATGGAATAGTTTACTTCCCAGGATTGTGGGTGCTCCATCACGGGCGGTTTTCAGAAATAGGCGGCAGCCTTTTCACTGGGATAGCAGTATAGGGTCTCCTGCCTTGAGCAGGGCTGGGACTAGAGAGGCCTCTGACGCCCTTACCAGTTCGGTCATTGTGTATGGCTTCTATATTCCATGCTTGCGTGCAAACTGGTTCTTCCGCCTATTAAGTATTCCAGTTGTGTTTCCAGATTTGAAGGGCCACTGGACAAAAAAGAAAATGCCAGCATAAAAGAAACATTGGACTTACTGACACAATTGACACTTTGTGGGGAAACTGAGCTGACTGTTTCAGGCAATATAGTATATCCACAACTGCCACAGTTTAATGAGAAACTGCCCCTTTCTTCTGGTAAGTAACTCAGATAGGAGTGAGTTAGGACATTTAAATCAATGGCATGCAAATATAATAAAATATGTCATATAGAATATTTTAATATAGTCTAATAAATGGAAAGGGGTGGGGGAGAAACTGCCAATAATGCAAAATGCCATGTATTGTTGGCTTACTGACCACAAACATGACTATTCAAGAAATGCAACATAATTTTGTTTCAAGAGAATTACATTTTTACATTGCATTTACATTTTCTGGTTTCATTGTTCCTTATAAAATGGAAATTAAAAGCTGAATTCTTTAGAATAGACTTGAGCAGAGATTATTTTATTACAAAAAATGGCAATACAGATGATTACTCTGCCTTGAGTGTTTATAAAAGTAAAAATGGGACATAAATTAGATAAAACAATAAGTGTCCTTTATCTCTGTCACCAGTAGCACCAGGTAAAAATATACTTCTAAATAAAGATTCCCAAATTCAATTAAATTGTTCTTTAAAAAAAAGATTATCGTACAATTAAATAACAGCTTATAGAATAGGTTGTATTTATTGAACATGTAAGAGCTGTGGTGGTGCCATGGTGAGAATGCAGTATTACAGGCTAACTCTGCCCACTGCCAGCAGTTTGATCCTGGCCGGCTCAAGGTTAACCCAGACTTCCATCCTTCCGAGGTGGGTCAAATGAAGATGGTTGGGGTGGGGGTGGGGGCAACAGGCTGACTCTGTAAACAGTTTAGAGAGGGCTGTGAAGCACCGTGAAGCGGTCTATAAGTCTGAAGGGCCCCTGCTGAAAGTAAAATGCAAAGGGACTTTCCTTCATGCTGTGCTTAAAGAGAATGTGGGCGGGTGGAAAAGGGTCCTGACCAAGAGACGCTCTATGAGGGCCCCTTGAAAAGGACATGCAGGCTTCACCTGGGGAAGATTAGCAAGGGCCACCAGGAGGACCTCATGGAAGACAGGCTTGCTTTCCTTGCTTTCCGCTCTAGAGACCCAGACGAAGACAAACGGCTGCAATATAATACATTTTCCTAGATTTAGCACAAGGAAGGGAGCGACGATAATTTTAAAATTGTCACAGAAATTGTTGACAGGAGCATTGTTTCCACAGGAAAAAGAATAAGGAACCTGAAAGCTTTCCAAGTACTAGAACTGCTTTTTCAGAGATCCAACAACCCAAATCTCTGCCAGTACATTTTGCTTGTCCTGAAATCCATCTGGACGTGGGACCCCATGAACTTCTTCCTGCTTGAGGGGTCTCTGCAGCCCATCTGCCAGTTTGTGGGGATCATCCCTCTGAAGCCCTTCCAGGTCCAGGCTCAGTTCTTCCAGCTGGTGGAGTCCGTGGTGGAGGACCTGTCTTACATCCCCCACGAGATCCTGAAGAAGGTCCAGGGCCTGATCCATGAGAACGCCGAGCCCTCCTGCGCCTCGCTTGCCTTGGGCTGCCTCCACAGCATCGCCCAGAGAGACCCCCTCTTGACGGATGTCTTCAGGGACTCTGGACTTTTAGGAATGCTGCTTGTTCAGTTGCGTAAAGAAGCCAAAAGGCTGATAAAGAAAGGTATCGTGCATATTCCATAAATGCAGGCTTTTCTAAATCTTTTCCAAACTCTTCCTGCTGGGAATGGATTGCCCGCAGCTCCACCTCTTTCTCTGGTTGCCTCTGGTCTGTAAGAGCCCCGCTTTGACCCCACACCTAGACAATCTGCCCCGTGGGACGTGCTGCTTCCTCCCGCTGGACCTTCTTTTAGTGCCAGCAGAGGTTGGACACCCTGCTCGCTTTTTAGGGGAATGGAACATTTGCACAGAGAAACTCTCGCTTCCTTCTCCTTTCCCTCCACCATTCACGGTATAAAAGCAGCTGCCTGTCAGGGGCTAATCTGAGATGTTACCTGCTCAGACCTTCATTGGATCCTTCCCCTCCCCTCACCATCCTTGTACTTTTGTTACTTTCCCCCACCCCCCCCCCTTTTTTTGGGCCCCTTTTTGCTCCCCCCCCCCCCCCCCAATTTCCTTAACCAAACCCTGGCGTTTCTTCTTTTCCAAATCTGCTGCCTCTCCTCACCTCCTCCTGAGGCAGCAGGTCCAAGGGAGCTCTGTCATTCTGAGGATTTATTTTCCTGGTTGTGGGAAGGGCAGCCGCCCCCACCCAACGCTGCTCATGAGGAAATGGGCCTGGTTTCTTGTCATGCAGGAAGCACTCAATCAGGTCCTGGGGTGTTGGAACCTGAGGGTCTCCTCCTCAAATGGATTCTGAAGATGGCAGCCACTCTGGTGGTGGGATCTGTCAGGAACACAGGTAAAGCTTCACTGGCCACAAGGTGAGGGTGGCAGAATACTAGTTCATGGGAAACGTCCTCCTGCTGAGCCTGAAGCGAGCGGATAGTCCTGTCCCCTGGTGGATATTTGCTCTTCCAGTCTTTGCACTGCTCTGGTCTGTGGAAGATTCACGATTCAGGAACCTCCCCATGAAAACAAGGACAGGCCGCCGGAAAGGAAGAGAGGCAACCTTTCCCCTCCTTGCTTTCTAAAGACAATTTCCCAGCAAGCGTAGGGACTTAGGGACCTGGCTGTGGATTCAGAAAAATCTTACAATTTTAGAGAAACTGTAAGGCGATTACAGATTAATTTGTGCACCATAAAGCATGCTAATGTTGGGTTAGGCTAATTCAACAGAGGAAAAGCAATTCCTTTTTCCTTTTCATGGAATCTTAAAGAAGGCCCAGATAACACAATGCTATTTTGGTCTCCATTTGTGTCTTTCCCTTCATTTTTCAACATTTTCCTAAGTTTTCTTAATCAGAAAAAAAAAAAAAAAAACCACCTTGAAAGAGGGGCAGAATTGAAAACATTTTCATGGACATTAGAATGGCCATGGCAGGCCATCCAGAGATGCTTTCCCATCTTTCAGTGGAAAGAATTCATACAGTGAGACAGGAAGAGCAGAGGTGGTCTACAAAGAACTGTGGGATCCTTAGGACCCCAGAGCTAAATACTCTGGAAGTATTAACAGGGTGGCCACAGCAGCATCAGCCACGGTGGCTTACTCCAAGGAGGAAATACTTAGAGCAAAAGGTTGAGAAGGAGGTAGCACCACAACTTTGGCATATATTAACAACACCAATTTTTCAGGAGTGGGGGAATAAATATCTTAAGATTTCACGTAAGCCTTAAGCCTTTCGTACAATGCTGCATTCATTGTATCCCTCAATGAAATTTAATTATTCTTGTAACTGATCTATGAATCTGGTCATATATTATAAAATAATCTTTGAAATTATTGTCATCAAGTGACCATCCTTCACATTCTGCTTAGAACATGGCTTAATAGCAAGTTATATGTGCGATTTCTCAGTGATTCTCAGGGACTACGGCATGGTGCCCTACATCAAGATTTATGTGGATAGCGAGCTGTACCGAAGAGACGCCGTGAAGATCCTGGAGCAGTTGTCCATCGTCAACCCTGAGGAGTACATGAGCTCCATTGTTGGGGCTCTCTGCTCCTCTACTCAGGGTGAACTACACTTCAAGCTGGATCTACTTAAAGTAAGGAATAGTAAATGCCAAGATCTATCTTATTTGGGGGGGGGGGGGGAATCAATGGTTGGGCTTTGTTCCTCCACGTGGCCATGAATCAGAGGGAAGTTCTAAACTATGGAAATATAGAAAACTGACTCTATAGAGTCTATAGAAAACCCTAAAACTGACTCTAACTGAAGACTGAAAATACAATTGGCCATTAGGAAGAATTACCTGGTCGTAAGTCCTGCCTGAGAGTGGGTTGTCTTGTGAAGTGATGTGTCTGCCTTCCTTGAAAATCTTCCCAAAGAGGGTGGGTGGGTACCCATTCTAAAATCTCTAGTAGATCCTGCAGGGATCAGGGGTTTGCACAAAGAGATTTCTCGGTGAATGAGGTGTACCTGTGCATCTGGCAAGTGCTGTCCCTGAAGATATGATCCAATATCGGATACGTTTCTTGGCCTCTAAAAAGTTTCCTGCTGCTGCAGTGGTCAATAACTACCTAAAGGAGGTCAACGGTCCATTAAAGGGATCACAGGCGAAGACCCTCAAGAGCGATTATCCTTTTCAGTGGCCTCATGAACAGCCAAGGTTTGATACAGTCCTCAGGGATCCCAATCTGGAGCTTTTGTAAGGCCAAGAAGGCTTAAAATAAGATGAGAATGATTATTGGAGGAGAGAGAGAAGATTTAGCTGGTGTGGCTATTTTTATTTCAGTCTACCGTTATCAGGAGGCCTCAAAATATGAAGTGGTAGAGAAGAAGAGGAGGCTGCTCTCCGGGACATGACCTCCTTGTCCAATTTCCACAGGATCCATTAGGCCACAGTGAAGAACAGGAAGTTAGTCAAGAGGCCCTTTGATCTGTGACCTACCATGTGTCTGTTCTTGGGCAGGAGACTCTTAAATCTAAGGAAGAAGCTGTAGAAAGAGAGCAGTTAGTAACCGATTAGTAGAATCTCAGATTTTTAATATAATACTCTATTGCCATATTGCACTAAAAGCTTTATGTAGAGATGGTTGTTCATAATGACAATTTGATTAGGTTGTGAAGAGGGTGAGTGTGTCAGGCAAAATGCAAAACAGAATTAAGTAACCAAGTACATAGTAAACAGTTAGGAAGTTAGATTTAACTTCTCATGTTTGGGATAGGAGCCATGGTGGTGCAGTGGTTAAAATGCAGTATTACAGGCTAATTCTGCCCACAGCCAGGAGTTGATCCTGACTGGCTCAAGGTTGACTTCCATCCTTCCTAAGACAGTAAAATGAGGACCCAGATTGTTGGGTGCAAGATGTTGGCACTGCAAACTTTCCAGAGTGTGCTGTAAAGCAATATGGGGCGGTAGAGAAGTCTACATGCATTGGTATTGCTATAAACCTAATTATATATATAATTTTATAAAGAAAATAGCACCCGTTGAGGGGAATTTTTCAGGAGTCCAATCATCCAGCAGGATGTAACATCCAGCAGAAAGTAATTTACCTTAAGTAAGTTCACCCACATAGAGGCTGATGCTGCTTCTAGTCCATGATACCTACTGACAGGGAAAATAATTTGGACGCAAGTCTGCTTTCCTGAGGAAATGTGAAAAGAGGCAGTTTCTATACAGAATCTCTTATTGCTGAATGATTAGTTCTGGGAGGGATTCCACCTCCAGAGTCTTTGCTCAGAATAATTTGAACCCCATTGATGAACATTTTTCTTGTACGCTCCTGGTTCTTTTTATTCCTTTTTCATTTTCCCTTGAAGGCTGCAGGGGAAAAATTTAAAGCCATAGCCCCTGCATTAGAGAGGGAGGGAGGGAGGGAGGAAGTAACTCCCCCACCCCCACCCATGGATACTCTCCATCCAGTGAAGAGAAGGCGGCTGCCACAGCTACGGCTAATCTAAAATTCTTCTTATGGCTAAGTTTGCTGCTTGCCTGAACTGATATAAAAACTAATGCAGCCTTGATGCCTAATTCTGACAAATTATAACTATATTAATACATAATATAAGAGAATGAATTTACTAGCTGTAGCCTTTGGGATCATGATTATATTATGTTCAAATTCAGATTGATTTGCTAATTTATATTTAGCTGTTAAACCCCAAGTGCAAGTGCTATAGAGTTCCAGAGCGGCAGGCGGTGGGCAATTATGAGGAATAACGAAGAGAGCCATGCAGAAATAAATTCTGTTAGCTATAACTTAGTTAGGGATTTCCACTCCAGGCAGGCCTGTTACAGATTAAAGCCAGAAGAATAGACAATTAAATTGTAACCGAGTTAGAGCCACAAGAAATGGGGTTACGCCTGACCTCTCCAGATTGTGTCAAAGCCATTCTGATACATCAAGGTCCAGTTTATTAGGTTTAGGCCTGTTCAGGAGCTGCTGCCTGGTGTGATACATTAGCATGCAAACTGAATGGCAGTAACTCGGTTTCCTCCTTGTGTCTCTGGCACCCCTACCCTCTTTCGGAGGATGAGGAAGGTAGGTAGGTGTGTGCGTGCGAGGGGGAAGAAGGGGCAGAATCGGTGGGATCAGAGAGAAGTTTGTAGAGGATGGCATTTTGAAATCACATAACTTAAAAAAATTAAAAGCCCTTATACAGGCAAACACATAGGTCACATCCTCCTAAGCTCACAAAAGACTATACCTTCTGATGAAGGAAGCTTTAGTTCACAAGAGACTATGCCTTCTGATAAAGCATGTTACTCTGAAAAGGTATGACCAGATAGCAATAGCAATAATAGCACATTGACTTATACACCGCTTTACAGCCTTCCCTTTACAGCCTTCACACCGCGGTTTATAGAGTCAGCATGTTGCTCCCTCAACAATCTGGGTCCTCATTTTACCCACCTCAGAAGGATGGAAGGCTGTGTCAACCTTGAGCCGGTCAGGATTGAACTGCCAAATTTCAGGCAGCCGGCAGGCAACAGAAGTAGCCTGCAGGACTGCACTCTAACCACTGCGCCGCCATGGTGCCTTCTGATGAAAGGATAATTCGTTTTGTCTTATGATGTGGTAGCTGTAGCTTGTGGTCTGACATTGTATGGACCAAAAGTCCTGGCTATAATGACTCAAGCCATTAACTTCATGCAATTAGACTACTTCAAAGCACTCAACAGGGAGTTGCCTTTGAAGCCTGCCCATAAGCCATTGTCAGCTCAAAAGGCAGCAGTCAGCTCCTTGGTTGGTCCTAGCCACTGCAATCATAAAAAACCCCATTTTAAGGCCCAAGATTGGGCCTAGGGCTTCTTATGGATTGGTTGCTGATAGGTTTTCAGGTGCAATTCAAAATGCTTGTTATTATGTATAGAATCCCAGGCAAATTAATACTTACTGTGCGTGGATGCTGCAGGGCCACCTATGCTGACCCGAGTCAACCTGTTTGAGGGAGCCTTTAGGGAGAAGCTGCCTCAGGTGCCTAACCGAGACCAGGAGGTGTTGTTTTTCTACCATGATGGTACCCGTGTTGTTGAAAAAACGACTTTCCACCGAAGGGTTGGCTGAGCCCTCCTGGGAATGATTCATCGTTAGCCTAGCAAACTCTTCATTTGAAGGACTTTGGTCAAGACCAGCTTCCTTCTGGAGCCGGCTGCTGTTCTTCGTAAACTTTCTAGTGGGCGCAGTGGGTGATGAGTTCTTCTTCCCTTTGTCTCCAACGCTAGTCTCTGCTGAAGACCCTGGTGAGCCCCAAGGGTCGCTCCGCCTTCAGAACCAGCGGTGGCTTCAACGGGCTGTTTTCCCTTCTGGCCGACATGGAAGGCGCCTTGCAGGATCCGCCTTTGGGCGCCTGGGCCTCCTTTGATCACAGCCACATACTAGGGCTGATCCTACGCATCCTCCAGACAATGGCAGCCGCTCTGCACTTGGACCCTGCCAACCAGGACTTCTTCCAGAAGAACGGCCTCTTTGAGAGGATGGCGGAGGACCTTGGCATGCTTGGCTGCTTTTCAGCACAAAGATGGGGACAAATTCCTAGGCAGATCAACAAACCTCGATCCTTTGTTGAGCTTTCAGATACAGCTGTTTGCTCCCCTGAGCTTTTCCCACCTGGGCTAAAAAGCTGCATCAGGATATTCAGCTTCCTGGATTCCATGGCCAAGATGAACCCCTTCGACCTCAAGAGCTGCTTGGAAGAAACAGATCCTCCCATACTGGGCATTTGGGATGGGACAGAAAACCCACAAGAAGATTCTCCAGGAAATCTTTGGGACCATAGAAAGCCTAACAAAGTGGCTGCCGTCCAGCTGCCGGAACCCCAGAGCAGGTAGGCCGTTCGTTGATGGTTATGATATAGAAAGTTAGAAGTGCTAATTTGGATGTTCTAATTATCCCATTTCTTTTTTTTTTTTTAAGCAAGTTTTATTAATTTCAAAAACAAACAAATCATCATCAACCATTACACATTTGAACCTTTTTCCATTATAGATTTAACAAGTCAGATAAAACCTTATCTTATACAATACATTTCTATATTATTTCATCTATTTCTTTCTGACTTGATTATCGTCACTCTCTTTCTATGTTTCTACAAGGTTTCACCAATACTCTCAAAGACATAAACAGACACAAACATACATATAAAAATCTTTTAGTAAAGTAACTTGGCCCCAGGTATCTCTCTTTATATGGGCTTTAATTATATTCATGCTCATCTTACAGATCATTACCTATTTTATTTACCATTCTGTATCTTCTATATAAACTTCTCCACACATTTCACTCTTCATAATTCTATCTTATTCAATCCATCTTAATTTAAATCATTATATTTGTATCTTTTGCCCATCCTTTATTATCCCTCTATCTCATTCCTTATAATGAAAAAAAAAAAAAAAAAAAGAATTTCTCCTGAAATCACTAATCAGAGCATGATGCCTTTCTCCCTAAATTAATTAAATTAACATTTATAAACACCTAATACCCAATTTGATTCTGCTTGGTACATTCTATCTACTAATTTTTACTTTTAGTAACAATAAAAACAGAGTAAAAATCAAAAATGTTTAAATACATAGTATCCTCCTAAATACGTAGTTAAATAATAAATCTAAATAATAAATCTTATAGCATTCTCATTGCCTTTCCCTTCAATATTTTATTACATTTTAAAAATCAATCATTATTAAACATTTCAACATTTTAATTTCTTATTAACTCTTAAGCCATTCTAATTTTCTATTTCTAATACAAATGTTACAATACCATTTTGTGTACCTTGCAGAATCTTTTTTAAGAAAATTTATGCTTTACCCATTATCCCTAAAAAAGATTCCTCTTTTCCCATCTAATTTTAAAACTTTGTGGCTTTTCTCCGCCTTTCCCCTTTCTTTCTTCCCCCACCAAATCTTCCTACCCCTCCTTCTTCTAACCGCTGTCTTGCCGGCATCCCTTCTCTGTTGTATTCCCTTTTTCTCTTGTTTGCTATCATTGTATTTATTTTGCATCATATTTTTCTCTTTCTTAAATGTTTTTTTAGATCTTAAGTCCTTCATTTTCCTCGCTTTCTTCCTTCCTTCTTTCTTAAATGAACTTTGGGATTCATTGAAGATGGCGTCTTCATCTTCTTCTTGTTGTTCTTCTACTTCCATCTGTATTGTCTGTTCGTAGTTAACCAACGCCATTTCTAAAAAAAGAAAAGCCTTTTCCATACCATCTTTACAGGCTGCTTTTGTTTGCTCATATTCATCCCTCAGTTCCTCAAAGGAAAAAGCCATTGTAGATCTTTTCTTTTCTTTTTTTCCCTCTTTCTTCTCACACCAACCAAAATATTCCAAAAGAAAAATAAGACAATCCCAAAGTCCACAATCCTCAATCAATCCAAGCCAAGCCAAAATTCCCCCTTTCTCTTCCAGGGGTAGTATCAGACAAAGAAAAAAAGAAAATTCAAATCTGTGTTCTGAAGCCTTATTAAGATTTTATTTCTGTTTTCAAATCCTTAAGGCATCTCCTCCAACAAAGTCCAACCAGATAAATATATTTTTTGTCCTCTCCCTTCCGACTTATCCCAAAAAGCTAGTTTTACCTGAAAAAAAACAGGTTTCTCAATATCCATTTATTAATTCCGTCGGGGGGGGAGAGTAAACTTTCCTTTCAGCACCTCAGAATTGCCGCTTATTTTCTCTTGTGGAAAGAATCACCCAAAAAGCCATCATTTTCAGGAATTAAATTAAATATATCTTAGAGTCCTGGGTCGACCAAGAAGACTTTCACTTTTAAAAACTTTCTCCTCTTCCTCCAGCGCATACTTGCCCAGCTGCCGGCTTCTTTGTGGCGGCCATTACGGACCGCCGCTGCACCGTCTTGGTAAAAGGAGGTTCTGCTGGCTAGGGAGGGGGTCTGCAGCACCCCCAAACCCTTTCCCGGATCCCCCCTACCTTCAGCTGCCCCTGCAGGGCAGCCTTGCTCCGCACCCTTTCGGATCGGAGCCCCAAAAAACTGCTAGCGCGGCAGGGATCGCGCAGCTTCGCGAATCCCTACCGCTCGCAAAGCCGACAAACCGGAAATCCCCCTAATTATCCCATTTCTTACACATATTGGGGACTATATTTTCACGAGTGTACACATTTATAGATCATTACAATGTGGATTTACCTAGAAGACAAGTTCAAATGATTTCATGTTAATAGCAGACCTAAGTATACCTGTGTTAGTCACAAGGAAGGGGCACAATTATTTCAAGTGCAAAGGAGGTTATTGACAAAATTTCTTTGCTATCACTTGCCATCAGCAGCTCCTCTTCTAAAGTATTTTCCCACTCCTTTAGAGAAAAGTGGTTTGAAGAACACCCTGGATAGGACAAAAGGGTGGCTTGCAGCTGGACTTAGATTCTGAACCCCATGGAAGTTCATTCCAATTCATGTGTAAATGAAGCTCCGATCAAACTGTCTGGCATTTTTTTCGCAGCCTTCTGGATCTTTCTGCTTTCCAATAATGCTTAATTATAAGTGAAATTATACATGCATACCAATCTAAATTAGTGTCCCTCACTTTGGCAAGACGCATGGATTTCACCTGCCAGAATTCCCCAGCCGGGGTTACATCTACACATCATAAAGTTGCTCAGGTGGAGATTCCCTGGACTCTCAGCCCCTCTCAGCCCCCTGATGTAGGTGAGGTCAGAAAGGAGAACCCCCCCCCATCATTCCTGGAAGCCTGTCCAAGTTTCTACTAATTAAAATTAAGATGGGATTATTATGGGAGTTTCTTTCTTGTACATTGCTTAAGTCTCCAGAGTGTGTAATCTTTTCTTGAGGAAACCCCCCCCCCCTCTTTTTCTTTTCTTTTTTAGATTCAGCTGCATATGTTGTCTAGATATATGGGAAGTCTTTGATTGCATAGATGGACTGTTCATTAACAAAATTATAGATATTTAAAGTTGGCTCTAAATGACGAAATAGCCAATATTTAGCAGCCCATAACAAGTCAAATAAGGACCAACAATTTTGATTCAAAATAATTTCTCATAATGAGAGACACCAAACAGGAACGTTCTTTCTCTCTTTGCTGTTTTTCTTTCACCTTGGGAGCCATAATTCATTCACAAAATTATGGGGGGGAAAGGCAATTAAAATTTCCATTCATTAATTTTGTTGTGTGGAAATTCCAAATAAGCAGACACTTCTCGAAATGTTGGAAAAACTGAGATCTCAGATCAGAATGCCTTCTTTGGTAACCTGGAGGAAATAAGCCTTTCTATTCAGACCCAATGAAATGCAAGCCAATTCTTACAGAATACTACAGAATTAGTTTGTTTGGGTTTTTTCCCTGCTTCAGGAAGGAAGATCTGAAACACAAAACTTGTTCCTTCCCTGTCTCTCCCGAGGGAAAATGCATTGTGGAGCTTTAGCTTCCCTGAGGGTGTCTGGGAGGGCCTTCTTTTTTTTGGGGGGGGGGGTACCCTTGGCTCCAAGGAGGTTGCAAATTTTCCTCCCCTCCCAGAAGTATTTGCCTTCCTGTTTTGATGCAGGAATGGATGAGAGAGAAGTTCCCACTCTCGGGCCTGGTTTCTGCTCTTTTGTCTTGCGTGTCCAGAAATGCCACAGGTGTTTTTCCCCTTGTCTTTTCTCTGAAGGCCACGAGGGGAGGACTCGGTGATTGTGTGTCCTGGAGCCCTCTGTGTCATGGTGACGTTGATGGGCAAACTCTACAGTGAAGCTTGCCCTGAGGTAAGACAACAGGGGACGACGGAGGGAGGCCCATGAGGGAGATTCAACTTCACGCAGGCGAGATTATATAGCATAGCCTGGCATTATACTCATTATTCCTTTCAAAATAAATAGTATTATGCAAAAGAGAAAAGTAATGAAAGAAAATGAAAGCAAAAAAGAAATCTATTCTGCACCCCTCCTATTTACAGTCCCCTCTTTCATCTGTATTCACATTCACTTAATACTTATTTATTTAGTTAAACAAATAAAGCCACCCAACTACAAAACAAAGTAATACGGAGTTGAATATTAGCATCCTCATCTGCAGCCCAAGTTATATACCAGGTGTAATCTGCAAGGCACTCCCAAGTATGGAGTCTGCTGGTGAGAGGAGACAGGAAGGGCGGGCGTGGGGTGGATGGATGGACCGACTGACATGTTTGCCCTCGGACTTCATCCTGACGCAAAGTTGTGGGCTTATTTGCTGAGTGTAATTGCATCTCCTGTGCCCCTGTCAGACTCTGGGAGGGATGTGCAGGGAAATCAATCCATAACAGCTGGGGAAACAGAGACTACTTTCCTGTCACCATTAATTTTTTTTCACTAAAACCCTTTTTTCCTGGAACGAGCATCTCTGAAAACGGCACATTTTATTCAAAACAAGGCAATCTCAATATTGGCAGGACTGCTGTCATAATGCGAACAATCAATTCCTTGTACTCCATTATGGCTCTCTATTGAATTGTGAGGGCAATGCGGATTTACTGAGCGGTGTCATTCTTCCCCTTAACCTTGCTTTTTTGCTGAAATAAATTATTATTATTAGGAAGAGCAATATTTAAGGTACAAAAGGCATTACGGTCTACTTAGAAAATCTAGACGGCACTTTCTCAACTGCTGGTGAATTAGAGGCCCCAGTTCATGAGAGCCCTTTGCAGCCCCGACTGAAGGGACCCGGAGGAAATGGCCCTGAATGGAAACGGTCCCTGTGACAACGTTCGCTCCTCCCACTCAGGCGGGTCTGAGCTGGCTTGGTGCTGGCCATGATCCATCCAAAGCCCGTCACAGATGACCGAGGAACCGGCACGGCAGACCTTTAGGTATCCCTCCCTCCCTCCCATTTCTTTGGTTCTCAAGCAGGATCAGGGCTAAAACATGGACAGACACTTGCGCTGCTGGTCTTAGGCTGAGCAGAGAACAATGTGGCCGACCTTCATCTCGGCTTGATCGCCTGTGTGCCGGATATCCCATAATGCCATCGTTTTATTTTTCAGGTTTATAATTTTAGCAAACAGATTTGCCCAAACTACCCCATTTATTATAGTTCTATACTTCTTGGCACAATTTTTATTTATATACTAAATAAATTCAAGTTGATTCCCACCCCCACCAGTTAAATTAGTATGAAGATGGCCATAACTATCTCCATTTTTTTCTTTAAAACATGTATTCAGTTAGTTTCTGCATATTCTCTACTTTCCCAAGTTTTAAACTAGCAATTCTTTCTAATTGGCACAAGTTACCAGTTTTCCGCTTAGCTGCCAGAATCCCTACCTTCCTACAACGGAAGACATGCTCTGGGTCACGGGTGGGTGGACCACCTTGGCCCCTTCATGACTTGTGGACTTCAACTCCCAGAATTCCTCAGCTAGCTTTTTCCAGGAGTTGAAGTCCACAAGTCTTAAAGGGGCCCAGGTTGGAGTCCGCTGCTCTGAGCAACCCAGGTTGAGTCAAGGATATCAGAAGAATATGACAGACGTCACCCATCACCCTCTATTCCCCTTTCATTCCCCGGGAAATAGGACCCGGTTTTATCATATTTAGAAACCTAAATCAAACTTGGCTTATTTGTTTGCTTTAAGTTTTTATACTGCCTTTTTTCATATACAACTTGGGGGTGAAGGTACCCGATACTCCTCCTTCCTCCTGTTTTCCCTACAAGAACCCTGTGAGGTGGGCTGACAAACAGTGACCGGCCTGGCTGGTTCTTCATGCCTAAAGTGGGGAAGGAGAACTCACCGCATCCAGCAACGTAATTGTTACCTAATTAATTGATCTTGATTTTCAACCTACCTAGCATCCTTTTGGAGACAGCATGCTACGGTACAATGAACATAAACACCTCTGAACGTATTCTGCTGTTGTGTTTGACTTATCGGATCACATTTGTTATCTTAGCCTTTTTCATTTAAAAATTGAATTTATTTCCTGTCTGTTGTATTTTATAAACATTAATATCATATACAAAGGTGAATTCAGATGCCCTATTTCTAATTGTGCTAATATCAACCACAAATTAAATATTCAGGACTTGGGTTCCCAGCCCAGCTTGTAACTCTAAAATTCTCCAGTAAAATTAGCGCACAATGGAGATAACACACGAAGAGGCAACTAATTTCAATAAAATCTAACATGGAGCAATGAATGAGCATTTGGAAATTTTATATGCTATTTGTAACCTTATTTATTCACTGTGCCTTGTAGCCAGACCACTCTGGGTTCCTGCATCATTTCTTCTTAAGTTTTTGTCCAGAGGGCCAGAGGACTCTGATTTCTGCCGTGATCCAGGGCTTCTCTGTGTCCATGATGGCTGCCGGTTACTAGTTGCCCTCCACTCATGCCTGTCCTGCTTGCCCTGCCTTGGCTTGTTTCAGTTATCCCTGGAGATCCAATTCGCTGTGGCTGACCACATTCAATCCTTGATGGGCTTGGAGAAAAACCGCCAAGGGGCTTGTGCAGCTGGCCTGCTGGGCAGCCTCACCAGCTCCTGCCCGGAAGTCCTGCACGATGCCAGCAGCCCCCTCCACCCGCCTCTGATCCGGCTCTTCGAGAAGCTCGCCTCCCAGTCCATTCAGCCCGAGGTCTTAAGGTGATGTGTCAGGGTATCACAGCCAGTACCTGCTGGGCAGTCTGGGGCTTCAGGACTTGGGTTCCCAAATGTCTCCCCAGCAACTCTGGCTGGTGTCTTCAGGGCTGACCTATTCATTGATATGTTTGTACCCTGTCTTTATTGTTTGCACAAGTGGCTCAAGGCAGCAAACATGTCCAACGCATCTCGTATAGTAATTGCTATTTCTTATTTTCTTTTTCTTCACTGTGGAGTACAGTGTTGGTAACGTGCTGCAGAGATGCAGCTGGTAAGGCTCTGAAACTCCGCTAAAACTTGTGGCAGCATCTTCCAAGGCTCCTGTGCTCAAGAGACCTTGGCCAGTGCCTCCGGCAGCCTCAGAACATGCAGTGAAGACTTTGGGGCAATTCTAGGACCTCCCCCCTGACCTCCGCCATGCACCTCCTGCATAGCTGCCTCATCCAGGCCTTCCTTTTCCTTTGCCGTGGGACATTTGTCCTTCGCTCGATCTCTTTCAGGCAATTCCTGTGCCTACGGATGATGCCCCTTCCCATCGCTCCTAAAAAGCACAAGTGTGGCAGAGAGGAATTGGATCGAGTCCAGAGGGGGGCAGCCCAGAAGAGGGTGACCTTGCAACCCAAACCCTGCGAGAAACTGCTAAAAGGTCTGTTTAGTCTACAAAAAGATGATCGAGGCCGCGGCGTGTGGGAGTAGTGTTCAAATACATGAAGAATTCTCAGAGGGCAGAGGGGATGGACATATTCTCTATTGCCTGAGTTGAAAAAGTCAATACAGGCAGACCTCACTTAACATCCGTTCGTTCAGGGACCATTTGAAATTATGAGGGTGCTGAATGAAGCTTTCAACTCTCAACTGTGGGATGCCTGGTTGACGTTTTTCTCGTTACTTCTCTTCTTTCTGCCTTGCCTCTCAAAGTTCCCAGTTTGGAACCTGCCGTAGTGTCACTAACTTGGTATGTTTCTTGTATTAGGTTCTGGAATAGCTGCATGGAAGGAGAGCCCAAGGGACACGCTTTGCTTGAGCTCTGACCCCCCGGAGTCTTCTGCAATGGCTCTCCAGACGGCCATGAGCCTCGTTTCCTTGATAAGCCCACGCAGCCTGCATCTGCACAGTGCCTGCCTGGCCCCTTCCTTCGTGGAGTTTGACATGTCCCTCGAAGGATACGGGTAATTTAGGAGGCTCTTCGGCTTCCCCTTGCAACCTTCCTCATCTCAGCCTCCAGATCTTTTGCCTTTGGTTCCACGGAGTCTAGTTCAAAAATCGATCGATCGATCATGTTGTTTAGATACCTTATGCTTTGTCATCTGAAGGAATATTGCCCATTTATGGGGCAAATTAGATAACAAATGTAGTTCACGGCAACTTCACGGACAGAGATTTCTCATTTTCCCTTTTCATTATTGCTCATAGTTCTGTAATGTGTAATGGGAAACATGCAAGGAAGTACCCCTCTTGTTAAGTCATTGAGGGGATCCTTACATACCTAGTGCTGTTTACATACATGTCCTCCTTAACGTGTTTTGAGCCAACGTTGCTTAGTGCAGGCCAGAGATGCACAATTGCTTTGAGCTGATCGTTGTATTTTTGAGTGTGGTCTGGGAAGGCCCCCTCGCTGAAAGGGTACGATTAAGATGAAGGATTGAGTAGGGATAGATTAAAATGTAATTTGACCTTAATTAAATTTTTGAACACTTACATTTAAATATAGTTAATTTTATTTCCCCACCCCCCACGTATTTAAGGGGAGAACTACATATTTTGCTGGCAATATTTGGATCACTGGTGGGGCCCATTAAGGTGGGGGGTGGGAGTTATATTTAACCTCAGGGATGAAATGGTACCAGATGGATGTCAAATTATGTAGCCCTTTGAATTTCATTTAAAAGATGGAAAGAATATTTTTTGTAGCTCTTGCAGTTACAATACTGAATAACTATTACTAAACAGCAAGGAAGTCAGTCAGTTCGTATCACTTCCTCATGTGTTCGGATGTAATTATGCAACTTTTAATGCACATTTTGCTATAAAGGGGAACAGGGAGCATGGGATGGCAGAATCCAGAGAAGTACAAAATAAATACTGTGTCAATCTTTGAATGGTCAGACTAGCTAAACAAAATATTTTAGGTTTGTTACCTAATATGTTAGGCAACATATCGGTTAGTGCAGTTGCTGTTTATTTGGGGTGAATAGCAAACAATTCAGCTACTCCTCGGTGGCTGAAGAATGGGTGCGCACTCCCATTTAGAGGCCTTGCTTCTGCACGAGTGGAGTCGGTGGAGCTACCCAACCTAGAAGACCTTTTCTTCTGCCTAAGTCTGTGTGTCTGTGTGTGTGTCCAGCCTCCCTATGTCGAGAACACATTGTGGGGCTGTCATAACCCACACCAACCCCTGGGGGAGCTTCCGCGTTCACCAAGGCTGCCCAGCGCCCAGGACAGGATGGTCCCCCCCCCCGTGGGATCCTCTCCCAGGTGCAGGTTCCAGGGTGTGCTGTGTTTACCTTCCGCACTCTTGGCAAGTGCTGTGGACGTGCGCTGGCCTTCTCCTGACTACCGTTCTTGCCAAACCTGGTCCAGAGCCAGCTCCAATCTTGGTAGCTTTGGCCAGCGCTCCAAGGTTGCCCCACCCATGGAAGGGACCCCCCCCCCCCCGGACCATGGAGGCTCTTCTTTCTTGGGGGTACATTTGTGGGAAAAGGCCGAGGGGGCTTCAAAGCTGCGAAACAACACAGGGCCTTCGCCTTGGGTAAAAACGGGGGGTGGGGGAATTGTCTGCTTTGAGAAGTAAATTGGAGTATTTCGTTTAAAATTTCACACGGCACCCTTATCTGTGAAACTGTAGAGTGGGGAACTGCCACTCTTCAAAAGATGTATCTGACATTTCCATTGAGTAATCAGAGGGATTACAGAATGGAAGGGGATGATTCAGGAGGAATTGGGAGAGAGAGATTTAGCTTTTTGTTGGGGAAGTTTATAATCATTTATGTCTATTTCTATTCCTTCACAAAGAAATGCGCCTATTACTGTTTTTTATTTTCTTGTGTTTGCAGTTGTTTGTTTATCCCAAGTATGGCCACCATTCTAGGCCAAAGCACTGAACGGTCCGTCTTGGGAGGAACCGGAAAAGGTAGATTTTTAAAATACTGTCTTCAAAATGTTGGCCGTAATGCTGTGGAGAGCAGTTCATGTACGGCTCAGAGGTCTGAAGGCCTGAGGCCTAAGTTATAATCAGATTGTGTACATATAGATGGATGTGTATGCATATGTGTATCTGTGTGTGTGTGTGTGTGTGTGTGTGTGCGTGTAGTGTTTATAAAGTCTATGTGGGTATCGCTCTGGGGGTGGGGCAGTGGTGGTATTCAATTTTTTTTACTACTGGTTCTGTGGGTGTGGCTTGGTGGGTGTGGCAGGTAAAATCTCTAGTCTGAGGTGGTATGTGACAACCACTCAAAATTTCCACTACTGGTTCTCCGGAACTGGTCAGAACCTGCTGCTGAAGGCCACCTCTGGTGTGGGGATATATGTAAGTTGTTCAGTGATTCCCCTTGAGATTTTGAGATCATGGGATCAGCAATAACCTTTGGAGATCATTGTCTGGACCTAAAAACTTCACGAATTCATTGGAGAGTTTATTTTTGATTCAAGGCTTTGAAATGCTTAGTTTTCATAGAAGGAACTGGATGTATCCGCCATACGCTCTGTTCCTCCTGTGCCAAAGTGGAGGTGGTCCCTGTGGTGCAGTCACCCTTTCTAAGGGGCCGTGTGTCCTTTGAGCCTTCTTCCCCCTGGCTTGGGCAGCATCTCCCCGCAGTCTCTGCTTCATCCCTTTCTCTGCCCTCTTAGGCATCAGGCGGTTCCCCCCACCAGATGGCCTCACTTTCACCTCCTGGTTCCTGATCAACAAGATGTGTTCTGCTTGTGACTACCACCCGCTGCGTTTCCTTACCTTGATGCGCCACATGGCGAGAACCGAAGAAGCCTTTGCTTGCTTTGCTGTGAGGTTTTCTCCCCTAGAAGGTTGTCTCACCATCTCGACGGAGGAAGTGGCATTCGAGGCTTTGGGTAAGGGTCTCGGGGCCAGAGGGCCCATGAACGGCCTCAGGGAAAGCAGGCTGACGAAGGCCCGAGGTGGAGAAAACGCGACGTCCTCAAGCCCTGAGTTTCTTGGAAGATTAAAACCAACCTCTGAAGTTGTGCCCAGAAAACAGCTTCCATTCTTCAACACAGGCATACATACACGCACCAGCCACGGGCTTTTCAAACCCTGTGTTAGGTCTCCTTGCAGTTTTGTAGTCAAGGCATGGCCAGGCAAATACTTGAAGCTTCAGTGACCCCTGTGGTTGGAGAGCTGCTTTCCGAGTGCATTTCTGGAGCACGTGATGCCCGTCCTTCATTCCATGAAGGGACTGAATGAACCATTCCTGGTCATTGCTCAGATTGCAGTAATGCGCTTTCTCTCTCCCCCCTCCCCCGTCTCTCTCCCTCCCTCCCTCCCTCCCTCCCTCTCTCTCTCAGGGCTGCATTGGGCCCTTTTGCAATTGTGGAAGCGGCACTTACACCTGTCCCTAGACCGTCAGAGCATACAATGGGCTTGCTTCAAGACTACCAGGTCTCCCTTTGGAGTGAGCCCAAGCCTGGCACCCACCTCCCATCCTTTTCAAGCAGCAGCACCTGAGCCGCTGTGTAAAGAGTTCCGCCCAGGTGCTGCTTCCGTGCCTCTCTGCGAAAGCCCTTTTAGGACTTGAATCCAAATCCCTAATTATCTTGGCATGGAAAAACCGAAAAGATCCTCTGCCCTCATCATGTCCCAATTTCCTCTAAATCCAAACTCTATCTAGCCTTGTCAGTGGCTGCTCTTACTTGGAAAGGCATTGCCTGGGATGTTTGGGTGTGCGCGCGTTTGTGTGCTTTGGGGCTGTCCTTGGTTGACATCCAAAAAGTAGCCCTCCAGTGTTCAAAAGGGAAAGAATTTTATTTTTCTAGAGACTCTGTCACCATCTGGCCCACACATTTTTCCCAGGTCTTGTGGTAAAACTTTTGCCTTTGGTTTCACTATAATGTGGCAAATTATTCCATTTTTTGTGACAATACAGACACGATGGTACCCGAATTTGAAGATGAGACCTCTCTCCTGTGCCAAGTTCAGTTCAGATGTGCTCCTCTGCTCGTGACGGGACAGTGGCATCATCTTGCTGTGACTGTGGCAAAAGAAACAAAGCAGATCTGCACCGTTTCAGCCTACCTGAATGGCAGCCTGGTGGGCTCTGCGAAGGTGGGACATCGGCAGAACGAGGGCCTTTCTTCCTTTGGCTTTGGACTTTTAGAACAGAACAGAATAGAATAGAATCCTTTATTGGCCAAGTGTGATTGGACACACAAGGAATTTGTCTTTGGTGCAAATACTCTCAGTGTACATAAAAGAAAAGATACCTTCATCAAGAGTCAAGAATCATTATGTACAACACTTAATGATAGTCATAGAGTACAATAAGCAATCAAATCATACTAGGAAACAATCAATATAAATTGTAAGGATACAAGCGACAAAGTTACGGTCATACAGTCACAAGTGGGAGGGGATGGGCGATAAGGAGTGATGAGAAGATTAATAGTAACAGTAGTGCAGACTTTGTCAATAGCTGGACAGTGTTGAGGGAATCACTTGTTTAGCAGAGTGATGGCATTCAGGGGAAAAACTGTCCTTGTGTCAAGTTGTTCTGGTGTGCAGTGCTCTATAGCATCGTTTTGAGGGAAGGAGTTGAAATAGTTTATGTCCAGGATATGAGGGGTCTGTAAATATTTTCACAACCCCCTTTTTGAGGTCCTCCATGGAAGGCAGGTTGGTAGTAGTTGTTTTTTCTGCAGTCCTAATTACTCTCTGAAGTCTGTGTCTGTCGTGTTGGGTTGCAGAACCAAACCAGATGGTTATAGAGGTGCAGATGACAGACTCAATAATTCCTCTATAGAACTGTATCCGCAGCTACTTGGGCAGTTTGAGCTTTCTGAGTTGGCGCAGAAAGAACCTTCTTTGCTGTGCTTTTTTGATGATGTTTTTGATGTTAGGTGTCCATTTTAGGTCTTGGAATATGATAGAATCTAGAAATTTGAAGGTCTCTACTGTTGGTACTGTGTTGTTTAGTATTGTAAGGTGGTAGTATGGGAGGGTTTCTCCTAAAGTCTTACCACCATTTCTACGGTTTTGAGTGGGTTCAGTTCCAGATTGTTCTGATTACACCCACGAGGCAAGTTTTTTAACCTCCCATCTGTATGCGGATTCATTGTTGTCTTGAATGAGACCAATCATTGTTGTGTCATCTGCAAACTTCAGTATTTTAACAGATGGATCGTTTGAGATGCAGTCATTGGTATATAGGGAGAAGAGAAGTGGAGAAAGCACACAGCCTTGGGGGGGCCCTGCGCTAATTGTACAGGTATCAGATGTGATTCTGCCTAGCTTCACCTGCTGCTTCCTGTCTGTTAGGAAGCTTAAGAACCACTTACAAGTGTGTTTATCTACTACTAGCTGATTTAGTTTAGTTAGAAGAATGTCTGGAATGATGGTATTGAATGCTGAACTGAAGTATACAAAGAGGACCCTTGCGTAGGTATTTGGAGATTCAAGGTGTCTTAAGCTCTGCTTCATGACAAAGATCAGGACTGAAAAAAAAGAAGGGTTTGCTAATTGGGTCACTTTTCATGCCACAATATTTCTTTTCAGATTGTCTTGTATGGAGGAGCGGGCAATTCAAAAATATATGATAGGCTGCAATATTCCAGCTAGTTCAATCAGAATAGAGTTGGAAGGGACCTTGGAGGTTTAGCATAGTGGTGTCTGTCCCCTGGAACGTTCAAAAACATGAGTTGAAGCAAAATGGAGATACACAGATATACAGATAATCAGAGTTGGAAGGGACCTTGTAGGTCATCTAGTCCAACCACCTGTACAAGCGGGAGACCCTACACCATTTCTGACAGATGGGAGTCCAATCTCTTCTTGAAAGCTTCCAGTGATGAAGCTCCCACAACTTCTGAAGGCAACTTCTGTTCCATGGGTTGATTGTTCTCACTGTCAGAGAATTCCTCCTTATTTCCAGGTTGAATCTCTCCTTGTTCAGTTTCCATCCATTGTTCCTTGTCTGGCCTTCGGGTGCTTTAGAAAATAGCTTGAGGTCTTCTAGTCCAACCCCCTGCTTAAGCAGGAGAACCCTATACCATTTCAGACAAATGGCTGTTCAGTCTCTTCTTGAAAACCTCCAGTGGTAGAGCACCCACAACTTTCTTGTGGCAAGCTGTTCCACTGGTTGATAGGTCTCACTGTCCGGAAGTTTCTCTTCAATCCTACTGTAGGTTGGATCTCTCCTTGATTCGTTTCCATCTGTTGCTTCTTGTCCTGCCTTCCACAGAGAAAGCACCACAAGGATTTCAGCCACTCCTTTGTCTTCTACTACAGATGCAGTACATCCGGTCGCTGCCAGGGAGCTTCACTTCCATGGACCCCGCTTCTTTTATTGATGTCTTTGGCTTTGTAGCTACACCGCTGATGTGGAAAAAGAGGTCTTCCTTGTCTTGGCGCCAAGGCCCCATGTTCTTATTTGAAGAAGTTCTCTCCGTGAAAACTCTGCAGCTTATGGAAAAACTTGGTCCGAGATACTACAGCAATTTCCAGGCTGTGGAGCTTAGAGGTAGGACTTATAACTGCAGGGACTTCGCAAAAACTCCCGTGTGATTGAGAACTCACTCGATCTGGTTGTGCAACTGTTCCTATAGTCTATTTGTCTTTCAACCTGTGTTGTATTCAGTCATGGGAAGGTAGAGAAAGCAGATCCAGCTGTGGAATTATTTTGACACAATGTACAGAAGAACAGGTAACTCTCACAAGCAACAATGCAGACTTTAGTACCATGGAATTCTCTAAGCATCCAGAAAACAAGGCTGCGAGATGGAAATGTTCAATGAAATAAAAATAGACTATTGTGGAAGAAAAAAATTAGGTTTAATTAAGTCTGGGCAATATGCCAGCCATTGACCCGCCAACTACAATTTCTCCCCCCCCCCCCCCAAAGGACTTGCAACCATTAATATGTGATGGTTGAAATCAGTCCAAATAAATGCGGGCACCTGCTTTGAGGAAACATAATTTTGGCTCGGAGCATCGCCTGCCTTGTTAAGTGTGGGGGGAGGTCAAGTAAATCAAGGAGTTTGTTGATTTTTGGAATTGGAGACTGATTAGCAGAGAACTTCTGGCTTCTTTTGATCCCTTGCATTGTCCCTTCTTCCTTCAAGGCTCCTGCGGCCACAGGCCGATGGCTCCTTTGGTTGCACCAGAGAAGATTTCCTTCGGGATCAACACCAGATGCTCCTCTTATACAACAGTTAAAGACCTAAAAGACAGCTATGGCGAAGTGGATGGGCGCCTGGTGGCTAAAGAGGTGGGACCTTTGCATCATTTGGTGCACAGAAGAAAGAGAGGGGTCCCGTTCCTCAGAGAGCTGAGGCTAGTTAGGCATGGAGGATTGGCCAGGCTGCCTTCACTGAGTATGAGAGACACGATTTGTCCAAGCAGCAGCAGCAGCCTTAAAAAGAGCCTGATGTTGAGGGACTCCAGGATTGTGGAATTAAACTTGTTCCCATGTTCTCACTACAAAGTACTGTAAAATGTAAGCCACCCCTTTTCTAGCAGTTTTGCAGTCTTGGCTTTCTACTCCAGGAGGAAGGTGACAGGGAGGGAAAAAGTAAAGGCTGACAATTTATTATTGCACATATGTCTAGGCCACCTCAGTGCTGAGATTCTAAGCAAGGAGGGGCTGATATTATTTTCCTCCCAACAATACAGAAGTTATTTGCCATTCGCTTCTCTTACCCTGTTTTTCAACTTTCGGGTTCGGTTTGGCCTCAACTTATTTTGATTGTAATTCACACAAAGTCAGCCAGGTCATAAGATACAGTAGATAAGAAGAGTGGGAGGTTTTCTTGTTAAAAAACATTTGGGAAAGAGCGTTTCCCTAGACATGACATATTTAGATTCAATAGGTGCTTTATTAGTACAGCTGATTAATCTAATCCTTGGTCTGAGGAATGGAGGCTCACGGAGGCCTTTCCGGGCTATCCCAGTGCAGCTTTTTTTCCCCCCAGTTGGATATACTGGTGCTCAATGTCATAAAATTGGCATTTTGTGTGAGAAATCTACACTTCTTCGCTGGTATGGCAACCGCTGAGATGTGACCATTAACATTACAAAAGCCAGCTGTGTGCCACCCACCCAGCCTTAGAGTGGCGCATTCGTCCCAAAGGCTCAGGGCGCTTGGTGAATGCAGCTGAGACCGAGTGGCCTCCCCACCTCCTGTGAGCTCAAAGCTGGACACTTTGGGTGGGCAGCAGCTCTGCGGGAAAGCTGTAGGCCTCGCAAAGACTCCAGAATCTCTTGGCATTATCTGGAAAATAAGAGAATTGGGTGCCACAGAAACTGTAACTTCACTCTGGTTTCTTTGCATGCCAATTATGCAAAAATCACTTTCCATGTAGCTCAGGATTTAATCTGAAATTCTTGGTGAACATCTAAACTATTTCTTATAAAATCAAAATGAATAGATTGTAAACATATAAATCACACAGCATAATATCTGAAATGTTTAAGAAACAAACCGAAACATGTTTTCCATTTTTTTTTTTTGGTCTCCTAATACACCATGCCTTTTTCTTTCTTTCTTTCTTTCTTTTTCTAGCTGAAGCTGTCCTCTCGTGATGCTACAGTGCCTGTTTTCATGGCTCAAAATACTGCTGCAAAACTCCCTGGGTGCTTAAGAACGATCGGTGCTGTTGTGGTGGGCCAGCAAGGTAAGCCGAAATGCATCCCGATGAGCCCACATTTATGAAGTGGGAGCCACCCAGAGGCACTTGGGTGAGATGGGCAGGGTAGAAATGTGATGAGTGAATAGATAAGTAAAATCTGTAAAACGAAAGGACAGAAATATAAAAGAAATGCAGAGCTGCGTCCTATACAGAAATTGCAGCTTCTTAACATGAATTTAGCCCCACGCCTAACCCTAGCCCTCGTTCCACTGCCTGCCCCCAAAAAGGACAGAGAAGAAGGCGAAGACTTTGCCATCAGGAAAGGATGCCAGTTCTGTGGTCAGGAACCTCTAGATTGCTAGGCTGGTCAGGAAATGTAAGGTTGTCCTGATCCTGAGGGAGGCATTCAGAAAGAAAGAAGAAAACGCTGCTGTGTGGTGAGAGCAATATTTGAAAAGGCCTATATTACAATATTTGTAATTCCCGTAATGCAACCGACCTGGACAATTCTGTGATCTGCTAGGTTGGGGTGGGTTTTTTTTGGTCTGCTTACATGGAAGGGTTGCCCCTGCTCTGGAAAGAACTGTGAGTGGATTGTTGTCTTTGGGACAGGCATTTTAATCAGACTAGCTTTTTGCTGGTGATTAAGTAGTCAGATTCATGTTAGGATTTTACACAAGGGGTAAAAAGCCCATGAAGTAGAAATAATTGTCCTAAAAAGCACAAGTGTGGGTTTCTTGTTAAATACAGGGCAAAAACATGTTCCTTTAACAACTGATCTTTCTAATAATCAGCATTTGAGGCCTGATTTGCATTACTGGTGTAAAAGGTTTACTAGACTTCTGTAAATCTGCATGTAGCATGAGAAAATATTTGATTTTCTAAATTATTAGTCTTCTTATTTTTTGTTGTTTCTACACATTACTGAAAAGTTTTTGGCTGCTCATCTTATCCTGGGCAGGTTTTCAGTGATAGTTCAATTCCTGCCCGCCTTTTCTCTCTCCGTGTCCAGGTGCCCGGGTCTTCCAGTCTTGTCCGGCAGTGGTCAGCCTGAGCTACCTGGGCGGCCCTTCCCTTCTGCTGGCTCTGCTGGCCAGGGCTCAGGATGACCACACAGTTTATGCGGCCGTCAAGGCCTTGCAGACTGTCCTGAGCTGCAGCGCAGTGAGTGACCGCCTGATGGGGGATGAAGGGTATCAGGTGAGGCAGCTTTGTCTCTGCAGCTCTTAGAATCGGAGCTTAAAATTCTGATTCTTAGGCCGGCAGTGCTTGTGCATTGATTCAGAAATGCAGTACTTGGACAGCAAGTAGGTTTGGCAATCCAATTTGTGGCTTGCATGGAAATCCATTGCAAAAATGTGGATTGTCACATTCTTTCAATATTTTCATATTCAAAATTAATATGAATTTTCACGATCATTTTGTTCTATTGTTGGAGGAGGAGATAAGGCATTTTCCCCAGTCACTCCCAAAAGTTTTGGAACTTGGAATTTGGAGTCCTCTTAATAATAGAAACCTTCCCCTTCCAATAGTAATCTTGATGGTAAGAATTCCCTTTGTTTGCTTTTATTGTAACCAGAAAGCCCGAGTCATTTTCTTTTAATTCCTCCAGTGGACGAGCCAGTCAGACCGGGAGGGAAGTCAAAAGGCCAGTTAGTCTCATTTCCCAGAAGGGATGTGTTGAGGTAATTCCCCGTTAGGAGAATGAGCGCACACAGGGAGACGTAGTGAGAGTAGTGAAGAATAACACACACACAGCACACAGCCACACTGTATAGTAAAATGTAGGTTTTTACTTCCAGTAAAAACGGTTAAGCAAAGTTCAACAAAATAGTCCAAGTCATTCACGGTTAAAGCAGTCAGTTTTCAGTCCAGGAATAATCCAAATAACAAAGTCCAGTATCATAAACAGTTCAGTAACAGACTTACATCAAATCCAAGACTAACAATGATCAGTAACAGTCAATAGGAAAACGTAGGAATGGCAACACTCTCAGCAACAACAGAACAGGACTAAACAACCCAGGTTTCTGGCTCCATCTTATGGCTGTTTGAGGAACCACGCCCAATTACAATTTTAGCATTCCCTTAAAGAGACAGTATTAAAATGTCTATCCTGGTTTATATATTTTCCAACCCAAATGTTAGGTGACTTACATTCCTAACAGGATGGATTTCCCCAAGTCCTTGTTTGGTGGCTGAAGCTCTGCTTAAAAAGAAAGTGTGGAGCTAAAGGGGACAAGCAGAGTTCTTGTCCTTTGATCTTTGAAAAATGGGAATGCTTAGAGAATTCTGAATGAGGTCAAAGTTGACAAGTATCATTACTTTCCATGTATTGCGACTACCTTGAATCTTCATAATGCTGCGGGTTTTCCATACAATTAATTAAATGTCTATATTCTGCAATAACATGGATTTGAATAGTTGGCTATTGATGGCTTACCCAGTGATGGAAATAAAACACTGTGGAATAAGCCTCTCTTTGTTGTGATTTTGGGTAATATTCTCTTACAGATTCTGGCATATCTGTTGAAAACAAAGGCTCACCTATTAAACAGCAGAATTCTACATCTCGTTCTTTCCATTGGTGGCACCACAGAAGCTGGCTTAGAACAGTCGACAATCAAGAACTTGAAGATCTTCCAACATATTGTCTGCAATTTTGAGGTAATGATGCCATTATTCATTTATTTGCTTGTTTATTTATTGGCAGCAAGGTATGAGTAACCTGTGGCTGATGCATTGTTTTAGCCCCTGGAGAACACAATCTTTCTAAAATTTTACTTCCAGAATTTGATGATAGACTCTCAATAAATGTAGAGAAAATTCCCCAACCTTTTTTGGCAGTAAAAAATAATAATAATACTGTGAACCTGCTCACTTTTGAAGCATCATTAATTAAAATTACTCTATGCCATGACAATCAGCGTCTCAAAGTACATATTGGGGAGGAAAAAAAACTTCGGGCATACAGAGATGTCTCCTTCCTGGGAAGCCTATTCAGTATATATGAGACAGCAGAACCCAAGACAGAAACTCAGGGCGCATTCAGAGGTGGCGAATTCAGCCGGTTCTGACCGGTTCTGGAGAGCCAGTAGCGGAAATTTTGAGTTGTTCGGAGAACCGGCAAATCCCACCTCTGACTGGCCCAGCCAACCTCATCTATTCTCCGCCTCCCATTGAGTCCCAGCTGATTGGCTGGGTCTCCTTTGGTTGCCCTGCACAGGAGAACAGAGCTGGAAAGCAGGGTAGTGGGGGGGAGGGAGGGAGTGGAGATTTTGCAATAACCTTCCCCTGCCATGCCCACCAACCACGCCCACAGAACAGGTAGTAAAAAAAAAAATGAATCCCATCACTGGTCATATTATATCATATATCATATTATATATTGTTTATTAGACTTCTGCCTCACCCATGTCATCGAGGCGACTGTAATGGAATGATCCTCTCTATAAAAATAAGCCCCTGACACAAAATATTGCCAGGAGTCCTGGATTTCCCCACAGTTCCCTGCCAGTTTTCTAACAAGAATCCTTCCTGCGGAGTCTTCGTGTTTAGGGAGACCATAACTGAGCTGCAACCCCCTGGAGAACTGGAAGGCAGAAAGAGATGCCCGTTTGCTCCCCCTTCCTAGGGGACCCCGCACACCTCTCGAGCATGCAGACCCAACGGCCTCTCTTTGTTGCTTTGCTTCCCTCTGGCTTTCAGCTGTGGAGCCCCGCCTTGGAAAACCTGGACCTGCCTCTCTTCAAACACCTCACGGAAGTCCTCCAGCCCTCCAGGTACAGAGAGGCCTCTTCAGCTAAGGGGGCCAGCAATGGCACCTGTCCTCCTGGGCTCCCATGGCAGCCATGCCAGGGACAAAACTCTTCATTATGGCATCTATCACTCCATAGGAATAATGCCTTTCCCTTTCTAAAAAAAAAAACAAACCACCCCGGACTTCACTGCACCTTTTCACATTTATCCCTATCCTTCTGCACGTGCTTATGGAAGCCCGATGCAGTGACCGGAGATTCCAGAATGGCATTCCTGCTTTGTAAATGTAAAAACCCTGAAGATTTGTGAATGCCATTTCTTTTCTATTGAGAGACTCTCCAGGATTCTGATAGCAGAGTGGTTTTTGTCAAGGCAGCACTTACTTCCTGTGCTGTGCAGCTCCAGGAACCAATAATGGGTTTGATTTGAACGCTCTTTGCTGGGCAACATTCAAGAGAAGAGCAGAGTCGATGCGGAGCAGAAGGTGACCTGGATGAGAATCTGATCGGATGGCTGGTACCTTGAGAGCAGCCAAGACAACATCAGAAGCCAAAAATTCAAAAGTAGAAATGCAAATAATGTTGTGGCTATGTTAACCTCAGGAAAAGAAAAACCTCTCTCTCTCTCTCTCTTCTTTTTTTTTTAAAAAAACCCATCTCTTTGTCTTTCATAGAGGAAAGAGTTCGGCCGTGGCCCTCATCCAGCAGGTCCGGATGGTGCCCAAGCTTCTCCTTCTCCTTGGGGATCCTGGGATCCTGGCCTCTCGCGTCCGTCGGATCTCTCTCCTCCTCCGCCATTCACTCCAGGGCCACTTCAGCCTCAAAGATTTGTGCTGGTATTTCCACTCGGCTCCTGCAGCCCATCAGCAAATGGAGCCCCTGTGTCCCTGAAGCTTAAGCCAAAATATTTTTTCCTCAGTGCAGAGTTTGCTTTTTTCCAGCCACAAAACGAAGGACTCCCCCCCCCCACAACTTCACCAGCTCCATCAGTGGCGGGGGGGGGGGGGGGAGAGCAGAGGGGCAGTTCATCCATGCTAGGTCAACCCCAGAGGAACTGGGTGGGGGCTGCCCCTGTACATCAATGCCTCTGCTCCCCCCTGGGTTCCCTTGGGTCTCCCTTCTTCTTTCTACCGAAGTGTTAGCAACTTTAAAAAATGGGGACATTAATTCCTGCCTGCGCACTTCTAGGAGCTGAAGCTGGTGAGGAGGAGAAGCCCTGCTTTGCAACCTCAGAGGAGGCTTAGCTTCTCTTTATGACAAACTTCCTATTTTAGATTCACGAGTAGCCTCACCTTCCTTCTTGGTGAGGAAGTAGGGAAATATTTATTTCTCCTGTGAGCCACCTGTAAAATATTAGTTAGGGGTTCCTTCTAAAAGTGATTTGAAGGTCTTCATGTTTGCAATTTGATCTAACCAATTTACTTTTCCTTGTTCAGGATTGGCTTATTCTTGGTTTACACTTTATGTCCTGCATCTATTAATGAAAATGAGATCTTCTCCAATAATATTTCACAGCCATTTGGACAAGGTATGAAGCAGAATTGTATGTTGCTAAAAATATTTTAGAATATTTTTATTTACCTGTAATATAAAAATAAGGCACACAATGGCTTGCATCTTTGACATCTGGAAGTGGACAAGTGATAAAACATGCATTGCAATACAGACTCAAACCCTGAAATATTTGCGTGGGACATCACAATGGAAGGACAATGTGACGTCACAGAACACGCCTCACTGCATCATGCCTCGTTTTCAAGCAGTCTGCTTGTTCGAACAGTGGCTTGGAGTTTACATACAAACCTTAGTTAATGGATTGCCTGGTTTATGTTGCTGTGGTCTGCTCAGGTTACACGTCAAGAAATAGCATGCGATATAAGAGTCCTGTACCCCTCATGTCTCACCCGTGTCCTTCTTGGCATCTGTAGCTACTTATTGCTGATATTCTGCCTCTCAACACCAAACTCTAGTCCTGTAACTCTTGAAAAGATATAAGTTGGGCTGAGAGAATGGAGCATGAAGGCATCACCCCTGCAGCAGAGAATGAAGGACTTGCTGGTGCTTGTCTCTCATAAGAAATGGGAGCAGATGCCACTCTACGGTTGTGACAGCAAGGCTTGTAGGGGGTCTGTGTTCCTGCCTAATAAGTACCAGACCTAAGTTCGCATCAGGTGGAGTGGTGGAGAGAAGGAGGAGGAGACTGGAGCAGCACATATCCCCCTTTCAGCTCTTAAGGGAGCACCAAACCCGAAAACGGCAGGAGCTGGAGCAGTTGCTCAGCCAGGCAGGGAAGCAAACATTGCCCAGACCTGGTAGGTCAGGTAATGCTTCCCTCACCATCTCTTTTGGAGCCTCCCCTGCAGGCTCCACTAGCTCCCCATCTGAAGGGAAACTGGAAGAAGAAGAGGAAGAGGAAGAGCATAAAAATGCCTCTCTGTCTAAACTTGCTTGGAGTTTTTTAAAAAAAATCTCCTCCTTGGAACCAAAATTGAAATATATGGAAAAACTTCCAAAAGCTGCTTGTTTCTTTTTTATTACTCGCTGCTCTGCTAGTAGCTAGTAGCTCAAAGTGTCTATGTATAAAAAGAAATCTTGAACTCCATTTTGCAGGAATGGAAAGAAGACAGAAAGTTATGGTGCCACAAGATGCTTTCTGCCGCTTGCTTTGCCCTCAGGAATGGCTGCCATGGGGTGGGGAGGGGGGCAGCCCCAACATTCCTGCCTCTCTGCCCAAAGAGAGATGGCGGGGATGCTTCACCTGACAGGAAACCCCCGGGGGGCCAGGTACCTTAGGACGTATCTAACAGTGGGGCCCAAACAGGCTGCCTCCTGCAAAGAAAAGTCTTTGGCTGAAAAGGACATTTCCTTGGCAGGCAGACCATAAACTTAAGAATAAAGCCCGGTCACCCAGTGTCCATTCCTCCTCTTGAAAAACCACGTATTAGCTGGACATGGTAAAGTAAAACAAGGGATAAATCTCATATTTGAAGAGTTTCTTACTACCAGTTCAGGGGAATTATCTGCTGAATCTCACTTTGTTTTGTATCATGCATTCACTAGAAGTCCAGCATATTCAAATGCAGAATTTCACATACATTCTTTGGATTGTCTGATTTTTAGACTTAACTCAGGCACCTGGGAAAACGGTCTGGCTTCGAAATCAGTTGTTAAGCATGCTGCTAGATGTAATACAACCGGAGAAACTTCATTTGTCCTCTGAGTAAGTAAGAACGTGTGTCTGTGTGTATACAATCTTCTGTGTATACAGCAGTTAAAAGTACAGTGATAAATTTACTTCTTATTCTAACACTTTTTTTCTATTATCTAACCTGTCCAGTAATCAAAGCCATAAATCACTTTATCTAAAATAATAAACTGTTTAATCATCAGAAAATGACACAGATATTGAAATAGGGAAAGTTAAGGGGGGAATGGGAGAACAACCAAGCTTTTTGCTCTGTTTTCTGTCCCGAATGTTTTCTGCTCTACAGTCTGTAATAAAGATGAGATGAGGTGAGATGAGATGAGATAAATAGTGTTTGGATCTTATGACAGATCCAAGCAGGATTCTTATGAATTGCCCAGGGGTGTCAGAATTGGCAGTATATAGATTTTTTAACCCCCACCCCACCCCGCAATCCATAAAGAGCCTGCAGGGCCCTGGATTCCGTCTCCCACCAGGATCCCCGAAGCTGCAGGGAAAACTTTTCTTCCGGGGAAGGGGAGCCAAGCCCCTCTCCAGCCTTGACCCCTTGAGTGGGGGAGCCCTCCTTTGCTTCAGAGATGCGCAAACCTCAAAATCCATTTCCACCTTGTGTTGCTTTTACTTAATCAGAGGAATTCGTTTCTATGTGAACAAGATTAAGATTAGACTGTAACTGGATCTCTGTCACGTTTGGGATAACTGAGGGGTTTTAAAAGCACAACAGGAGCTCAGGAGCTAGCAATTTTTTTCCCTTTCTGCTGTCCTAGTAAGTCCACCATGTAGTATACAGTTACAACAAACAACATAAAAGTGTCGTGTCTTTCAATCCGGTGTTTCCCTCACAGGATCCAAGAAGAAATGTTCCAGGCCTTGGGCCCTGACTGGTTCCTGATGTTTATGCAAAGTCACGTCCATGAAACCACAATTGTGCTGGCAGCCAAACTGCTCTTCCATTTCCTGCACAAGCGTGCTCACCTGCATGAGTTCAGAGAGGGGATGATGGCGGGCCGCTGGCTGAGAAACAGCTTAGAGGGGCTGAATATTTTGACTGGTAGGCCCTCCGTGCGTCTGGTTGGCTTGCAATGAGATGCTGAGACTGGCTGTGGATCGTGGCTAATTATTTCAATAAATCTATCATCTCTCCTCCCCCCCCCCCCCCCCCCCGGTCTCTCGTCTGTTTGTCTCTGTTTGATTTCTGTAGAATTTATTAATTATTTTAAGATGTGTTTGCCTTTTGTTAAAAACAACCCTGACCCAATGTGAGCAAAAGCCAGCAGCCCAGCTCTTGCCTCTCCTCTCTGGGCCTGATCTTTCATGCTTCAGGTTTGAGCTCTTTAGCGGCTGAATCAAAAGGAGAGAGCCCTGGTTTTGGTGTCTTATTTGCTGGCCAATACAATTTAATTCTGGTTATTTGGTTGATAAACCTTCAAGCAATCCATGTTGAGACATTGTTTTATTTTGGGTATTAATGGAGACAGTAATGAAAGTAGGAAAGTTTAACTCAGCAGAGCCAACATCGAAAGGGAAGAGCGTGCAGTGGGGTCTTGGGGAGCGTATCCAACTGGTAGGTCACCCCCCCCCCCTCCTTCAGCCAGAGAAAGTGGCAAACTCCGCCCCACCCCCACCCCCCATGGCGGGTGAGCTTCTGTCCCTCAGAGCAGCCTGTGAGAATCCCAGCTAAGGAGACCCCCGGAGGGCCTAGCGGGCCCCCTGCTGCCACCCTGTAGGAGCTTCTCTGCTGGGACCAGCCACCCCCGAAGGCTGCACTGTGTAGCATTTCCTCGGGTAAATAAGATCAGTGTAGTCCCTTCCTGGGGACTTGTTCTTCTTTTATCCTGTAAGTCAGTTCAGAGAGAGCCTGAAAAAATCTTCTCGTTCTTTGTTTTAGACAATTTGAAGAGTTCCCCGCAGTTGTTTGAGTGCCACCCATATCAGCTCTCTGGATTGACGGAGCTAAAGATGTTCCTGAGCAGCTCAGCCCACATCCCTGAGATTTACCTCCTTCTCTCAGGACTCCTTCTGGACACACCAGTGTCCGACCCACCTGATGAAACTCAAGTAAGCCACTGCGCTGACACGGTAAAGGGTGGGGGAAAAAGTTTGTAGAAGCTGAAATAGTTCATTGAGTAAAGCGAAAGGACAGAGACTTTGAGTAAACCTTCCAAAGGAAACATTCACAGAAAAGGCAACAGAACAAGAAATGCCAATATTCAATAGCAGAATCTTCCTTAAGCTGGCGAGAGCCACTTCATGGCAGAGAGCACAGCAGCCCCTGCCTAGATTAGCCCCAGCCCCTTTCCTGGGAATCAAATCTGTGCTGAAGCTCATTTTGGGGAAGGGTTTCAAAACTCCCATTGTACATGATCACAATTATTCATGTGTATTGTTTACATCTCATGTCTATCAGCTATCAAAACTTCATTTGAAACAGGACCAGCTCATACAATTTAGAGTTAAAAAAGAATGGCACCTGTTAAAAATAGTTGGGGGAATTTCCAGCCTGTAGAATTAATTGTCCCATGAGGGAATATGTTCCCCTTCCCCGTCGCCTGAAGGTTAACAAATGGAAGTTTCAGTCACTCTCTAGGATTCTATGCCACGCAATCCACCTCTCCCAGATAGTTAGTGATTCAACCGCACAAAATCTTTGTGTGTTGGTACACGTTCAGGTATATCTTGTTTAATTTTTTGAGATGATGATGTGCATCTACAAAGTAAGCATAACAGAAAAAATGCTGATATAAATAGTCCTTCTGTCACATTTTTCTTTCTTTGATTTTCTTTTTCAAAAATGTACCAATGAATACTTTTTATTAACACAAAGAAACTTAAGGAACAACAAATTGAGCAGTGTTTTCTTCATTCTGGCTATCCACATCAAAGGAGTCTTTCTCAAATGTGTATTGTGATAAGACGGTGCGAGGTCTGCTCCTGATTTACTTATTTTGGTGTCCTAAGAATCTGCCTCACAGTATCTGGATTCAGGTTCCCTCCTTTGCCCATGTTTTGGATAGAATTTAGAAGCAGAAATCCCGTTGGAATCCGATGACGGTTTTGGAAGTATCTTTTTTTCCTTAGAGTCCTAGGTTCCCCCCCCCGTCCCCCCCCGGGAAGGCAGCAGGCCTAACTGCTTCAGGAGGAGCCACCCCCGCACCGTTGCTGAGCGGTGGGGTGTGGCTCGTCCTTCGGGACACTTTCTGCGGTCTCACGAGAGAGACGTTCCTTTTCCAGGCCGGCCTGGGTGCGAGGCTACAGTGGCTGCTGTGCCACCCCCCCACGGAGGCAGCAGTCCAAGCCGGCTTGTGTGCAGAGGCCGCCGTCCTGTTGCTGGAGATGGTCTCGTCCCTCACCAGGCAGGTGAGTTCCTGTCCTGGGCCTCTTGCAGGATGGAGCCCCACAGCCGCTTGGGAGGGTGAAGCAGCCCCAGTGGCAGGGACCGGCCTCCATGGACGCACATCTGAGCTCAGGCCATTTTGAGAATTTAGTACAAATTTTAGAACAAAAGAAAAGGAAAAGGGTTAAAGGACATGCGAGTAACAGGCGGGAAACCTGGTCTGCAGGGTCACTCTCAGACCGGAGCCTCTGCCCTGCAGAACGCATTTGGAGGGAGGCACGTTTGTTTAAGGTGCCAGTCCCTGTTTGTCAACTGGGTTTCGGTTACATGCGGTAGTTTGTTTATTTTATTTAGCCAAACTTATTTGCTGCCCTTCTTGCCAAACGTGATCCTAGACATTGAATAAATGCAGTATAAAACATTGAAACAATAAAGGTCGCAAGTGTAAAAATTCAGTTAAAATAAAACTAAACAGGGTGGGGGGGGGAGGGAGCAAAGTACGCACAAGGAGGAGGAAACACCCCCCCCCCCCCAAAAAAAACACAACAGGATGGAAATAAGGAGTGAGAAAAGAAAGACAGATTGCCCTGAAAGGGGAAGAAGAAAGAAGAGCCAAGTTCAGTTTTCAGCTCAGTGGCAGGAAGCCGTTCTCAAGTTCTTCCAAAGGGTCCAAGCTTTTCTTTATCTGCTATTATGTCTACTTTCCACTCATTTATTTTCTGTTCTCTCAATCAAAGTAAAACCTAAATAATTGAATGGCTGTTTGATAAAACTTCATGACTACGTTTTACGTTCTCCTTTAGATTCCAGCTGAGGGAGAGGATTCCTGGCAAACCAGCTTCCTAATGGACGTCCTGCACTTTGTCCGTCAGCTGTACCACAGATACCCTCAGGACCCACTCTGGTCCAGCTCCCCCTTCCTCCGAGCCCTGGCCTTGGCTGCCTTCCCCTCTGGGCCACCCCAGGTAGGAAGGGCTGCTGTTCTGTCCAGTTGGAACGGATTCCGTTCCGCTCCGCTCGGTTCCGTTCAATAGGCTGGTTCAGCAAGCAGCCAGCCCCATAGAAGTAAAGATAATTGGGGTGATGGAACAGACCAGGAGTTGGTACAGAGGCAGACAAGACCTTGAGGAATTGGAATACTTGATTTTTTTTAATTGGATAAATCTAAGATCCAGACGGTATTATTCCTCTTATGGCTGAATCTGAAATTTGACATTCAAGGACGATATTCAAATCGTACCAGATGATTAGATGATAGAAAACAAATTGATGCCTAATCCCAATTGAACTGAAGTCTTCAGTCAGTCAGAAGGCAAATGAAAGAAATGCTAACTGCCTTGAGAAACAGTTTGAAGGAAAAGACAGACCATAAAATGAATCAATAAATGATTCATACTTTCAACTGTGCTTGGTCTAATTTTGCATCTAAGCCTAGGATGTACTTTTTAGGCAACATATAAATGGTCTAGACATTATAAGGCTATTTCTAATATATGGGGAAATGCTCATTTTTGACCAGCTACAAGTTTTTATTTATTTATTTATTTATTTATTTATTTTGGTTTGTCAATTGCTTTCAAGATAATAAGTATAAGTAAAAACATAGTCATGAATACATGGATTCATATAAGAAAAAATATAAGAAACAATAGGACAGGGACGGTAGGCACGTTGGTGTGCTTATGCACGCCCCCTACAGACCTCTTAGGAAGGTTGTCCATGAGTTTGTATCTATTGTTTGCTCTTGTATTGTTATGGTTGAAACTGAAGTATTCATTGACAGGTAGGACATTGCAATGTATGATTTTATATACTATACTTAGACCGGACCGAAGGCAGCATTGTTCTAGGTTTTCTAGGTCTAGAATTTCAAGTCTGGTGGCATAAGGTATTGTACAACAAGTAGAGGAGTGGAGAACTCTTCTTGTGAAATATTTCTGGACTTTCTCAACTGTGTTAATATCAGATACGTAATGTGGGTTCCAGACTGATGAGCTGTATTCGAGTATTGGTCTAGCAAATGTTTTGTATGCTCTAGTTAGTAGTGTGATATTACCAGAGAAAAAGCTACATAAGATTAGGTTAACAACTCTTAATGCCTTTTTGGCTATGTAGTTACAGTGGGCTCTAGCACTTAGATCATTAGAGATGAGTACTCCAAGGTCCTTGACAGAGTTTGGATCATCAACAAGGTCTTGACAATTCAGCCTGTATTTTATTTTCTGATTTTTTTTTTGCCAATATGTAAGACAGAGCATTTATTTGTTGAGATTTGAAGTTACCATTTGTTTCATCATTCTGATCAAACATAGTCAAGGTCTTTTTGGAGGGTAGCAGTATTGTCTGTGGTGTTGAATAGCTTTACATCATCAGCGAAGAGAACGCAGTTGCTCTTGATATGATCAGAGAGGTCATTTATGTAGAGTATGAAGAGAGTTGGTTCTAGAACACTGCCTTGGGGGACACCACTGTTGACAGGTAAAGAATTTGATAGGACTCTCCCAATTTTGACCATTTGTTGTCTGTTTGACAGGAATGCTTCTATCCAGTTATGCAGGTGTCCAGAGATACCATAAGATTTTAGTTTTAGGAGTAGTTTGTTGTGTACCACTGAATCAAAGGCTTTACAGAAGTCTATGTAGATTGCGTCTATTGCTTTGCCCTGATCGAGTTGTGTAGTCCATATGTTTTTGCAGTGTAAGAGTTGCAGATTACAGGATAGTTTTTTTCTGAAACCAAATTGTTTATTAGAGAGTAGGTTGTTTGTCTCTAAGTGGAGGATAATGGATTGGTTAATAATTGATTCTATGACTTTACAGGTGATGCAGCATAAAGAGATTGATCGGTAATTTTCAACTAGGCTGGGGTCTCCCTTTTTGAAGATAGGGATGATCGTGGCTTGTGACCATAGTTTTGGCAAGGAGCTGGTCCTGAAAGATTTTTCAAAGATTATGCTTAGAGGTTCGGCTATGACAGTGGATAGCTTTTTTAAGAAGTAGGCACATATTCCATCTGGTCCAATAGATAGAGATGGTTTTAGATTGTGTAGTGCTTTTTCAACATTGTCTTCTGTAAAATCGATATGTATTAGATCATTGTTGTTATCTGTGGTACAGCTAGGAAATACTGGGCATGATCCATTGCTGTTTACAAATACTGAGCCAAAGAATGTGTTAAAGAGGTTGGCTTTAATGGTGTCATCATTGCAGTCTTTACCATTAGGTCCTTTCAGGGTTGGGATGGACCTTGAGTCTTTTAGTTTGTTATTTACAAAATTGTAGAAAGCACGGGTGGAATTGGTGCGTAGAAGGTTTTCCTCTTGTTTAATGTGATAATTGGTGCATTCAGTCTTTATCTGGTGGCATAAATTTTTGGATCCGCTTTTGAAGTTGGCAACGTGACCAGATTTGTTTTTCCACCAAAGTGATCTCTTTTTGGATTGAAGCTTCCTTATTGTTATGGGTAATCTGTTTTTTCTGGTTTTTGGAGTTGTTATTGGTACATATAGTTTGATGACTCTTTTGACTTCAAGTAAAAATATGTTGTAATGGTCTTCAACAGTATTGCATCCAGTGAATAGAAATTGCCAATCAAAGGATGAGAGATCGTTGTCTATAAGATCATAGTTACCTTTTTTGAAGTTATAACTGGGGATCACTTTGCTGTCTTGATTTTTGTGTGTGGATGTATGTTGAAACAAAAGTCAATCATGCTGTGGTCACTGTTGGAAAAGGGTTCTTTAATTTGTATTCCATAAATTGAAAAAGTTGTCCTTCTTACCTGTTTCTCTTCCTGGTTCAGGGAAGGAAGTTGCTTCTCTCATCCTACAAGCTGCTCTTCATTTAAACCCCAGGGTGGGAAATGCCAGGAAGCCACACTACAAGCAACTTGTGCTCAGAATTTCTAAAAGGGAGAAGCAGATTCTTGGAGTTAAATAATCTGTAGCTGCAACCTGAAAAGTGTAAAGCCATCTCAGAAATCAGGAGACCAGATTATTATTATAATGATAATTATTTTATTTTTCAAATGATGGGAGGAAGTGGGGAGGACAAAAAAGCAACACGTCATCATCGATGCTGGCCACTGCTCAGGAAGGACTCCCCATTGCTCTGGCGATTGCTCTCCACGCAGCCATCCGACGATGGGAACATTAGCCAAGTGAGGAGCCCGGGGGGCCCTAATGTGCTCTTGGAGCCCGGAGAAACGATTCTGAGCGAGTCCAAAGTGCCAGTTGGGGAAGAGGCCTCTGGATTTTCCCACAAAGGATGAGCTCGCTTACAGAGTGGGGCTCTGGGATACTCTTTCTGACAAAACCCATCTTTGTCTCTTTCCCACCAGAAATGGTTTCAAAGGGCTTTTAATTTCTAGCATCCTTTATTTCTGCCCTTGCTCATTTTCTGTATGCAATTTCATCTAACATCACGACTGCTGCTTTATTACATTTTAGCAATCTGTCTTATTTGTGGTTTTATGTTTATACAGTTGATATTTCAGTTGTTGATCTATTGTTTTCCTGATGGGGGATAAAACATAACTGTGGAAATACAACACAACCTGCCGGTCCCCCGCTGGGATTGCTGATGCTTTCCTGTTTTTCCAAGATGGCGGAGGGAGCGGGTGGCCTTGTCCCCACAGCACAGCTGTTGCCTCCTCCCAGGGAAATAACCACACTGCCCTTTGTGATTCTTGTGATTTCAGCCTCCAGTTAGGAAAGAAGTTTGGGACTTGATTCACCTTCTCCTGAGGGGAATAATGCTGCTGGACTGGAGGGACAAAAGTTGGCACCCACTGGAGTTCATGCTTGAGGTCTGATGCATTTGTCTGTCCCTTCCGTTGTGGGGTGAGATGGCGGGAGGGAGCTCCAGGATTGGCAGCTCCAGGATTATCCCTTACTTGCCCACTGACACACATCCTGTCCCTTGTTATTTGCATTGTTACTTAGGAGAACCCTGTAAGTAGAAAAGTTTGATGAAACAGAGAGGAAGCGGGTGCTTTTGCCCACTTTTTGCTGTACACCCCGTGCATTCCAGAGTTTTTGGAAGATTTTGCAAGATTAATTTCCTTAGGGAACTTATGATGTACAAGTATGACTCTCTGTGCCATACTGCAGCCTCGACAGGGAACTATAGAGTATTAGAGTATTACCACCAACCTTTTACTGAGGGAAAGGCCTGGTTCTGGAAACTGCCATCTTATTCTTATTGTCTCATTCTTTTAAAACATTCTCTGAAAATGTTTTCACTCTAATGTAACCTTCCTAAGAACATGGGGGTTTGGGGGTTGAGGTTGCTAATAACACTAACCAATAGTGTTCCCTGAAGACTATCCATCGTTTATATATTATCGCAATACAGGCCTCTCCAGAGAATGCAGCTATTGAGCAAAAGATGTGCTTCCAGACAGAGCTATTGCTTTCCATTATAGAGATTGTCCTTGATCAAAATTACAAGGAAACCTCCAGTTTAACAGGTGAGTATCACCTGCAGTTCAGCCATCTTTCCACCTGAACCTGCCTGAGATGCACAGAACATACCGTGAGGTCCCTGCAGGTATTGCTGAACTGCAGGTCCCAGCAGTTTTTTTCAAACAGTCATGCGAAGTGTTGGAAGTTGCAATTTAGCCGTATGTTCTAACCTGAATATCTGGGGAGCCGGTAACAGCAATACAAGTCACTTTGCTGGAAGTCTTGTAAAGAACACCGTATCTAATCAACCTTGAACTAATTCAGCAAGTCCTCCTGGGGCCCTATGGTGGGGGGGGGGCCTGGGCTCCTCCCCACCAGATGGGCTGCAGTAGAGTCTAGTCTGCCTGCAACCTCCCCCTGCCTGCTCCAGTCAGGGTCCCTGCGTTGAGCAGGTGGCAGGGTGGGACAGAGGCCCAGGGGTCTCCCCCACTCCCCAACCCCTTTGAACCTTGTGGGTTGTGTGTTCCTGACCATTTGTGTCTTTGACCAAGTACAGTGGAGCTTAGACAGTAGGAAGCTGTGGATACCTTGCTTACTCATAAATAACACAATAACCTCTTAATCAAAACATTATTTGTAGAAATGAAAGTTTCTTCACTGAAGGTGTACATTTTTCTAACAGTTTAAACTGCTTGATTGCCAAGTATGAGGATTGATGTTTACCTATATTTTATTTATTAGATTTAGCAGTATATTTATTAGTAAATATAATCTAGCATTTGATTGCATTTTAGAAGTGCAACCTTCTCTTCCCCCTTGCAGGAAACGGTGATACCAGGAATGTTTTGGAATCTGCAAGGCCTTATTTTCTAGTAAATGTTTGCTATTTTACTCAGAAGCTGGTAAGCAAACTTCACGAGGGAGTGTTTGTCACAGAGCCGAGGAAGACCATCCTTTTCATCTCAGAGCAAGTGCAACTGGTAAGGGCTCTCCTCCTCCTCCTCCTCCTCCTCCTCCTCCTCCCCCCCAGGTGCCATTCTCAGCCATTTCCAGATAGCAGCAGATGTACCAAGTGATGCCGCTGTAAGCTTATTAGGGATGGTTCCCACCCCAGGGATGCTACTTCTGTGACAACAAATAATTACCCTAAATTCTCTTTGTAATGGATTTAATTTTCATTGTGAGGGGATTGATAGCTTGAATGCTCGCTCACACATGCTCAAGCTTGTTGGAGAAGGAAAGTAGTTGGATTAGAGAACATTTTGCACAAGGCAAACGGGCATTTAAGAATCATTATTAGATATGCATTTCAGTGCACAATCTCACATGCCACAGATTAAAAACAACAGACAAAAAGAAGAAACATTTTCATTTATATTTGCGTGTGGCTGAATGTCTGTAAGCACAAGCAAAAACAAATTCCTTCCTCATTCTGTAACATTTTGTTGCAAAACTGGATGCATAATTACTTTTAAGTGTCTTAGATTAGGATTATTTTTAAATTTTTCATATTTTTATGACATTGTGAGTCTTATCCCTAAACACGATGCATTCTGAGCCTCTTGACTATTTTTAATAGGTGACAAGAAAACTTTTTCCCCACAAAGAATCCATGATGAGCAATTTGTACAACTGTTTGAACCGCAGCATCCTGTACTATTTATCGAATTCTTCTTCTGGGTCCCAAAGTCTTCTGGAAGTTCTACAAACTCTTCAGATGCAGTGGGATATCATCTTTGCGGTGCACAATTCGAGCCTGGATTTCATCACAAGCCTTTTGTATTGCCTACTACAACTGAAATCTATGAGGTACGGCAGTGTTTTCTTACTCTGGCAGAGCTGTTAGGCAAGGGAACAGAAATTTACAGAAACTTTTTTCAGAGACAATATGTTTCCTCGGGGGTATGCATTTCAACAATACTCACTGAATGATTTCAGCATGGTCAGTGTAGATTTGATCTTGAAGAAACTCGAGGACTTTAATCTAGAACACAGGAACAAATATGCTGGATATGTCCCGCAGTTTCAATGACTCCCATAAGGACCAGTTTGTTTCCAGTCATGTTTCAAAGAGAGGCTGTTCATCTTTAAAGCTTATTTTAAATCTGGAGGGAAGAAGTTTTTGACGTTCCTGAATTGGAAGGGGTGGGGGCCAGGGGTTATTCCAACATCAGGTATGGAACTATGTATGTATGGAACTATGAAGTCCCCGTCACAAGAGAGTAAACTTTCAGTCAATCTATGATTGTTCCTGGTGAATAAATAGTGTCACCTACTTCCTGTCGAACCACAAGTGTGGCATATTTCTTGACCCCAATTGCCTCTTGCTTTATTCTGGTTTGTTTCTTGGGTAGTTTACTGGGCCAGTTTGCCATTTCCTTGGAAAGTCTTAAGAACTCTGTTTGGTCTTGGGCAGCGGAGTTTTATCAGAAGGTTGCAACCTTCTGTGGCACCAGGAGGAAAGTCCAAAAGATGAAATGATACACGTGGCAACAAAGAACTCTGCTAGCTGGGTAGAAGGCCATTTTGCCTTCAAGAAGAACCCAGAAGCTGTTTCCGTTTAGATTTGGAAGGTTTCTCCAGCTTGGAAATGACAGCATCAATCCCTCACTGGTAGAACAATAGCACCACGTCTAGTTTGAAGGACAAAGGGGGAAAAATGGATCCATACATGGAATCCATCCTAGGGACATAGGGACAAACACTTCTTTCACCACGAAATGCTGTGTTTGGCCAAAGTAAATCCCCAAATAGCAGATATTGAAGAAGTATGTCTTTTAGTTGTTGATCTTGGTTATTAGACTTCTTAACAATCAGCATGTATTTTAGAAAATTCTTTAAAAAGAAATATATTAGGATTAAGTTGCATTAAATAATCCACAGCCCAATGTTTTTTTCTCAGATAGTGGTCTTAATGAATCTGCTTCTATTTTAGCCAGAGGTTTGTTTATTTTCTGTATTACAGCTACCATGAAAAGGGTGAGGCAAAATGGATGACGACTTCGAGTTCCCCCATTTTTCTTGGGCCGGGAAAAGAGGAGGAGAGGACCGGTGATCTTCCTGGCCTGAAGGATGGTAAACATGACACGATGGGTGTGGAAAAGGAGGCAGAATGGAGGTCGGTCAAGAGAAGGAAGGGAGGCGGCTGCTGTAGATGCCTCCAAAAACTGCGTACTTCCTCCAAGCACCTAGGGAACTAGTCCAAAAGCTCGCAGGGAAAGGACGGTGTTTCACCTGGAACTTAGACTAAAAGAAATACGCAGTAATGGATTAATGGCTTCCAAGCAACAGATATTGCATCCAGGCCAATGCAGCCCACATGGATTATGATGACTTTTGTACTAAGGACCTAAGCTCAACACTCACCTACTATAGTCTCTTTAAAACATGGGTGCATTTTGTAACTAGATATAGAAACCTTGTCACCCAAATTGCTTATAATTTATTGCATAGCAACAAAAAAAGACAATGTTACATGAGATACGTGGAGAGATATGGGTCATTTATTATTTTAGTCATGTCTGCTCTGATTTCTGCATACATTCTGGACAGGCAGCATCAAAATCTGGAATGCTGCGAGTGATTTTGCTTTAAGGATTGAAGGGTCCTTAAATATCCGCAAAGCTGCTGATCAGACTGACCTTGGAAGGCCCTTCAGTCTGGAAGTGATGCCTGGCCCTTTTGTTGCTGTAATATTTTCACCCCAAAACATGCTTGCTCTTTGTTTATTTTCAGTTCAGCAAGAGATCCAGAGGGCAGCTGAGGAAATCTGGCTCTGCCTTCTTTCTAGAAGAAGAAAGGATTTAGAGGATGCCTATAAAACCTCTTTATTTAAAGAGAAGGGCGATGGAGAAGAGACCATGAAGATGGCTGATGTGGCTCCTCTTTGGGAAGAGGTCATGAGGAAGACCTGGCAGGGCTTTCTAGGTCTCTGCTCTTAAAGTACTCAGAGGCTTTAACGGAAGTGGCTTCACCGCACAGCTCTCCTTGGCCTTGGGGGGGGGGGGGGGGGGGGGTCGGCCCAGGAACTGTCCGTAACCAGGAAAGGTGCTCCCAAGCGAGGGTCCACAGGCTCCATCGTGGCCCGAGCTTCTTCATTCATTTGGTGGACTGTAACTGGTGATGACAGGTGGGATTCAGAGATGCCCCAAATGCCACCTAGCTGGATGCACTACTGTCTATTGCTCAACAGTAGAAAGAGTCTTATAGATTGCTATTTGGAGAACACAAACGTCCAGGGCAGAGGAAAAAGCAACTGGCAGCCACTGGCTGGGATGCCAGCTTTGCCCTGGGCCTTGCCAAGCCTGTGCTCTTTGTGGGATAACATTGAAGCCACCAAGGTGGCATCAATGGTCAGGAATAGAGGTTGTGTGGCACCTGAAGTGGAACAACATAACAATAACTTTAACGGTGCTTGTTGCTCCTTTTCTCTCTGTGCTTCCAGCGTCAGAAAAGAAAAACTCCCAGAGCAAAATTCTCGTCAATGCTTCCAGCAAGACGAGTGCTTTGAATGAAAGCCTGACTCCTGGCAGGAACCTGAAACAGGTGATACACAAAACTGTCTGAAACTGCCTTTCCAAACCCCTATGGGAACCTCAGGTGCCCCCCCCCCCCCCCAAAAAAAAAAAAAGAGTGCAGGGTAATATCTTGAGCTTGAAGTCCTAGTGCTGGTCTATTTGCTGACATGCAACGTGGCTCGAATAACCAGGGCTCCCTTTTCCCTCCTGGGGAGAGTGCCAAGGGCAGCGAACGGTCGGTGGACAAACTCGAGGCTGGTTTCGTAGCTGCTTTTGTTGGCTGAGAAAGAGATTCAGCCTAAGTAACTTCCTTCCAGGTGTGATGGGAATGCACATTACTGTTCAATGCTGGCACCATCCATTTGCCTTGGGGTCTGTTTAATTATTTCTTAAAATTAATTTTGATTATTACAGCTGATTACACATCACTGAGCAAAGTAATTGATATTTGTTAATGTATCCCAAGGAACATTTTGTACAACTTGTATTTGCTGTTGAAGGTTAAAGACTATTATTGGTTTTTCCCTAAATGTGCCCACATCATTAGTTCTCATAGTAGGAAAGGATGCCATCTGGAAAAGGCCGTGTAGACGCATTATTCAGGCACAAGTGCATGAAATTGAGCTTTCTGCATCTTCTGTCTTTCTTTTCTACAAAGAAGATGCTTGTAATTAAAGGAGGGGAACATTACTCATTTTGTGTTGTTTTGGGTAATGTCAGCAACTGACACTACAAGATCTGATAGACTCGTCCCTGCAGTGTGTGGCGTGCAACTGAGCCTCCAACTCTTGGCTCTCTTTCTGCTCCAGGCAATTGTGTGTTTTTTTCTCTGCTTTTCGAGAAAATTAGTTGTACAGCGGACTCAGTGACTGACAGGAGATCTCTGGGACTTCCAGATCCACAGACAGACAGACAGATAGACAGGCGGATACATTCTTTATAGCTCTGGTGCACCCAGGCGCTTTTTCCCTTTTGTGCACCTTGGAAAGAAAAGAAATCCAGAGCGCGGGTGATTTATATTTTCCGCTCCCTCCTAGATTGTTTCGTTTTCCCACTCAGCCTTTCCCACTGAAGGACCTTAGCAATAATAAGCAAGAGAGGGCAGGAGGACAAGCTGGCCCTTTGCGGAGCCTTACGAGGTCAGCCCTGCCTGGCCAAAGCCTCCTTTGGGGAATTAACCTGGCCTGCTTGCAGAGGGTCCTTGAGGGGGGGCCCTTGTCGTCCCCTGCTGCTTTGCTTCCCCAAACTCGGCCCTCAGCCCCTACAGAGACAGCGGGTGGGTGGGGGGGCGGGTGGAGGTGGATGGTGGATGCCCAGGCGGACAGATGGTGACTTCCAGGGCTAGGAAGTGTACAGGAGCTGAGTGGCACTGCTACAAAAATCCATGGCCAGGTTTCTTGCCTTTTCCTATCTTCCTTAATCTAAGCAAGTGCCGTTGATCCTCTCCTCGTTGCCAGAAACTTTCCCAATTAGAGGTTTGGTTCCCCCCCCCCATCTGTTAGGCATCCCCTGGGATAGATCTCAGGGGACCAAGATAGAGGGAAGTCAGGCATTGCAGCTATAAGATCGTGTTAAAAAAAGAGAAAGAACTCCTTATTAAAACCAATATATGGATCTTTTAATTAGAAGATATTTGAAAATATCTGACCCCAAAGAATGAACTGGTGTGTATCTGAGACTGAGCAGATGATGCCTCACATGATCTGACTTTCCAACCGGTGTGGTCTGGAAGTGGCCTTTCCCTTGGAGAGGTTGGTCTTCTGCACCAAATGTCTGTTTCTGCTGCCTCTTCTTCCTTGCCAAAACTCGTGACTTTGCCCTGATCTTTATAGATCTTCCCTCACCCTGGACCCAAAGCTTCCCTGGAGGGTTTCCTCTCAAAATAAATGCCTTTCCACTGGCATGTCTGAATGAGAGCTTCTCTCATCCTAGGTGGAAATGATTTGTCACCAGGAGAAATTGTCATAAAGTTTCTTCACTCACTAGTGCAACTCTCAACACGGAGCATTTTCATAGCATTCAGCTATTCTCCCCGCTGGCAGGGACTTCAAAGAGGAAAATGTCCAAATTTACCTTTAAAAACAGACCATATTTATTTCCCCAAACAGAAAAGGGGAAATAGTTGTTTTTACAATCCAAGCAGAAGTTCTTGTACATATAACTAATAATTTTCTGGTAACTTTTAACTGTTCCTCTGCGCGTATGTTTTTGGGTGCCTGCCTTAATATTCATGTCAATCTCTTTGCTTCTTAACACGGTGGCTGCAATTAGTGAAAGGTTGCAAGTCCCCTTTGCCCACCCAGACAGATCAAAGGAAGTTGAGGCGACACAACTCACAGTCACATCTACTGCAACTCATTTATTAATATGGTGTCTGTGACCCCTTGTGTACCACGTTTTGAAGGAAGCACATAATGCTCCTGTGACGTGTGTGTAGTGGCCCCCTAGACATACTTTGGCAAAAGTCGATTGTTCTGAGTTCACAAGAATTTCCAGTGGCTGCGTTAGGAAGTCATCTGTCCAAATGTGAGGTGTTTTGCCTGCCATCCTTTTCATAGCCGGTGCTTCACCAGTATGTGAAGGGCGCAATGTCAGCATCCTTTTTAAATCACTTATCATAATGCCCTGTGTATTGTTTTGATTTCAAGAGACCAAACAAGCAAATTTATAATTAATTATATTTCTGCTAATCATTTGTGTAACATCTTAATCTTCATAATAGAAAGATAATTAACACCACTGATTATCTAATTAAATTCATTAAGCATCTACCGACAGTGCTCTATGAGGCTGACATTATGTTCCACTGTCAACAAATGCTTTGATTTCTTAGGAAGTAATTAAAATGTAAATTAGCATGCCATTAAATACACAGGGGGACTTTTGAATCTGATATTCATTTCAGAACCGTTCATGGCAACCCATTTTTTCTTTCAGTGCAATCAGACGATTTGCTTTTAATGATGTATATTAACTTTTTTCCCACTGCAACACGAATGCCTTTTTTGATATCTAGAAGCGGCATTTCTTTAAAACTACTGATTTTACTGCTAAATCTGGATTATTTCTGTCGATGCAGGAAAAGCGTTCCCAGCACTTAGATCAGACCACAGAGTGGCACCGATAACACTAAGGGCATCGTTGCATTTTAATTTCATAAAGAGGAAAACATTTGTTCCTTCTGCTGCAAATCTTTGAAGCCAAAATACTCTGCCGGTTGCTTTATTATATCCTGGTATGGATCTCGAACTTTGACACTGCTGTGGAACAAATTCTTTCTACTTTTTTTTACATTCTATTCTTACTGAAATAGGCTAATGCTGCCACCTTGAATTTGGGTTCCTGCTGCCACCTTTCAGCCCCATCTTCTACCCATCTTAGCTCCTCTTTCTTTGGCTCTGCCTCTTTCCCGATTCTACCTCTCCGTCAACTGGTGGAAGGGCCTCCCCCCCACCCCCCTCCCAGAGGTTTACAAAAAGAGATCGGAGAGCCGTTTCTCTCAAATTCTCTAGGGCCTCATTCTCCAGCAGAGCTACAAGGTCCGAGGCCCCTTCTGTTATCCTGTTATCCTTTTTCTTTCTTCATTTTTTTCACTTTCTACCTTCTGCTCTTCTTTATTCCCCCCCTCCTTTGATCTTTTTTCTTTTCTACCTGTGCCATCACTCTCCTTGAAGCACACACACACACACACACACACACACACACGCGCGCCCGGTTTTCCCAGTCTGTCGAGGGTGGGGACCTGGAAAAGTTTGGTCCATGACAGAAAAGATTGCAAGATTCTCACCCCAAGACTTCTTAGCACAATTTTAAAACTCATTCAAGTTTTACTCATCAAATGTGAAGCACAAATGTTTTGTTACAGACATCAATTTAATAGTAATTTTTGTTTTAAATCAGGATTTTACGTCATATTTAGAAAAATGCAGGAGAACTGGCCAAGAACTGTACGCGGTTTTATGCAAGGATCACGTTGAGGTAAGAAACTAAAAAGTGGCAGGGAAAACAAAGCGTGATTGGACGCATCAAAGAAAGGAGAGGGGATTGTTTTATTGGCTGATTGGTTACATTGATCGCATTTATACCTGCAACCATCACGATGAGACCCTGAGAAATTTACATTAGTAAAAATGGGGAAAGAAAGAAGACGGTAAGATTGAGGAAATAATTCATAGTTATAAAATCATGATTGTGCTCATCCAGTAGAGTTGTCACGCATCAGATTCCCTTGAACCCTTAACTCTCTTTCCTGGTCTTCTTTTAAAGAAGACGTTGTCTGAGCAGGGAGATCCCTCTTTATTTTGAGTGACTTGGTTTCCCTTGCAGGCAGAGATTTAGATGAAACCGAACCTTTGCAGTGCATTTTCTCTGCTAACAGCAAATCCTTCTGATCAAGGTTTCAGCCAATCTCTGATCCGGTGATCTATTCCATGCTTATTTGTCCTTCTGTGGCTTTCTTCCCATTTTATCCCTCTCTGTTACAAAATACTACTTTATTTTATTTTTATGGAAACCTTCGAGCCCCAAATGCATTAATATCTACATTTCCTTCTCCGTGACACTCGGATAACAGGGATATAGCAGCAGTCACTACCGGAATTTGCTTCTAGTGGGGGATTTGATATTTGTCTGCTTAAAATAGAGTGAAGTGAGGGAGTTATTGCTCTCCAAGTAATTACAGGAAAGAGTAGCTCTAAGAGGAATTGACCCTCACGATCTCCCATTCTGCCTAGGTGGAGTTTTGTAGAGCAAAGTACTAAATGCAGTCATCTCTACTACCTTCAATTTATTTAGTTTTGATTGAATTTAAATATAACCAAGGCAGGCCAGTTCAATCAAGAGTCCTGGTAGCCCTTCAAAAGCAATAGGCCTCCCTCAGCCCCAACGAAATCGTCAGTTGCTGCCTTCTCACAGAAATAATTCCACAATAGATGCTGACCGGCCGGCCCTGGTTAAGCTGCTGGGGTAGAAGGAGGGGGAAAGCGACGTTCAAGTCCAGCCTTCCCTACGGGGCAGTTTTGAGTTTTCCTCTCAGCCCAACCTGCCTCTTGTGGAGAAGGGAGGGGGGGGAGGAGGGGGCACTCAGGGCACCCCCTGGAGCTCCTGCAGGTAGGTCACTTGGGTATTTGCACACCTCTAAGAAGTAAGGCGCTCCTTTGCCTTTCGAGGCCCAGGGGCAACTCCTGGGTAAGTGGAGGAGGAGGAGGAGGAGGAGGAGGAGGGATGGAGGGATGAAGCCTCGGCTGCCAGGGATTCTCTCTCTCTTTCCTGCTACAGAGGCTGCTGTGCCTCCACTCGAAGTCTGCCAAAGCCTGGACAGACCTGGAAGACAGGCTCTTTAGGGAGGGGGGCCCGTGGGGGTCTGCGGTAGCTTCTCCTGTCACCAGGTGGGTCCTGGATGCCTATGAAGGTCCTGCTCGGATGAGGAAGAGGATCCGGGTCAGAACCGCCCACACGGAAACCTCGCAGAACAAGGTGAGTTGCCTTCGGGGCAGGAGGACACGAGAAAATGGGATCCAGTTTCCTCTTGCCCAGGGGGTCTCGTCAACTGAGACTGCCCCAAATCACCGGCCACTTCGTTGCGCTGATGGCAACTACAAGTTTAAAATTCTGCCTTCCGGTGCCGCCAGTGCCAGCCAGGAAAGAGCCAGGCTTGGTGCTATAAAAGAGCTCAAGGTGTGTTTTTTAGTCTTCTGAGCTGGCAGGCCGGGAGCCTTGCTGCCTGTTGACGATGCTGGTATTTGGGAGGGGAAGCGGTTACTGCAGTCCCTGGTTAGGCCTAGGATAACGGTGCAGAATTTTAGGCCAAGAAAGGCACAAAACGGGCCAGTAAACTGATCGTGGGATGCAGAGCAATTACAAAAGAGAAGAGGGCAGGAAGCAGAATCCCCTGCCGCTGGCTGAGGTGATGTTGGAGGAAGGAAATGAAGGATTTCCATGAAGGAAATAAGCGGATGGGACAGCGCAGTGGTTAGAGTGCAGCATTGCAGGCTAACTCTGCCCACAGCCAGGAGTTCAATCCTGACCGGCTCCAGGTTGACTCAGCCTTCTGTCCTTCTGAGGTGGGTCAAATGAGGACCCAGATTGTTGGGGGCAACAGGCTGACTCTGTAAACCGCTTGGAGAGGGGCCATAAAGCCCCGTAGAGCAGTATATAAGTCTACAGTAAGGGCTCTTGCTGTTGGCTGCTGGCTGTGGTTCCAGGTACATCCGAGTCCTTCCCCTGTGCAGAAGCCGCCTGGCTCCATCTCCGGATGCCAGGTCTCCACCTTCCATGCCTTCTGTGCTTACAGCTCAACCCTCTTCTTTTTCTAGGCCCAACAGACCCAGAAGGATGCATCTGCTGCTCCAGCTCTTTTGGAAAATCCAGGTAATGTCCCCAGATGAGAGGCTGGGATTAAACAGAAGATGCCGGCCTGACCCCAGGGGCCACACAGGCCTGGCAGTCTTTACTAAACCCAACATTTCCAACCCTCACCTTCCCACCTGCTGGCGTGTTTTGTAAGAGTGGGCAGCAAACGCTTTGTTTTTTAAAAATAATAATTTTATTTTCATATGGCAGAGTCCCTAAGCTACATGATAAAAACAAAGATTATATTTTCAGTTAAAGAACGGAGCGTCTAGAATAGAATAGAATGGAGCAACAGAGTTGGGACCTTAGAGGTCTTCTAGTCCACCCCCCTGCTTAAACAGGAAACCCTACACCACTTCAGACAAATGGTTGTCCAACCTCTTCTTAAGAACTTCCAGTGTTGGAGCATTCACAACTTCTGGAGGCCAGTTGTTCCACTGGTTAATTGTTCTCACTGTGAGGAAAATTTCTCCTTAGTTCTAGGTTGCTTCTCTCCTTGATTAGCTTCCATCCTTTGCTGCTTCTTGTCCTGCCTTCTGGTGCTTTGGAGAATAGCTTGACTCCCTCTTCTTTGGGGCAGCCCCTGAGATATTGGAAGGCTGCTATCCTGTCTCCCCTGGTCCTTCTTTTCATTAATATATAATCTAATACACTGTATGGGCTTTATAGTCTAATATAAGGATCTTCGTGTTCTTGGACAATCCTCTGCTAATAAGGTGCTGCACAATTTCTGCTTTTTATTTTAATGCAGGTGAACGACCAGCCCTGACTAGAGAAGGAGAAGCAGGTCGGGATCAGCTGACATTTTTTCCTGCCCTGCATGAACACCTCCATTCGGAGGAAATCTTGGAAGTTTGTGTGGAAAGGAAAATCATCCTGCAGGAATTAGTCCGAGGCGAAAAGGTACAAGCAGAAGAGAAGCAGCTCAGCCGCTCTGCTTCTTGTCCGGCGCACCTGGGCAGGGCTCTGGTCAGAGCTCCCTCCAGGCCCGAATTTGGATGTTCTCCTGTTGCAAAATGAAGGGGGCCAGGCGGGCCCCCCCCATTCCAGTCAGGAGGCAAACTGTTCATCAAGGAAGCAGCGTTGGGATTCCAATTTTTCTACCACCGGTTCTGTGGGCGTGGCTTGGTGGGCGTGGCAGGGGAAGGAGACTGTCAAGCCTCCAGTCAGAGGTGGGATTGGCCGGTTCTCCGAACCCCTCAAAGTTTCCGCTTCCGGTTCTCCAGAACCGGTCAGAACCTGCTGAATTGGCCCCCCTGCTGAATTCGCCCCCTAGTCTTTTTATGCTCAGGGTGGATTAACTCTGCCACAGACTAAGCTATGGAAGAGAAGCAGGGAAATTACCTTAGTATGAATAAGGCTACGTGATGGGAGGAAGGCCGTTGAGGAGGGCTCTGTCCGTGAGGATTCTTTATTTGTGAAATATTGAGCCCTGGAGACAAAGTTAGCACGGCCGTCGTCACCATCTTGCCCGTTTAGGTTACCTGCCGCCTGTCTGTGGTGATGGTTGATGGACACGTGGTGTCGGAAGGGGCGCTTCTCCTTGGCCGGGACCACTTCTACGTCTGCAGGCACTTCACTCTGTCCCACCTGGGGGAGGTTTATTGCACCAGCCATTGCTTGTCCTGGTGAGTCGTTCCCCCTACCTGAGCGGCACTCGGGGGCTGCCCAGCCTACTGCTGGCTACTGATAAAGGAGGCCCTGTCCACACGGGGCCAGTTCCTCCCAGTTTGTAATGGGAAGGGGCTGAGGTAAAGAAAAGGGGAGGGGTTCAGGCAGAACTGTAACCTGAGGGCATGCGAGGAGGAGGGGGAGGAGGAGGTTTCTTATTCTGGTCCATTCTGAAGGGCTGACAGATGTGCAGAAAGGAAACACTTCTGGGAGGGAAAAACCTAAGAGATACAAGTGTCAAGTACAACCGATCCTAGTTACACCACAGCCTTTGGGGGCATTTCTATCACCAAAAGGTGCAAGATATTGCAGTCCCCGTTACAGAGGGAGGGAGGGAGGGAGGGAGGGAGGGCCATGTTTTTCATTTACCTCTGCTTGGTTCATTGCAATTCAGCCGTTCTCTCATCTTTCCAGCATCAGGGAGCCATTCATTTACAACTTGTGCTATGCCACGGAAGCCACGGCTGGAGAGCCCATGTGTTCCTGCCATTCCTTCAGTGACATCAAGGAGATCCGGCCGATGCATTTCCTTCTGCAGGTAGGAACCAGCTGCCTGTCTGTAAAGTTTTCAATGGATGCTCAACAGGTTAGAATGAAAGAAATCGACAACCATTATATAAATGCACCAGCTGTTCAATGCTTCCTTGGATGGCAGAATTCTGAAATATCGGAATGAATGCCATACCTGCCTTTGAGTTGAATAGTGTGCTCTAAATCTACAACTTGACCGGGGACAGACCAAGAGTAATAGCAGCGATAAACCAGGGAAGTATAAGCATTCAATAAACCCCCAAATTTGTATCCTGTCTGGGTTTTGCCAGGCTAAAGTGGTTTCTGATTTTGGCAGTTCCTCCAAGCTTGAGTCTTCCTGTCAGTGGGGGATGCTTTAAGCAATAGCAGATCTGGAATCGCCTAGAGGAGCCAGCTCCACATAAACGATGGTTCTTCGAGCAGAAACCTTATAAGGTTTTCAGCTTCAGGATAATTGATTGACTGCCTGAGCAGGGTGTGTGTGTGTGTGTGTGTGTGTGTACACGTGCTATTAACACGACAATGAATTCTAGGGATAGCAGCATGGGGATCCCGAGATCCCTGGATCTTGTCCGATTGGCTAGATGTTTACCGTTGAAATTGCTTAGAGAAAGAAGCGTTTTCTCCTTTCTTTTGCAAGGTGACCGGGGCCCATTTGGTTTGTCTCCACAGGATATAGCACTGGAGGTCTTCTTAAACAACGGCTATTCCATTTTCCTTGTATTCCACAACAGCGACAGGAAAAAATTCTTGACAAGGTACCTTTTGCAGAAGCTATGCAGAAGCTTTGCTTCCTGCCTGCTCCCAAAGTGTTTTCTTCAAGAGTTCATTAGAAATCTTACCTCTCCATCATAGATGGCACACCTGGCTGCTTGCACTGTTTGAAAAACTTTCATTCTGGGCCACAGAACCAGGTGTCCCATCACCGGCTGTTGCTCCTTTGGGCCTCACTATTAAACATTCTAGGAAGGTGCCCAGATTAATCTGCTTGTTCTAGTTATATTCATAGGACGGGTAGATTTCCAAGACCTTCTTCTTTGTTGTTTCTCTTATATCTGCAGAATATTAAGACAGACCATCGCTAAGCCCAAACCCATTCTGGCCTTAGTCGTGTAGAGCTGAGCCTAGCAGGTTGGCTTCGTGAAAAACCCGGCAGGCTTGAGGAATTGCTCTTTCTGGCCTGGTTAGAGTGAACACTAAAATAACTGTGAGATATGAAAAATCAAGTGGACCTAAAAAATAAATAACTCTTGAAGAAAAGACCAATTATGTTATCGTTTCTTAATTGTTTCTAACCCAATGGATTTCTAGAAAGAAATTATTTAAGAAAGTTGAGGCCTGTTTATCAACAGATGAACTTTCTATAGACTAAACATAATGTGACCAAATTTAGGGGAAATCAGGAAAATTAAGTTTTAAAAAGGCCAGTTTATGCTGTAAATACCTCCCCCCACTCCGTGCCTCCCTGGCCAGGTGAGAGGAAGGCTGAGGAGGCTGCTCCATTCACAGCCCCCCTCCGTGGATCTTTCCTGGTCACATGACCCAAGGGGGACCTAGGCAGCCTTGGAGGGTCTCCTTATGCTGCATAGGAGCATAAGTGGGGGAGGGTGGGGGAGGGGCAATGCCCAAGGGCACCTCCTGCAGGCTCCCCCCACCCTGTTTACTTTGGCATATGTGGGTGTGGGGGGGGCTGCATATTTGTGCGCTCTTTTTAGAAATAGCACCCCCAAAGTGACTTCAGTCCTATCAATGGGGCGGGGGGGGGGGGGGCAATTACGGTGTGTGTCCCTCATAAACACACAGAAGCTTTCAGAATAAATTGTCTAAAGCTCTCACCTTTCAGGGGAATAAAGTTAACTATTTTTTCTCCCTCAGATTTTCTTCAGTGAAATCAAAAGGTGCCACAGATGAGTCTACTAATATAAGGTATTTTTGCATGTCCTAATATATAAGAAAACTAATTAATTAAATGTTGTAGCCTTTTGTATTAGCACTTGCTTGGCATTTACCTCAGAAACACTGGATTCCAACTTTTGGGGATAGATGCTTCTTTCTCTTGCAATCATTTTTACTGCAGTTGTTAAGTGAATTGTTAAGGTATTCCCCGTTAGGAGGATGAGTGCACTCAGGGAAACGTAGTGAGAGTGGTGTTGAATAACACACAACCAGCATACAGATACACTGAATAGTAAAATGTAGGTTTTACTTCCAGTAAACGGGTAAACAAAGTCCAACAAACAGTCCAAATCATACACGGTCAAAGCAATTAGTATCAGTCCAGGGATAATCCAAAAACGAAGTTAAGTATCATAAACAGGGTTCAGTAAACAGAGTTTGCTAACAGTTGCAAAACTCACAGCAATCCGAGCAGAACCACAAGCAGGCAATACTGGCAAAAAGGAAATGCAAGCAGAACAAACCAAGTTTCTGGCTCCATCTTATGGCCGTTGGAGGAACCTCAGCCAATCACAATTACAGCATTGTCTTAAAGATACAGTATTAAATTACTATCCTGGTTTATATATTGCCAACCCAACTGTTAGGTGACTATCATTCCTAACATGAATCACATGGACATTAAGTGAATCTGGCTTCCCCAACTGACTTTCCTTGTTGGCAGCCAGCTGAAAGGTCACAAATTGGGATCACATGACTACGCTGTGTGTGCGCGTGTGTGTGTGTGTAGCAATAGTTATAACTTCAAGGGCAGGTTGTAAATCACTTTTTCCAAGGCCGTTATAACTGTGAACCACAAATAAACAGTCATAAGTTGAGGACTACTGGTACAGCTATAAAGTAAATTGGTTTGCATTCTCAGATGCTAGCCTGCTGTTCAGATTTTGTTCTTCCAGTACCATTTATTATTTGGGTATTTTAAAATTATGCTTAAATAACAAACGAGGGGATTTCCAGTTAATAGAGGAACCGGATGAGTGCAGAGCACGTGGAAGCGTTTGAAGAAGGAACCGAAAGACATTTCCCCCCACAAAGAGGAGTTTCTGGCCTAGTGTCATTTAGAGACTCATGTAGCAGAAGACAGAGAACATTTGCGGTTTCTAGTGGAGCTGATTAAATTTCTCCTTTTTTATTTTTTATTTTTTTAAAATAAGTGTAAAATACAGTATTACAGTAACAAAAATATCTGGATATTCCGAAAAGAAAGTTCAGTGAAGAGAATCGCCACATTTACCGTGCTGCTCATTTCTGAAACCAGCCTCTGATGGACCCAGGTCCTCCATCCAGCCATCATTGGAGCTTTAGGCTCTGGCTTAGTTTCCGCTGTGCTGTGTGCCTTTGGCCCTTGGCAACACCTGAGCAAACCCCTGCAGTTTCCATGGCTACCCTTTGCCCTTGCCTTCTTCCCCTGAGGGCTGAGAGGGAGGGTCAGGCCCAAGGAGACCCTGCTGGCATGGGCCTCTCGCTCTCCTGGCCTTGACTACCACACCCAACTGGGAAAAAAACCCAGGCTGTAGCTATTAAGAATGCCCAATTCACACTGTTTTGCTTTATTCTTTGAAACCTGAGACTTAGAAGTATGTTTGGCTTCAATGTATATGGTTTACTTAATATTTTTCTCCCTTCCCTTCCCTTCATCCAATCTAATCTATTCTAATCTAATCCTAATCTAATCCTAATCTAATCATCAGTTACATAGCCTGCATTTGCTTTCCAACAAGTACTCAAAAGAGCTAACAGAACACAGAAAGCAGGATGCATGTAAAAAGTAGAAGCATTATATTAAAACTAAAATAATTTCCCAGCCAAACGTTAGAGGCTTGGAGGAGGCAGAGGAGGAAATGCAAACACATCCCAAAGCCTTGGAGAAGCTCAGGACAAGACCAGGCTGGAGAGACGGAGAGCCTTTCCTGCCAATCTTAACAACTAGCTTGGTTGACAACATGAGCTCCTGAGCCATTTAGGGCTTTCAGTGTTAGTATCTTAAATTGGCAGTACAGAGATAATAGGAGTCCTGTATTTGCACTACTTAGCAGACAAATTTGTACAATTATTGACTTAGATTTCATTTACATTTGCCTCTTTAAAAGATTTTGGGAAGCTATACCTTCTTCATAGCACAGAAGCTCATTGCTCCTTGAGTGACTTATGATGATTACATTCCATTTTTTGCCCTATGCCCAGCGATCTTCTTTTATCCCAGGAACCCCTGAAGCAGCCTCCCTGGGATGTGGGGAAGGAGTGCCTCATGTGCTTTGGAACTCCTTGGCTGCTCCTTTGAGAGGACAATCTGTAGGGACATGCTCTGGGCAGAGGTGGCTTGGTTTTTACGGAAGACAGCCAAATGTCCAGTGACTCAGAATCATGCATGTCCACCTCGATGAGGAGGAGAAACAGCACAACTAGATTTTCGATATTCTGCGGTTATGGGCAATCTCAAAATGTAGCTTTATCCTTCTTGTGGAGTTGTTTTCCTGGTCTGGTGTACCTAGGGGGACTAATACTAGGGATTGCCCAGTTTGTCATAGTGGCAGCATAAGCCAAGAACCCTCACAACTGCTCACACAACAAATGTGCAACCTATCTCCAGAGGTGGCATTCAGCAGGTTCTGACCAGTTCTGGAGAACCGGTAGCGGAAATTTTGAGTAGTTGGGAGAACCGGCCAATACCACCCCTGACTGGCCCCACCAACCCCATCTCTTCTCTGCCTCCCATTGCGTCCCAGTTGATTGTCTGGGTCTCCTTTGGTTGCCCTGCACAGGAGAACGGAGCTGGAAAGCAGGTTAGTGGGGTGGGGAGGGAATGGGGATTTTGCAATAATCTTCCCCTGCCATGCCCACCAAGCCACGCCCACCAAGCCACGCCACACCCACCAAGCCACACCCACAGAACTGGTGGTAATTTTTTTTGAATCCCACCACTGCAGATCTCCATCACGTATCCCTATTGGAGACTCACATTCTGCATGCACTGCAAAGTCAGGTGACTCTAGATTGCAAATGATCAAATAGGGGAGGAGGCATCCTTAATCCATCTTTATAACCTGAATGCTGTCTTAGGCCCCAGTCTGTAAACCTCTTTTGTTCTACTTGCAATGATGCATCTTTTGAGTTTGTGAAGTTTTTGTGTCCTGGCCAATGTTGTGTTTAAATGCTAGAGAAGGAACTCATTTGGAAATTCTCAATGTACTAATTCATCTGACACTCTAAGATGCAGAGAAACTGCAAAACTCCATTATGGGTTGAGCTCAGGCATAAAATAGGACAATTTAAATAGTAACTTCCATATGCAATTACCAAGGTTGCCGGCATTAACTTTTACAAGGGCAAGGCAAGAAAAGGCACAGTGCCACCACATCCAGGAACATTTCAGTGATTGATGTGATGCTAAAGATTCACAATCAAAGAGAGGCGGAAATACTCTGTCAAGTAAAATTCAAAATGGAGTCAGAGATTTTTCCTCAGGCCAAATATCTGAAGCATTTTGAAAGGAGCCAAGAATCTCTAATCATCCTTGGGCCCCGACTGGATTGAGCCGGGAGCAAGAATCCTCAGGAGAATGAATGGACTCTGTGGTTTTGCTAACTCGGGCTCCTAAATACTGGTGGTGTTGGGAAGGTTTGGGACCCAGGGGACGATCCTTGGCCCTTCTTCCCAAGCTCCGCCTGGAACCGGGAAGGGAAACCAGCCTGGTTCTGAAATGCAGAGTTGCCCCTTCCATTTGGTGTTGGTAGCCTCTTGCCCCTAGCATGCGACCCCCTTGGGAACTCCTCTGAGAAGTAGAAGGGAGGATGCCTCCAGCACCGGGCTCCCTTGGGCTCAGCCCACCTCCGCTGGGTCAGAAGAGGGAAGGGGAGGTCTCCCCTGGACCTAGGCTCCCTAGGGGAAGCTCACGAGGCCTGCTTCCAGGGGCAGGCTGGGGAGAAGCGATTTCAGAGCCTGTGGCGGATTGACACGTGTCTGTGAGAGTCGTAGAGCTGTATGTGGCCCAGAGCTGTTTTATTCATGGGGATCGCTCCTAAGGAAGGGAAGCGGAGTCGCTCTGTCGTGCCACCCCTCCCCCCCTCCCCCCACCGCTGAGTCGTTCAGGTGGGGCTGGGCCTGCCGGCCTCTTCACCTCCAGTCGGCTTGGTTCTCCTTTGCCAGGGAGTTGGGGGTCATGAGGCTTGAAAAGTTTGCCTTTCTGAGGGGTGGGGGCACTGTATTCTTCAGCTTGTTGAGCTTGTCCCTCTCTTCTTGACATTTCCTCAAGCATGGCGGGCAAAGGTCTTTCTCTTCTACCAAGTAGAGCGTCTCGAGGCGCTTGATGTTATCGATAAAGATTTCCTCTTCGGTGGGCCCAGGAAAGGGGTTCCTCTTGGCGTTCAACTTCTTCAGTTTGGGGAGCTTTGCGATGCTGTTCGGGATCAGGGTCAGCAGGTTATCAAACACCCCAACTTCCTGGAGCTCCTTCAAAGCTCCCAGGGTGGTTGGGAGGTTGTCGATGTGGTTGAGGCCGAGGTTCAGATTTCGCAGGCTCTTGAGCTGGTTGAGCTCCATGGGCAAGCTCCGGGCGGTGAGCTTGTTGTTTGAGAGATTCAGGAAAATGAGGTTCTGCAGGTTCCCTATGGTTTCCGGCAGCTTATCGATCTGGTTGCTGTGCAAGTCCATCCAGCGCAGGTTCTGGAATTTATCGATCGCCTCCGGGATCTTCTTAATCATGTTTCTGCTGAGGTCCAGCTCATCGATGTCCTCCAGTTTCAGGATGCACCTGGGGAATGTCGTGATGCCCATCTTGCTCAGGTCAAGGCGGCGCTTCCCGTCAAAGGTGATCTTTATGCAGGTCTTGGCCACCTTCAGGGTGACCTTTTTCCCCTTGGGGGGTTTTGCGCCTCCCTTGGCCATCCGCCTCACGGAAAGCAGAGCAGCTCAGGGGGCTTGAAGAGGTGCTCTGTGGAAGGAAGCCTGCAGGCGGTGCTTGGTGTTGGACCCTGAAAGCAGACAGGCAGCAGAGTTAAGTGGGGGAGAGGACAGCCCCCTGCCCCGTCCGCAGGGCTGCTAAGGCCGGCTGCAGCAGGGGGGGGGGGGCAGCATTGTTCTTTCTGATCAGACAAGAAGAGAGAGAGGGGGGGAGACCCCTGATTTCTCTGCCTGTTTGGGGGAGCTGCTCAAATGGGTTGGACATCCTCAAGATCCTGACACCTGGTCCTTGATGTCGCTTCTCATGCAATCATACCTCTTCTATAAACACACGCTCCGTCCTCCCTACAGTTTCTAATCAATATCTGTGCAAATGTCTCTGTTGTTTTCCTCCAAGCGAGGCAGCCCCAGTGAAGGAAATGTCACCTATAAAGCGACTTTGACATCTACCTTGTTACCAGGTTCCCAAACGCTTTGAAAATATATGATGCATGGATATATATTAGTGCTGCAGTGATCTTCATCGGAAAGTGTTTATTGTTTCAAAGCTTGGATTGGGGTAGAATTAGAATAATATTATTTTATCCGAAGGAGTCTTAAATGAAACAAAAATTGTACAGCCACCAGAAGAGCTTGTTATTTTAACTGACATGTAACTGACTTGGAATTACAGCTGCTGCCCCACCTCAATGGGCTTTATAGTTTATAAGGCTCGCTCACTGGCTAAAGCAAAGGAAGGGAAATTTGTACCTAATATATATATGAATTAAAGTCATATTCAGATACTTACTTTTCAATGACACTAATTTACACACAACAGACAGTCAGTCCTCCGACATACTATCATATCAGATGTTTTCATGCTTGATCTCTGTGGTTAAAGCAGCAAGTAGAACTGCTCTCTGCCGCAAACCCATGGATTATAGCCAGCCAATAAAAGGATTTCTTTATTGTAGCAAAAAAAGAGCTAGCCAGTTTGGTATGTTTATACTAAACCTTTGAGGAAAGCATTATATGCTCCTGTCATTAGACAAATTTAGTGGGAGCGCATACACTTTCCACAGGAAGGAAAAGTACTGGCTCGTGTAGGTGTCGCCCCTGCTTCGTTTTATGTTCCTCCTGTGTACATTGCAGCAATTCAGGGCTGGTTTTTGCTCCCCCATAGCACAGCGAGGAGGCGCATTCATAATTAAAGGATTTATAGGGCAAGCAGAGTCCTTTATCACAGATCATGGATCCACCACTTGGCCAGCAGAGATAGAAGCTTCCAGATTTCCAAGGATTCTTTTTTTATAAATATACTAGATCTCTTTCAGTGTTTATGCAACAGTTTTGCCATGTCAGAATAAGGTTTCCTTCCGCTTGAGACTTGTGTCCTAGCGACATCGTCACAAATTATGCTATTTTCTCAAAACACGATCCAGGTGGTTTGCCATTGCCGCCTTCTGGCTATGTCTGGCGTCCTCGTCCAGCTGGGCCCTTCTCCTCACCCGCCTCCTAGTCCCGGGAAGACTAGAGCCAGGCCTGCTCAGGGGGCTTCCCCTCCCTTCCCTGCTTCCGGGGGCCCAAAGTCCCCGGAAAGAACAAGTGAAACGCCTGCCAGACTTTATGGCCCCACAAACTGGGAGGCGCCTCGCACTCAGCCTGCCGTAGGGCTTGTTACGTGAGGTAAATCACCAGACTCGGAGGCTTGCTAAGGGTTAGGAGAGCAGCAGGCAGGAAGCCAGCGTGAGGAGGCCGAGCGCACCTGGACTGCTTCTGGCTCGGCTCGCCACACCTTTCCCTGGCGGCAGCGGCAGCAGCAGCAACAGCAGCAGCAGCAGCAGCACCGACCTGGCCCTCCGGGTCCCCCAGCCTGCCCTCGATATTTGTGCCTAGGGAGGACATGAGTAGGAAGCATCTGTGAGGTTGTTGGCCAGGGCTGCCACACCTCACTGCCACCTCATAATGCCACACCAGGGCCTCCTCCCCTTTGCCTGCCTTGCTCAGAGCTCCCCTTGACTAAGCTGTCTTGCTTTGGGTGCTACCCCCCCCGCCCCCGAGGAAGGAGTCGGAAAAAGGCCTCGGAGGAGGAGGGATGCCCTAATCCTACCCCCCCCCCGTTCCCCTCACTCTCCTTACCTGGGACTCCCCCAGTCTCCCGCATGAGGATGACCTAGGCTGCTTGCTGGGGTTTCTGTCGCTAAGAGGTGCAGTCACGCGACGTCCTGCTTTGTAACTGCATTGCTTAGTGATCCCAATTGCCGCCATAAGGCAGGGACTCCCTGTAGCCCCCCCCCCCTCCCCCCCCCCCCCCCCCCCCCCCCCCCCCCAGGCGGCTCTCTGCCTTCAGCCACTGAATGCCAGGATGCCTTGCGCTCCCTCGGCCCTCAGCCGGGCTCCTGGAGGCGGGCAGGGCTCTCGGGGGCTCCCAGGGCAGGACAGTTTTCAAGAAGCAGCCCCCCATCCGACCCCACTACACTCTGCTCCCCCTCCCCCGACAAAAGGCCAGGAAAGGCAGGGGCGGCTGCCAGCTGCTTTGCAAGAACCAAGGAGGAGGAGGAGGAGGAGGTTCCGCTTGGCTTAGCCCCAGCTGATCCGAACCCTCCACATTTAATTGTGAGGAGTCAAATCACTGTTTTGATAAATGATTGTTTGTAAAAGAACATAGATTTGTTTGGAACACACTTCTCCATTAGGAGGCTTTCATTACAAGCGCTTCGGGCTTTTCGGCTGCTCATTAATCATGTACAAATCCAGGAAGATCCGAGGAAGCGATGGCTTTGAGTTCATCTCAATAGCCCATTGGAACACCACACATGGCAGGTGTGTGTGTGTGTGTGTGTGTGTGTGTGTGTGTGTGTGTGTGTGTTCCTCCCCTCGCCCCAAAATTTATTCAGAGGAAGTAAAAAGATTTTGGGGGCAAGGGCATTCTTGGGTCACGTTCTGGCGAGGAGATGGCTCCTGTTGAGCGAGAGTTTTAGAAGTATGAGAAAACCTTTTTACAAATGCCCCACTTTGTCTGAAATCTGCTGTGATCTTTTAATCGCTCATCTTTTTAATCAAAATTAATAAGATGAACAAAGAGAGTAAGAATTGTTAGTCTAACACCTGCCTCAGGGCTGCTGAGTGTGTTTGGGCAGACCTAAATTAAGAGGCCTGGAGGTGTGCTAGGCGGCTGGGTCAGAAAAGTAAGATTTCTGAATTAGACAATAGGTCATATTTGGACTTTCTCCTTTGTAGACCTGCCGTTTGTTTAAATGCTAGACTCCCTAAGCCAGTGTGCAGCCGGGTACTTTCCCTCAAAGCCCAAATCCTAAGCCCGTCTCCAGGGCCTGGCAGTTCTTTTCCTTTCCTCTGGATGAGGGAAATGCTGCACCTCGTCCAGTTGGAACCTGAGTGGCCAAGAAAGGCTTCAGAGCGGCTTTCCTGGGGGGGACGGACGGACGGACGGGGGGGGGGACGACACAGCCCTGAGCAGAACTTCGACACATCAGGACAACCATGAAGGATTACAGCCCATTGAGAGCCCCTGTCTGGCCCAAGAGTGATGTAAACCTCCCTCCCTCCCTCCCTCCCTCCCTCCCTTGCAAGCTGACTAGATTGCTGAATCTCGGAGACTGCGGCGTAGCTGAGTAACTTTATACTTACAGCTTTATTTCCTAATAACAAGCTGCTTTAAATTAAATGGAGTCTGCTGTTCCCAATCCGGACTTGTAAATTCTACTGTACACAGAGAATCAACCAGAAAACAAGGTGTGTGTGTGGTTTAAAAAGGAAACTACATAACATTCAACAGAATTGCACGCCAGCTAAGTTACTTCTAGTGGGCCTGGCCTCACGCTTTCGGGGCAAACCCATTCTTCCAGAAATCTTCTCTGACTTCTCTGCCAGTGTTTGGAGATAAATCTTTGAACTGCATGGAAAACTCTCATCTGGTTTTTTGCTGGCCCGCGAATTCTAAAACTGAAACAACAATTTTGAACAACTGGCAACCTGCTTGCTTCAAGAGAGGGTGACTTACCCGGTTCCTGTGAGATTGTAGTCAGCTGTTGTGATGCCGCCTGTGAAACTTGGTATCTAAGCGACAGGAAATTCTGAGCCCTTGGAGATCGCACAACACAGGCCTCGTTCCCAACGCCAGCTCCACCTGCCGGGCCTGGGAAAGCAGCCTATTCATACTACTGGACTGGTGGACTGGTGCTGCAACCATTCCAGAGGGGCCTACAGGAAACTCCACCAGATCTGTGGACGCAGCCAAGAAGTGCCCGGGACACGCCTGCCTGTGGCAGCCAGTGTGGTCCTTTGCCCTCCATGCCAGCAGAAGGAGAGTCACAGGCTCAGAGCAGGGAGGCGAATAGAAGCCCCCCCCCACCCATGGCTTCTGCTGGGACCCTCCCAGTGAGGAAGAGCCCCCCCACCCTCTGGAAAAGGGGTGGCATTCTTGTAGGCAGAATTGCACTGGCCTGTTTGATGCCACGTCACACAGTGCTGACTCTCATTTTCCCAGGGACCTAAAATCCTTTCCACGCGTACCATTGCCAAACCAACACCCCCACACACACACACACTTCTTCCCCATTTGTGCTGCATACATTTGCAGGGAGTCCTCCCTTAATGACCCCAATTAGGACTGGCCGTTCTGCTAAGAGGCCCCGTCCTTAAGCATGACATCACATGACTGCAATGGACTTACAGTCTCAAGAACGTTTGCAGCTCAGGGTTGAAGTGAGGGGCCCTCAGCGCTCTCTGAGCTGGGTGGTTTTCTTGCAGATGTTTCATGACCCAACCAGGCCACATCATCAGTGCTGGTAGGGAGTGGGGATTAAACTGACCAAGTTTGCATCTAGATTTCAGACACAAATTGAATCAGGCCTTCTTTGAATCTCAGATCTCCAATGAAATCAAGGTCAATTTGCACAGTTTTTGTTCCCATTAGAAACGGAAATGTGAGTGACACAATGTTATTTTTTATTTATTTTTGCAGAAAACAATCAGAGGAAAAAAAGTCCTTCCTGTTGAAGTGGCAGGTAAAATCTTTTCTTGGTGCTGTTCCACTGAAATCAATCAATCCATCGTCAATTAATTTTTAAAGATTATTTTCTTCACAGTGGAGTATTCTATCCATACGGAACTTTACAAAAAGTGCTACCCTGTCTCACCTGAGCCAGGAAGGACGGTGCCTGTTCTCTGTAAGCCTCACAGTGGAGAATTTTGTATGGAAAACCAGGAAGGAAGCTGGGGAGCCCTCTGGGTCTGGCTAGCAGGAGGAGGAAGCGGTGGGAGCTCTCCTAAAATCTTGGCCTGCTGGTTAGAAGCTGCTCTCTGGCCTGATCCAGGCTGCTGCTGACTCTGGTGTCAAAAGCCCTGAGCGACATTCAAATGAAATGGCTCTGTTGAAGCCACTTCCAGCACCCGTGAAATTTGGCCAAAGGGATATCCCAAAAGTCTTTCTCCCAAACAAAGCTTTCCTTGCTGGATTACAGTCCTGAGCCGATTTGTTTCTAATTAGCCATATATATTCAAATTAAATACTTTCTGGATGTTAATATCTGCACTCCTCCACCATGGCTAGCAGCTAAGGGAAAATTACCTGGGGATAACTTGGAATGACGGAAAGAGCTATTTTTGTGGGCTTATCCAGAAGCATCTGCTGCTGTCCTAGCAGGGGAGTTCAATGCTTCGGGGAGATCGAACGGCACTAGGCTGCACGTGTGGTTTGACAGTGTATCCCCACTGGATGGAGAGTGCTGGGGGTAATTATACTTTGGGTTGGAATCAAAAGATGGACTTTGTGATGTAAAGGAGGGCCGTGCTTTGCCCAAATGGCAAATAGACTGCAGAAAGGATTCAAAATGAACAAGGGGAGATTAAGATAGCCACCTATTACCTTGTAGTCCGACGTAAGCAGTTTATTCAGTAGACGTGTTCCAAGTCTGACGCTATCTTCAAGCTCCTAACTTGAACTTTCAACCGGTTGATTCCAATCCAGCTTTATTATTGGGTGGAAAAGGGCCAGCCGAGGCTTTGGTGGTCTTCCTTGGCTGGGCAGGGGGCAGGTCTGGCTCACTAGGTTCAGGGGTCACCAAGTTAAGTCAGCCAGCATGTCAGCTGATGGATCCAACCCCCTGGGATCCTGCATTGAGGCCACATTCGGAGGTGTTGCAGGCGTCCATTGGAAACGCCACTTTGATCGTGAACGCAGGAAGACATCAAAAAAGCCCCGTCTGCAAGGCTCGGGGGGGGGGGGGGGGGGGGAGGAGGGGGAGCTGCCCCGTTCCTCCACAAACGTTGTGCCAGCAGAACATACAACATACATGAAGCCTTCACTGGAAATAAAAAGATGAGCAGCCTGAAAGAGAATTGATAGCAAGTGAGATCAGCTGTTATGCAGAAAACTTCTGCTGGTTTTTGGCGTTGGATTAGAAGGGGGCTTGTTACACAAGGGACCCACAGTCAACCGTGGGGTTTTAGCAGACATTTGGGAGAGATATTTGTGTTCCATCTTTGCAGCAGCTTCTGGAAATAAGCTCCTCATCAGACCTATTACCAGAACGGCTCCCTCTCGCACCCTCCGAGATGGAAGGAAGCCGATTTCCCAACTGGAATCAGGAGAAACGTTGGAAGCTTGCACAGAATTGCAAGCCCGGCTTCTTTTACAGCCCCCTCTCGCCCTATGGACTACGCAGCCCAGGCCCAGAGACTGAGGCCTGCTGCGATGGTCACACGGGGAGAGAGTAAAAGCCACCATGTCATACACCGTGACTTAGAGATCCAAGGGTTGTGAGATGATTGTAAGGGAAAGTATAAGTATTAAGCCTCTGGGACTCTGGCCTCCAAAGAGAGAGGGGGGAGAGGGAGGGAGGGAGGGAGGGAGATGCCATCCGGACTACAGGCATCCATAGAAAGAGGCACAAAAGGAAACGAGGGTAACCAGCCGAAACTAGCCCCCCCCCCCCCCCCCCGTCCTGGAAAAAGAGATTTAGAGAACGAGGCAACGGACGGACGTGTTCATTGCCTGGGAGGCAGCCCAGCCACTGAGCCCACCACCATCCTTCTTTTCCCTTCCCGGCAGAGGAGAGAGATCAGCAACTTCGAGTACCTCATGTACCTGAACTCTCTGGCGGGACGGACGCCCAGCGACCTCATGCAGTACCCAGTGTTCCCGTGGGTCCTTGCAGACTACCATTCCCTGGTGAGCCATTTCTCTGTGAGGCTGGACTGGAGCTTTGCTGAAAGAGGAAGGGGGCAGGAGGACACGGCGGCCTACAGGAAGTGGGTCAGGTCAGCCGCCGGAAGTCTTGCCCCGCTTGGCCGCTGAGTCAAGGGACATGTTGCGTTTGCCTTCCAGACTCTGGACCTGACCCATCCAAGCACCTTCCGTGACCTCTCCAAGCCCATGGGGGCTCAGACGGAGGGCAGGAGAGAGAAATTCATCCAGCGCTTCAAAGAAGTGGAGAAGACCGAAGGTACCAACCTCATTTCCAGCATCAACAGGGGGTACCCCAAATCTCGCCCCCTCCAGAGCAGAACTGTGGAAGCAGCCCAAAGGTCGCCCTCACAGAACCCAGGGGGAATTAGGGGCTGGGGTGAATGGGGGGGCATGGGGGAAATGAGCAAACAAAGACCGCTAGAACTGGCTTGTTCTGGCATCTCCCCGAGTCATCGGTTAGCCCTGATCAGGGGTGTGAATCTTTGGTTAAAGATGCGTATGGGAAGTTGCTCGATAAGGCACATTATTACACATTTCAGGGATTGTTTCATTTTGAAGAAATCGAAACGAATTGATTTATCCAGAAATGAAGTCCATAAACTGTGGATTCCTTCCTTCTTTGTAGGTAACCTCTCAGCTCAGAGTCACTACTGTACCCACTACTCCTCCGCCATGATCGTGGCTTCCTATCTGGTCCGCCTGGAGCCCTTCACAGAAACCTTTCGGACTTTGCAGGTGGGCTGAACTTGGGTGGAGCCTAGCAAAGATGGGTGGCGGCACCCTGGCCAGTCCTGGAGCCCCTGAGCTGCACAGGCCCTCCCTCGGGACTCTGCCCTGAACGCTCCTGGCGGGAAACGGATCAGCAGAGGGCAGAGGGCACCGCAAGGGACTGTGCAGGCGGAAAGGAATTGGGAAGCCCCGTGGAAGGGTTGTGTCCGAGGGCTGAGAGGGGTTCATGTGACAGTTATTCAGTCTTCATCCTTAACTTCTCTGCCCCCCCACTACCTCTTTTTTTTTTTCTTTCATCCTTTTTCTGTTGCCTACCAGTAAAAATGCACTGCACCAAACACAAAACAGCCTTTAAGGTACTGAACAGTACACAACGGAAGAGTAATTAGATTTAAATTCACCTTTGGTGCAGTTCAGGACTTTAAAAAGTCAGTCCGGTGCTCTTTCAAAAGAAGTCCATGCTTTGGGAAGTGTCTCTGTGAGTCCAATTTTCATTGCCAAAATAGCCATGGAGCACAGTGTGTGTGTGTGTGGGGGGGGGGGGGGAGGTTGTCGGTGTGGAAATGTTTGTGCAGCTTTCTAAAGTGCCTGACAGGAACTGGGCAGCCCCTCCCCCCCCCCATCATCAACCAGATCGTGGCATCCGGAAAGGGAAAGGAAACCCAAATGAAAAGAACCACCAACAACTAAGAATGAAAGTTGAATGAAGTTTCAGCAACAGGGGAGGGATTGGGCGGGGTGGGGGGGGGCATCAGGAGGGCTAGCCCAGCAGAAGCAGAGGGCCTGGGCCCCTTCACCCCCTCCTCCCTTTGATCTGGGCCTCCTGGAGGAGCCGAGTTCAAGGTCAGGCCAGCCCTTGTGCCAATTTCAATTGGTAATCGTTACTGGCGTGGCTGTCTGGCAGCATCTCATTTCTGTACGGTTAACAGGGTTAAAAAGGTTTAAAAGCATAAGTGCTTTTAAAACTAACTAACTAAATAAATAAATGGAATAGTTCACTCCAGCACTATAAATGCAAGAAAATAATCCTTGGGGGGGAAACCCCCCAGTGATGCTTCAACTAATAGCAGAAATAAGCCACTCTCTTAGGAGTAAAGCACAACTGCTAAACCTGCTTTCCTAAGTGTGAAGGGAGAACACGGGCGCGTGGGTGGGTGCCTACAGAGGCAGGGCGCAAGCCGCAGGTCAAAAGACATGAAAGGAATCGGAGACCTTCAGCTGCAAATCCTTCCCAGTCATAAGATTGGTTTAACAAAGGGAACTAAAGAAAAAGCTCTCATTTTCCATTAGTGTTATAGAAAAAAGTAAAGAAAAATCTTTTGAGACATTAAAAACTGTGACAGGCAGAAAGACAACGGAAGTGGGCTGCAGGAGAGGCAACCGTTGCAGATGAAGTTCACGTGCATCGTAAGAACAATTCTCCAGGCTGGAGTTTCATAATCCTTGAACTCCCTTGAAGGGAGCTTTGATCCGCTGTGATCGTGAAGACGACACGTCCGTTTCTCCTTTGGCAAGCCACCAGAGCCCGTTGCCAGCTCTGGGCTCTGCAGGGTCAGAGAGCCAATGGGGCTGCTCCTTCCCAGGCCGCCTTGCACCCAGGGCCGCAGAGAAGAGCCACCAGCATGTTCCATAGCTGCCCCTCCTTCCCTCTGCCATCCTCACATTCTGAGAGGAAGAAAGCCCACTAATTCTGATACAAATGTATGCAAATACAGTTATTAATATAAGAAATGCTGCAAATCAGTTATTGCTTTCTCTATAAATAATACAGGCGTGCGTTTTAGAGATATTACTTTCTCCAAAATGCATTAGACAGCTGCAAAAAAATTACATTTTTCTGGATGGTAATATCTTTAACCAGATTTGGGGCACTAACAACATTTTCTATGTAGATATTGTTTTTATTTAATACAGATAACCTTTTTATTACAAATCACATTGTCTCTCTAGAGATCACCATCGGCTCTCATAAAAATGTAAAAAGCAGAGGAAAACGTCTCCGTCGCGTATTCTGGCCGCCACGTCGTATATATGTGGCTGAAGGCCTTTCCGAGAGAGGCTCCTTGTTAGCTGGCGCTTTCTGCAGGGTTGACTCAGCTTTGGAGCCACCGCAGTTTTGACTGGAAAATAGCTTGGGGGGGGGGGGGGGGCTGCCTCCAAGGGATGAACTCCCCAACTCAGCAACAATGACTTTGCAACACCCCCGCTGAACTGCTCACGGTGCCTTGCCCTTACACAACCCCACCGCTTTGGATTTATTCCCAAGGCAGGGCAGAGCGCAGGGCAGTTAGGGAGAAGGAGGCTGATCCTTACTTTGGGGCAGGACTCCCCTTGCGGATTTCCAGGGGGGCGTCCTGGGAGCACCATTTGCTTCCCTTTGGAGGGAGTGCAGTTCCATGCGGATGTTTTGGCCTCACTGATGGGAGTGTAAGTTTGAAGAAACTCTAAAGCGGACAGCAGCTGGTGCCACAACCTTCTGCCTGGCCCAGCTCTGCAAATCTGAAAGCATCCCCACGATTCAAAATAACGGAACAACGAACATGGAAGGTGCAAGAATCGGAACCACCTTCTAGTCAATACTTGGCATCATTCTTTTGGGGGGTGGAAGAACAGCATGTCAATGTTTCTTCTGCCCAGCTAAGCGTGTCCCCCTTGCAAAACGTGAAACTTAGTGAAGCCACACTTGCTTCCACCTGTACAATATTTTCTGTGCACATCAGCACCGCCACACTCTCTCCAGAAGCACGACAGAAGCCTCCAGGGTTAATGGTTGGCAAGGAATTCGTTTCTCCACGTGCTTCATGCCGTTTCCTCCCAAGGGGCCTGGCCGGGGTTTGTCCAGGCATTCCAGAGCGCTCTGTCCTCCTAGCCCTCCAAAGCCTTCCGAAATGTTTTGTCCCAATCCCAGCCGGCAGTTCCAGCGGGTGGTTGGTTCCCGGTGGCTGTGGCCTAAAGCTCTGGGTGGTGGCATGGCTTCTCTTCTCGCCCTCTCCACAGGGCGGGGACCTGGATGTCGCAGAGCGCATGTTCCACAGCGTGAGGAGCACCTGGGAGTCAGCCTCCAGAGACAACATGACGGATGTCCGGGAACTGATACCTGAATTCTTTTATCTCCCTGAATTTTTAACAAACCACAACCACATTGACTTTGGTGAGTGGGCATTCGCTGTGTTGGGCTCCCATTTGGAATCATGGGCTCTGCACCATTTTAGAATGATGGAGATGGATTTGCCTCTTGAGTGAAAGAGTCAAAATCAAAGCATTCTAGACGAACTAGCGCTCAAGCACTCAAATAATGTTGGTATTTTGAGCTGGCTGGACATCCCATTAAAAGCTTCCCTTTATGGGAAAGGTGCTCCTGCCTCAACACCCCTCCCTTGTAAGATTTGTCCAGGGCTAAATCTGTTTTTCCTCATCAACGGATTCTGTCTAGACAAAAGCTGGACAGGTCACAGGGATTATCAGCTCGGCAGCTAAACCTGCTTGAAGCCCACATCACAGGTTTTGAACCCGGGGTGATCACTGAGGATCTTGGCCCACTCTTGCCTTCCAGACTCTGTCACTGTTGCCAGCGGCTTCTGTCACCAAGTCCCAGTTGCTTCTACACCCTTACATCCCTGTGTACAGGCGTTTTTATTGGTCCTTGGAGGGAGGAAAGCTCCTCTGTGTGTGTCGGCTCTTTTGTGCCACCCAGGCCTTCTCTCCCGTCCCTTGCAGGATGCTTGCAGGATGGGACCCGGCTGAATGATGTGGATTTGCCACCTTGGGCAGGAGGAAATCCTCACCGCTTCATTAGGCTGCACAGGCAGGTCTGTATGAAAGGGCAGCTGGGAAGGACCCCAAGTCAGAGATCAAGTCTGATAGTCTCAAAATATTTGCTTTAATCTAAAATAAAGATAAGGAGAAATCTCCAAAAAGAAAAAGGACTCCCTTGTGGCAGGCTTTACTCATAGCTTTTATAGTTTGTGGTGGAAGTTATACACGAGTCCACTGGTGGTAACCAGGCCTGTAGACTTCCTGAAGCCCCCCCCCCCCCCCCTTTCCCCCCCCCCCCCCCCCACACCTGCAAGACGGGGCATGACGCCTCCCTGCCAGCCAGGCGGCTGAATGGGGCTGGTTGGGTTTCAGGCCCTGGAGAGTGATTTCGTCAGCAGCCACCTCCACCACTGGATCGACCTCATCTTCGGCTTCAAGCAGCAGGGCTCAGCCGCCGTGAAGGCCGTGAACGTCTTCCACCCCTATTTCTACAGCCACCAAGGGCAAGTGGGCAGCCCCGAGGACCCTCTGCTCAAGAGCACCGTCCTGGGGTTTGTCAGCAATTTCGGACAGATCCCACAGCAGGTACGATGCAAACAATGGCCAGGCAGGTGCCCTCGAGCAACCATGGATTGCATTTTGTTAGCATTTTGTTAATTTTGTTAGCATTTTGATCTCATGTTGAGGTGTGTTATCATGATGGGATTTCTTGAAAAAGTAACCCGGTTGGTTTGAGAATATTTGTTCCAGCCACCCCTGAAGCAACGCGAAAACCTATCCTTATTAATAGAACATTAATTCATCCAATGATGGTTGGGTGACTCTAGAAGAGGTACAAGCAAAGATCCCGCCTGTGTCTGCATTTATGTGCTAACTTTTCTGATAATCTCTGTGAGTTTAACCCCATTCTAATAGATTAATCAAACTTATTAAGGTGCTATTGTTTACTTGTTTAGCTCCTTCATTGGACTTGAATCTTTTCTTCTTCCAAGTTTCTAAAAGGCTTTTCATGTGAATGCTTACACCTCACTCTGTCAATCCCTGGGTAAGGAGGAGCAATTCCTGTGTAGAGAAACGTCCGGCCATTGAGGGTTGGCAGAGCAAGAGGTATCGTAGAAGCAGGCAGGAGTCTCCTTCCTTGCACCCTCCAGCACAGTGGTTGCCAACCAGTGGGCCAGGGACCACTGGTGGTCCGCGAGAAAATTTTGATGGTCCGCAGAGAAATGTCACTCCCAAAGCAATTAATCCGGGCTCCACAGGAACACAAGGCTGCGCCACTCACATGGCCCATGAGAACACAAGGCTTGTGTCGCTTGCATTGCGAACAACATGAGGTAGTGAGGGGAGGGGGGAAAGGACGGAGGGGGGAATTTGCCCCACTCGCCCCACGCGCCTGGCCTGGCCACTGGACTGCTTCTTTCCACTTCTTTCTTCTGCTTTTGGCTGCACGTAAGGAAAGCAGCCAAAGTCTTTCTTTCTCTCCCCCAAACTCTGCCAGAAATGAGTCTTTGGGACCCTGCAAGGCCTCCTGCTCCAAGAGGCTGCACCGGCAAAGACTCATTTCTGGTGGAGTTTGGGGGGAGAGAAAGAAAGACTTCTGCTGCTTCTGCTGCTTTCCTTGCATGAAGCCCAAAGTCTCTCTCCCCCCCCACCCTGAAAACGGAGCTGGAGACGGTATCCTGTGATCCCAAAGAATGTTCAGTAGGAAAACGGGGTGGGGAATTTTCCTGCAGACCTTTTTGGGGATTTTCCCAGTGTCTCCGGTCCATGGGATTTAAAATTATGAGTTTGGTGGTCCCTGAGGTTGGCAACCCCTGCTCCAGCAAATATGTCTCTTATAACACAATAATGTAACACAAAGAAACATTATAACATAAATACATTTAATGGGTTAGAGTGTTCCATCCAGTGACTACTGTAAGCCAAAGCCGTGGATGTGTATCCAGGTGTACAGGAGGTGGAGGTCAGCTTTTGTAAGAAGGGCAGTGTGATGACCCAAAGGGGCATTGCACAACAGCAACAAAGTCACAACAGTAGGTAAAGTCCCTTTAATACCTCCAACTTGGCCTCCAATGTCCAGTTATCGCCTGGAGAAAAAAACTCTCCCAAGAACAGGGAAGAAATTCAGTCCGACGCCAAAGTACATATAAATTATAAATAAAAACCAATACAAACCACACTGCAGCAATTAACGACACAGGGCAGGATAAGGAATTGCAAACTTCACAAGATAATGAAACACACACAATTGGGAGGATGCCAGAACCCAGATAAGACTTGACAAAGATCATTCACGCTTTGCTTCCAGCAAGGTGCTGTGCGCAAACACCCTTTTTAAATCCTGTTTTCCCAGCTGCAGCTGATGAAGGAAATCAGGGCCCTTTTCTCCCCCGTAACCCATGCAACTCATGTTGCTCCCTTCTCCACTCCTCCCTGCGTGCCCTAGGATGAAGAGGGGGTGGCCTTGGGTCTTCCTCTGAAGGCCCAGCCAGACTGTGCCCTTCCCCCGTTTCTTCCACAGCCTCCGGAGACACACTCCCCTTCCCTGTCAGCTGCTTGGCCTCCCCCTCGGAATCAGACTCCAGCAGGGCCATGACAGGCAGGCACCCAGAGCAGCTCTCCAGGAAGGAGTGGAGGCTAACAACTCATCAATCTCAAAGAAGTCGTTTCAAGGCCCAAAGTCCAACCCTCCTTCACTCGGGTCTCATACGGCCACCTGGGCTGCTTCTGTGGATAGTTTGCGGGGAGCAGCTTGCAGTTGTGAGTTTAGGCACTTTTCAGAAACTGTCTCCTATACAGAGTGACTTTCCCGTGAGTTTCTCTTCCCGTGAGAAACGTCTCACTGCTTCTTGGAAGAAATTCCCTGGTGTTGAAGAGCCAAGAGTGCTCTCTTTCCAGGACCCCTTAAGAGGGGAGATGGTTGAGAATTATTCTGGCCTGTGGAGACGAAGCTTAACTCCTTCGGTCGCATGGTTCTCCTCCTGGGGAGCACAAGGGACTTTCTCCTTCCAGCGTAGGTTGTCATGAAAGACCCGTTCACTCTGGATAACTTTGGCAGGCTGGATGGGTAACGACCCTGAAAGCCAAGGATGAATTAGTAGCCTCCAAGCCATTCGTGCATTTCTCCAAGCAAATGAGCCCAAATTATCTGCTGTCATTTCTCTCTCTTGGGGCTAACCAGCGCCCACCTAAAGCATTGGCACCCGGAGCATTTTGCTTCAGCCACAGGCAAAGGCAGAGCCGCGGAGTATCAATGCCCGGTGCTCACCGAAAGCTCAGCCGAACATCAGCGAAGATGGTGGGGGAGCAGCAGGGGCCTTTCACGATGCCAGGCTATTCTTGGACCAAACCATGAGTAATTCTCTGGCCTGGGCTTGACCAGTTTTCTGCCCTTGAATTCTCCCCTTGGCCCTTCTCTCCTCTTTGATGGTCTTTCTGAAAGAAAGCAAGGATCGCCCACCTGTTCTCATCAGCGATGGAGGCCTGGTGTTCCCACCCTGGGACACAATATAATTTTACTCTTTTATTCATTTAGAGTTTTAATTTCTGCCTTATTTTGTTAATACTGTACTTACTGAAATTTTTTCAGAGGTTTTTGGTTGCTACTATAACTCCTTTGCAGTGAGAAGTAAAAGGTAATTTGTAAGAAAACAGGTATTTTTAAAATATGCAGTGCTGCCTATGTATGTTACTTTACAGGATCCATTGATTTGCTGCAATTTGTTTGTTTATGGTTCTTTTTCATTCTCAGCTTTTTACAAAACCACATCCTTCCAGAAATGCTGTGAGCCTGAGGAAACACTCAATGGGGAAAAACAGCGTCCTTTTTCCTTCTCCGGCTCTCTCCGTCAGTAATCTGTATAATCTGAAACCGTCATCGGTTATTCCCAAAGGTATATAGACCTCATAAATGGTGCACAAAGAACATTATAGCACCTGGTCCAGGGCCCTTTCTTTTGGCACACAGAGCAGTTTCTAAGAGGGGAATTAGGGGAGAAAGAGAATTCTAGACATTAGATGGCACAAAACTTTCTGGGACAAATTCAAGTAGCAGATTTCCTCTCCCCACTTTAAAATGTGTTCTGAAGTTGTTTTATTTCTCTTCTGTAGAGGCACCACATGGGCCTGTGGGTCATATCGTATGTACAGAAAGGGGGATTTTGGCTGTGGAGAAGAAAAGTCTGTTGCTTCCTCCGCTGTGGAATAAAACCTTTTGCTGGGGATTCAGTGACTTCACCTGCTGCCTGGCTGATTCTGGATCAGACAAGGTAAGGATGAACTACAGGTTGGGCCGCTCAGCGATGAGCAGGCCGATCCCTCCCTCCATCCGTGGGGTGCATTCCACCATTTGTCCCTGTCTCGCCTCCTCTTCTGCCAGAGGGAACATGCCTTAGGTCCACCCACAGGTGGAAAGGTCTGCAGAACTCAGCAAGTGCACCAAAAGTTCTTGAACAAAATCATCAATATAGTTGTCTGCAACTTATATTGGACGGAAAGGCAAGACATAATTAAAAGTAATAATAACTTCAATCTGGATCTTTCTCTTTGTACTTGAATACATTACATACAGGAGACCGTGTCATTCGCTTTCTGCAGCGTCGTTTCTCCTCGTGTGCAAAACATAGATGAGTAACGTCAGTTAGTGTTTAAACAATGTGCAAAAGTTACGGCCACAATTTTATAGGGGGGATTGTGTGGGGCAAAGAGCAGAGTGGCAGCTCCTTCTCTCATCAGCTTTTCCTGCCAGAGAGTCCTGTCAATCACTGTTCTGACTATATTAACATCTACATAATAAAAATACGCATTTGATTACATTCGGTCTGAGCCTCCCTTAAAATGTTGGGGTGCTGCCCTCTCTTTCCACCCATGTTCTTTCTTCTTCCACTTCCTGAACTAAACCGTGGTTGATACAAGGATCGAGGGTCATTCTCTGACTTCTTTGCCATTAAAGGAAGCCAGAAATTTCCCGAAAGGACTTCATGCTTTCTTAGAATTTGTCAGATGTCGCAGTAATTAAAATCGCCTGGGACTTTGATTTCATACCTCTTGGGAAGCCCGGCTGTTCTCCTTCGGAAGAATTCAGCAGCATTTCATTTTTATTTGTGCCTCCATTCATTTCAGGGGTAGGGGGTGATGGAGGGTGCCTTGGCCCCACCCAGCATGGCCTCCTCCTCCTCCTCTTCTCCCCTCCTGAGCAACGCTCTGGGCCAGGGGAGCCAGCAGGGAAGTGGGGGGGGAGGGATGGTGGTTCTCCTGGGGGTCAGAAGCCCAAAAGAGAAGCTGGCGTTAAATGCTGAAATGAAGGCAAGTTACGAGAAGTTAACTGGATGAGTGAAAAATCTCCTCCCCTCGTTCAGCAGCGCAGGTGAGATAGATGCCCTTTTTCAGGTTAATAAGCAACAGGAAACATTCCGAGTATATTTTGAAAGGAATATATTCATTATTATGAATTCACTAGTATTGGTTAATACTATAAATTGTTTGTTGGTCTCTCGCTAGTGTTTGAGACTTGGACAAAGAAGCCGTTATCAGTGGAGGCTGCAGAAGGAAAGCATAGACTTTACATTCAGAAATAATTTGGTAGACCACATTTTACAGAAGACCTGGCAAAAAAACAGTAATAAATTGTTTCAAAATTCGTATTTGCTTTTCAACTGTTTTGTATTTCTTTTTTTAAAGCCTTAACTCAATTAAAATTCCACATAAATATAAAAGCGTGTCAGGATGCGTGCCTGTAAGCGTTGCCTCCATTTCACTGCCCCTCCCTCTTCCCTCTTCTCTGCTCCCCTCCGTGGCCCACGCAGAAGGTGGCTGTCCTGGAGGCTCCGGCTGACTGGGGCGACTGCCTCTGCGCTGTGTCTCCCACACCCAGCAGCCTCATCACGTCCGGAAGCAGCGCCGTGGTGTGTGTCTGGGACCTCTGCAGGAGCCCAACGGGGCCCCCGGCCTTACTTCTGAAGCAGGTGGGTCTTAGAAGTTTCACTGGCTTGATTAGTTCCGGTGTCTTCTGCACGTACAGTCATGGATTAAATGTGGCCTGTTATGAAGACGAACGATGCTGGCGAGGCAACCAAGACCTGGCTTAGTGGAGTGGCCGATAGGAAGGCAATTGTGTGAAGCGGGTTCCGGCAAAGAAGATTCTGCATCGTTGCAGAAGAAAGCCAGATAGGTAGCTGGCCCAGCCCAGGTGTTCTTCAGCCAGGGGGAGCCGCTTTCCAGGGGCACTGCTGGAACCCAGGCGGCGGCTGCTGCTGCTGCGCTTCCATAAGACCCTCCAGGGGCCGTTTGGATGACTCTGGCCGTTCGGCCTTCAGCAGTTGCCAAAGAAGGTTTCCTTGGACTTTCTGCACCCGCCCATCAGTGGAGGGAGGACTGTGTGTGAAAACTAAGGAGGGATCATGGGCCTCGTGCAAGCGGGTGTGTGTGTGTGTGTGTGTGTGTGTGTGTGTGTCCTTGTGCATCAGGGAGGAGCGCCTTATTTCATCCACCTGACTTACACGGCCACTCCTCTCCCTTGTAGGTGACCCTGGAGGGCCTTCCACTGTACTTGGGTTTCTCCGCAGGGCACCTGGCAGGGCCCGTGATCCTGCAGCTCAGGCTCTGCCTTGGGACTCGCTCCCACTCCCCTCTCCTCTGTGTGTGTGTGTGTGTGTGTGTGTGCTCACTGCCTGCCTTGCTCCCCAGCCTCTGTATGGACACACGCAGCCAGTGACCTGCCTGGCCGCCTCCACGGCCTTTGGCCTCCTGGTGAGCGGCTCTGCGGACGGATCCTGCCTCTTCTGGGACCTGAACCAGCTGAGGTGCCTCACCCGGCTTCCTGCACAGGAGGCCGGCCTCTCGGCGGTTGCCATCAATGATTCCACGGTAAGGCCTTCATCCATCACCCTCCTCCTGACAGAGCCACTTTGAACGTTTCATGATGGCTTAATGGGAGCTCTTCTCCGTGAGAAACCATTCCGAGGCGCGACCGATTGATTTTCTCTCTCTTTTTACTGAGGTTTTTAATAGGATCCTGGATGTTGAGAGGGGCACTAAAAGCAATTTCTGAGTCAGAGCGGAGGAGGAGGGGGGGGGGGGCTGTTACCCCTGAGGGCGTTCGGCTTTTGAGAGCGTTTGCCCTCTGGTGTGTTCGGCTGCATGCAGCCCTCCAGAGGCCACGGTTGGGTGCCAGTGGGTGAAGGAGCAGAAGTCTCCCCCCCACCCCCAGGGTTCCCTCCCATTGTCTGCATCGTCCAGGTTCCTCTTGGGAGACGAAAGTCCCCTCCTAGTTGCTAGTGCCTGGAAAGCAGCAGAGACTCCCAGAGAAATGCGTGAGTTGAAGCGGGGAAACGTACTTGCGGGGAAGTGATTGGGGTGGATAAAACCAGTGAAGATCGAGGCAGAGGCTTTGGAGCTGGGAAGGAGCCAAAAGGGGAAGGATTGGCCCACTAGTCCTCCCTTCCATCCATCGGACCTCTCACTCCCTATCAACAACGACGGGGACCGACCTTGGAGGAAGGAGCCAAATCAGTCCCAAACTCTGCCACCCAGCCCCAGTTTCAAACCCCACAGCCTGCCCCCCAAAGGACGTCCTAGTCAATGACATCAAAGGCTGCTAAGAGGCCAAGGAGAACGGGGACAGGTGCGGTGTGGGCCCCCCCCCATCCCGCTCTCGCCAGGGGCCACCAAGGCTGTTCCTGTCCCACACCTGGACCCGAATCCTGACTGGAAGGGACTCGGGGTTTCATCCAAGGCCCCCGAAGCAGCCATGCACCCCGCTTCCCGCACCCCCTTCCCTGAAAGGGGCAGGCTGGGTTCACGTGGAGTTCTTCCTTTGGGGGCAACCTCTCCTCTGTGTCCCCTGCCTGGGCTCCTCCCGCATGACCCAGCCCTCTCTCCCGCCTGCGGGCAGGCTGGCCGCCTGGCCTTCTGTGCGCGATGGAGAGGCCTGAGCTGCTTGGGGGCCTTTTGCAGGGCGAGGTGGCTTCGTGCGCTGGAGAGACCCTGAGCCTCTGGACCGTCAACGGGCAGCCCCTGGCCAAAGGAAGGGCCCCCTTAAGGCCCGGAGGGAGCCTCTCCTGCTGCTGCTTCTTCGAGGTGAAGGACTGGGACGCACAGGGTCTCCTTGTCACGGGGGACACAGGTGGCTGCGTGCAGGTAGGACCCTCCAAGGGGCGGGAGAAAGGCCCCCCCCTCTCCAGGAACGCCCTGTTCTGTCCCAGGAGCAGAGATGGCGTCCGCCTGTGTGGGAGGGGAGCACAGCAGGGGCAGCTCCTCAGAAGGCCTGGACAAGGGCACCTTCTTCCCTGTCGCTCTCCTCTTCTTTAGGTGGGGAGGGGCTGCGGGGGGGGGGGGCTGGGGGTTCTGAAACCAAAGATGACCTGGAGACGCTGCTGTCTCTGTGGGGAGACCGGATGGAGCGTTCTTCCTCCTCCTCCTCCTCCTCCCCAGTGGGGGGCTTGCTTTCAGCCCACCAAGGCCGTGTTGGGAGGGGGGGCCGCCCCCCCAGTTCCAGTCGGTCGGGCGGGGCTCCTCCTCCAAGTGCCAGGTGGGGAGCCCTGGTGGTCTGACCAATGACTCTCCCAAAAGAGCCCACCCACCCTTTTGAGTAGAACCGCTCAGGAGGATGCAGAGTTTTGCCCTTGAAATTCCACACAATGGCACGTTCTCAGCCTGCGTTGCGTTTCCTTCTACTAACTCACGGAATTGGTTTAAAATCGGGAAGGTATTTTAAGTGTTTCTGATTTATCGGGAAGGAGTTTTTGAAGAAACCAGGCAAGGCCGCCCTGGCAGCATCCCTGCCCTGATCAGGGAAAGGTGCAGAGGCCCACCTGCCAGACCCCCCACCCCACCCAGCTGAAATCCGGGGGGGGGGGCTTTCTTTTGCTGAACTCTTATTTTAAAGGACAGGCATGAAGACCGCAATGGGGGTCTCCCTCCGAGGGCTGCGTGTGTTTGGAATCCAAGCCTCATGGGGTGGGGAATCAGGTTTCCTTCAGGGCCCTTCTCTGTCCTCCATCTTCAGAGCACAGGTAGTCCTTGACTTATGGCCATAATTGGGACCAGAGTTCCTCTTGCTAAGCGAGGTGGCTGTTAAGTGAGCCATGCCTCATTTTATGACTTTTTTGTGATTCTCTGCAGTTGTAAAATGAATCACCCAGTCATTAAGCAAGTCCGTCTTCCCCTGTTGGCTTGGCTTGCTGGAAGCCGGCCAGGAAGGTCACAAAAAGTGACCCGGGGGGCTGCAGCCGTCATAAATGCATGACAAGCATCTGAATTGCGATTACGTGACTGTGGCCATAAGTGTGAGGACCAATTGCAAATCACTTTTTTCAATGCTGTTCAAACGGTCACTAAACAAATGGCTCTAAGCCGGGGGATTCCCCCAAGTGCTTTTAGCTAACTTAACCCTTTTCTTCCCTCCCGCCTAGCAGTGTTTAAAAGTGGCCTTCAGCAGCTCCCAGTCCTCCCGGCTGACACAATTCACCAACTGAGAATTAACATCTATTCAGGTTTATGGAAAGGTTTATGCCCCGGATTGGCACTTGTGACCGGTTTTCCTGGACGTTTCAGGTCTGGAAGCTCGACGCCGCTTCCCCAGAGAGGCCGGGAGAGGAGCCGGTGGGCGAACAGGCCGGCAAGCGCCAAGCCCAGCAGGGTAAGGGCACAAACCAGGCGCGGGAAGCTTAGCGGGAGAGGAGAGGGCTGCCGGCCTGCAAGCGGCCAGCAGGGGGCTCCCTCGGCCTAGGTTTCGCCCACTCCGCGCCAAGGGAAAGGCTGGGGGGGGGGCGGGGGGAGGCAGCGGCCTCAAGCAAGGCCCCGCAGACGCAACCGGGACTGCTGGGTCTGGGCGGTCGCCTATTTAAGACGCATGCGCACGCCTGTTTGGGAGCTGATCGCGCCCGTTCCAGCAAGCAATTCCTCCCCCCTCCGCAAGGCAAATGTGCACACCACAACACGTGAATGAACGAACATAGATGGTCAGCTGGAGATTCATGGGGAAAAATCTATCTGTGTGGTTGCCAAGAGTTGCCCCCGACACGTAGCCATCAATGGCGGCGGTTCATGTTTGCGGCCCAAGTTCAGCCCCTGTTCAGAAGAGGCTCATTTCCTCAGCTGCGTAGCATCTACAGAAGGTTTAGGATCGGCTCAGCCGGGGAGCAGCGGTCAGCCGGGCCTCTGCCTTGCCTCGCTGCGGAGACCACCCGTTCTTAACGGGCCTCCAATCCAAAGATGGCGCGGGTGCATCTTTGAATAGCAAGCAGGCCTCATCCAAGCAAGGTGGCCTTGCGGGATTTGCAGCAGCCGCGGCCGCAGCCGGACATCCACCCCTCTGTTTTGCAACACTGGAAAGAGGATGGTCCTAAACAGGAGCACTAAATATAAAGCTGAAGTAACCATGATTGAATTACATTATTTGCACAGTATTCTTGGCATTTAATTACTGATTGTTCAAGGAGCAGATTTAGGTAGGTTGACAATAACCAGGACTTTAGGCAATGTGTTTTAACCGGGCAATTATGGGCTGCATCATAACCTGACAGCCAGGGATTCTGGGACAGCTTCTTAAGCCCTGAAACAGTCAGGGCTGACGAAGAATTCTGCTGAAGTAGGCACGCAATTTAGAAAGCAATAATACACAAATCCAATTTGGCCACAATTGACACAGCCCCCGTCAGCACCCGTATCACGGGCTGAAGATTCAACCGGGACCGGCCGGCCCTTCTGGCAGCCACGCAGGCGGGGATGAAACACGTTGCTTCTCTGGTTAACGGGTTATAAATCACAGTATCTTCTCATCTCCAAAATGACCCCCCCCTCATTTCACGTTCCCTTCCCATCCTCCCGGCAGGCGGCCGAGCGGAGAAAGCGGCCTTTGTCCTGCACCGAGAGCTGCTGCTTCCCACGAGCCCCGCGGAGGGAGCCCAGCGACCCGCCTCGCCCGTCACAGCCCTGGCGGCGTCCAGGTAAGCCTTCCCCCTGCAGTACCCGCTCAGCTCGCTAGAGGGCAGGCGAGCTGCACCCTCAGCGGCTCCGGCGGGGAAGCCGCTGGTGTTTCTCCCCAGCCGGCCGCAAGTGGGAAGGGGGGGCTGCCCAGTAGGGCCTAGCCAGCCCCCCCCCCCCCCCCCAGAGCCTCCCCCCCTCCCCGAGTGTTTCCCCTTTATGGGAACAGCCCACAGCAGCCATTCGACGGCCCCGTCGTCTCCCGCAGTTTGGGTAAGAATAGGGAAGGAGCCGAGGGGGTCCACCCAGGGCCTCCCGTGGCCTCTTGCAGCAAGCAAGAAGATGCCCCTCTGACGGGTGAGAGAAACCCGCCCCGAGCGGGAGGCCTTTAAGCCTTGCTGCCTTTTTAGCTGAAAAGCAAAATGGGGGTTTTAGAGCAGGAGGAGAACTACGGTTGAACTTCGCAATGGAGTCAATCGGCCGGCAAGCCCAGCTCCCACCTCTTCTTGACCCGCTTAACGGATGCATCCGGCCACCCGTCTCACAGAACGTGGCTTTGAGCGGAGGCCTTGGCCGGGCCCTCCAGGGGGAAGGAGCCTCTCCCGCCCGGCCTTCTGGAAAGCAGGGCAGCCCCTGCGGGGAGCCAAGGCGGAGGGGAGAGGCCGGCTCCTTCCAGCGGCCCAGCGGCCTTCGGATCCCCAGGGACCCTCTGGAGGGGACGGAGAAATCTGCTTCCACCTAGCAGGGATCTCTGCCATCATAGGGAAAATAACGACAGAGATATTGTGAGGTTGTGGTGATTTTTGAATTTTTATGTGTATGCTTAAGCCTAACAATTGGTCTCTGGTATTTATTTTCTGTTTATAATTTTTCATTATCTTTCCCCAGTCTAGCCTGTAACCTGATTTAGACCTGATTTCAAATGCTAAACAGAACTGGCCTTATTTAGCCTTTTCAAAATCAATCAGCTATCTCCAAATTAAGGCATAAAGTGTTACTTGACCTAAAGGGAACCCCTTTAGAACGCAACCACGTCCTACTGTACAGTTTCCATTCTAGGAGCCACAGCCCCCAAATTATCTGAGCCTACTAGTTTCTTCTTAAATGCAAATATGCTATCAACACAAAGCAAAACAACTCCCAAAAGGTGATCCTGGTAGCCTGGAAGTCCTTGACCACAGTCAGGGTGAAAACAGTTTTTCAAAAAAACACAAATGGCCTGTGATATTATGAGACCTCATGAAAACACCAGAATGCAAACACAATACTCTCCTGTAAAGTCGGGAGTCCCCCATTTCTACAGAAAGGTTAGCGCCTCTGAGCTGCATCTCTGGTTAACCTCTTACCAAATAAGTATTTTCAAGATGGACTGGATTAGAATATATGACTAAGTATTGAAGAACAGAGGGGAGATACTACAATCTAAAGATTATTTCAGCTAGTATTTCTTCCAAAGCTGCTCCAGAGGTTTTCAAATATGGATCTGACTTTAAAATGTCATGGATGGCATCGTCCTCCCATTGTAGTAATGATTTTGGGCAGAAGCGTCCCAGGCGATTGCAGTGCTCTCAGCCATATTACTCCTAAAATTCTTTTTTTTTCTCTTCTGTCTCTACTTCCTCCCTAGGAATTATTCCAAGCTTCTGGCTGGCAATGAGGACGGGAAGATCATCTGTTGGTCAATTGATGAGTAGAAGGAAGAAGTACGGCGTAAATTTAAATCCCAGCAAAAGCTCCTTAGCCGAGTCAAGGATGGGATGGATCTGACTCACCTTAGTCGAGAAATGATTACCTTGGGTAGGGCAGGTGGGAGAAATGTTCAGGACTATTTGGCCCCAAAGCCTCTCCTCTGGGGCCTTGCCAGGCTGAGATAGCAAGTTCCCCCTGGAGTTTTCAGAAGGGCCCAGGCCCAGGGGATCTGGGGGGCCGATTTCTCCGGTGATGAACTGGCAACTGAGACAGGGGCGAAAATTCTCCGATCTTTGAGAGCCTCTTTCTGCCCTCCCCAGCACCAAGGAACAAATTAATCTATGAAAATGCTCAGCTCAACTAGTATTACCTAAATATTATTGAATAACGCTGGGTCTTATTTATTATCAATATTTTTGCTTTCCTGAAACTTTAGCAATGGAGGATTAAGTTTCACAGGATTCATCCTGATATCTGAATTTCTGGCAGTTTCTTTTGTCCCTCCCTTAAAAAAAAAAAAAAGGCCACACAACCACAGATGTTGACTGAGACCCTGCTGAGTTTGTGTGGAGGAATTAAAGTTTTCCACTCGGCCTTTTTTCTTCTTCTGACTAATAGCAACCAGAGTGGCTGCTCTGCTTGCCCAGGAGCCGGTCTGAGTTGACTCCGGTCTCCTGGACCAGAAGCAGGAACCAAACTGAATTGCACCAGAATGGTTCTTGGGAAGGATGAGAGAGAGACGGGAAAGCCACCCTTGGGGTTCTGGGGTTGCCCCTACTTCGGTCTTGACCTTTCCATTTCTCTGCCCAGCCAAGCCCACTTCAGCTCCCAGGGGTAGCTGCACCTCCGTTTAGCGCTGGATGCGGTGCTTTTCCCTGGGAGATTCTCGGTAGAGGCTGCGCGGTTGCTATTTTGGCTATGGAAAATAAACTGAGCTCACCAAGTCTGATCTGGGCAGCCTGTAGATGACCGGATGGCCTTGTCAGCAAAAAGAAGGTTGAACGACAACTGTTCATTGCGATAGTCCACAGAAGGGAAAGCCAACGGGGGCTCCTTCTGCCACCCAGGCACCCCAGAGGCCCAGAGAAGAAGCCAGGCTGCGACCTCACCTCAAGGGGCCGCCCGATATGCATCGTGTTGGGGGGGGGGGGGGGGTTTGTTTGTTTTTAATCTCTGGCCCCTGGTGCGGATTTGGGCTGTGGCCATGAGGCGTCTCTCTGCAGTCCTCCCGCAGGCAGGTGTCCAGCTTGATCCTTAGACTTCCAGCAAGGCTCCTGTGTCAGAAGTCAGGGACACTCCTGCAGGTTGTGCCTGCCTCTTCCCCCCCCCCCCCCCCCCCCGCCCTTTGTCCTGGGTCCCCGGCTGCATTCTCGCATTAGCTCACTCCGGGCCTCCTTGCTGGATCTCCCTGGAGCCCTGCTGAGACAGTGGTGGCCCTGGGAGCCCCCTCGACTCCGTCTCCCCATGGAGGACTGGGAGGCCAAGCGTGGCAGCTGCCAGCTGGTCCCTGCTTTCCTGGCTGTTCTTCTGGAGCGGGACAAGGGCTGATCAGCCAGCCAACCAGCCAGCCGCTGACCTGCATCCTTCCACAGCTGCCCGGGGTTACTTAGCCTCTCCTCCCTCCGCCTGGAAATCCGGTTGGTCGGGTGGTGGTCTTGGCCTGTGAGTGGAATGCAGATTGGCTCCTTTGCCTCTCTCTCTCTCTCTCTCTCAGCGTTTGTGTGTGTCACGGCCTGAGCTGTGATCAGTGGGAGTCGGGCTGGGGGAAATCTACTGGAGCCTGCCTAATTGTCCCAAACACAACGGTTCACTAGAGTGGAAAATAGTTTCCATCTATCTAAGTGAAGAAGATAATGACCTTTTAAATAACAGAAGCAATTTGATCTCAATACCGCAATTACTGTGAACTCTCAAAATGCCAAAGTGCTGGGCACTTTCAAAATAACTTAATTTAGACATTTATAGCTCTTAGACACTGCTAGTTTCTTATCTAACCTAATTATGGGTTGTTCAGGAAATGGCAGAGCATGCCAATTAATGTTATTTTTTATAGAGAGAGATAGGAAGGCCTTTGGCTCCCTCCTGCAGGCAGGAGCTGCCCTCCTTGGCCGGCTCTTCTTCCAGCCCCGCCACTGAGGGGGCAGCCGAGCTGGGTAGTTGGAAGACAGGCACAGATCCCCCCAAAACAGGCTTTGGTGTCTGCGAGAAGACAGCCGCCCCCTGTCCGCGTGTCCTTGTGGCAGCTGGATCCTCTGCCGGATGGAGGAGCAGCAGGAGGAGGAGGAGCACCAGGTGCAGAAGCCGAGCGTGGCCGCCCCCTGCGGGCAAACTGGCCTTTCCAAAGGAGGGTGGGGAGGGGCCATGGCTAGGACAGCCAGGAGTCACTTCCCACATTGCACCTGGAAGGTAAATGTTATTAGTAGATGCCCTGCCCAGCGCCCCTGAGAAACACCCCTCTGGCTCTGGGGGCAGGAGGGCTGCCTGCTTCTGCCAGTGGGGAAACCAGAGCTCTGCTCTTTGCACCGAAAAGGCACCGACTGCAGCTGGTGGTTGATGATGCCTCTGGGTCAAAGAGATTCCTCCTGCCTTGGCCAGGAGTGTAAAGGCCGGGAGCTCCCGGGGCCTTACAGCAGCTAAAGAATGCAGGCCTCACCCCCCCACTCCCGAATTAGGAGACCAGGTGAGGGCCAGACTGGGTGCAGCCCTCTACTTCCAGGCCTAATATTGGGGGGGGGGGGGTCCTGGTTGGTCGGTCAGCAGCACCTCAGCCCTAATTGTCCTGCCATTGGACGTGAAGGGAGAACCAGAAGAGAAAACGGAGTTGGTGTCTGGAGAGGCCACGTTGCCATCTCCACCACCCTTTTAACCCCCTTCCCGCTTTCCTTGCCTCCAACAGCTGGGTCCTTTTGAATCCCAGGTGTGGATGGGAGCAAAGGAGAGCCTGTGCTGTGGGAGGCCCGTGCCTTGACTAACCACCTTCTTGCTTGAGCTGACATGCTGAGTTGATGTCCGACTTCCGGTTCTGGGGAATCTTTTCCTCTGAATTCATGGCATCCCACCTCAGATTCGCACGTTGTGCAATGCTCCTATTGATTGAGAGTTTTATTTTGCAAATCATGCTGTCTGAATGGGGGCGCCTCGTCTCCCTTGTTTACCATGGGCACTTTATTTATGGACTGGGCTTGCCAAACTCCTTGCAAGTGGCTGGCCCTCCCCTCAGGGAGCCCCCCTCCCCCAGAGGCCAGGTAGAATGGATTCCTCCTTCTTAGCAAACGGCAAGAAACGTTTCTTTGGCCAGGACTCCTGTGGCCACTTACCTGATTTAAGAAGCCATTACCATCCGGCCAACGTTAACAACTGGTGATCGGTGTCCACTATTCTATATTTAGACAAGCTGGGGAAGATGGTGGTGCAGCAACAGAACTAACGTGGATAAAATAGATTATGTCAAATCTTTCTACCAATTTTTACACCCGCATTTTGCACAGACACGGCTTTGGCCCTAAGATGAATGGCCTTTCCCTGGAAGGAGATAGGAAACGTGGCCCTGTTGAGATTTCTAGCGTTTGGATTGGCCGCCTTGCTGGAGCAGGTGAAAGGTGTCAGAGGTGCAACTTCCTAGCTTAACCTCTCCGGGGTGGGGCTTCCCTTAGCCGAGGCGCAGCCATTTGTCTCCCTCTTGTTTAACCCCTGTGGGACTTTTCTGGGGAGGCCACTTCACCTGCACAGAGCTGGTGGCCTCCATCCAGAGATGACCCCGGACGTCCTTCCTGGGAGCTCCGAATTCGGTGTCCTCAAAGCCAGAAGGCATCTTGAAGTGGTCCAGGGGCTGCCTGTACAAGAATGATCAAGTATGGTATTACGAGACACCAACCCAACTATCACTCAGTCTGTGAAGATACCACAGACCCTTCAGAATGTGATTTTACTGGCAAAACATTACCTAAAATGATCCTATTTTGAGATAGGGGCTAAACAGAGTTCCCAGAGAGTTTTGCCTTGGTTTCTACAGCCAGCTGGGGCCTTGGCTTGATCTGATCAATCAGTCCCTAAATGCTGAAAAGTTCTCTGCCTCCCCATCTTCTCTTCTCCTTCACGCTGGCCTTTATATGCGCAAAAATACCCAGCCTTTTTTGCATTATTTTTATAGCTGATTTTATCCATAATAAATGATTAGGATCAACAATCTGAGAGGACAGGTCCAATTTATTGTTAGGTTTCTTGCAGAATCCTATCCTTGCTCATGGTATCGACTATTATACTACAAATAGTATAATTATGCCCATTTTGAATGGGTATAATTCACTCCTTAGATATATAATATGGGAAAACTATATCAACATTGACAAGGAAAATAAACTCCACATTTAACTGGGTTAATTCTGAATCCTGTTTCATAAGATACTAGCTTGCTGTAAGTTAATAGAGGCAACCCTAAGGAGACTATTATTACAGTTATCTAATAAATGAATAAATACACTTACATCGACCTCAAAATGGCTCCCACGCCTAACGAACCTATTAGACAGTCGCACCACAGCGTAGTTTTTATGGCAGGGATACCTCCTGTCTCCCACAGTGCGCGCACACACTTGTAAGTGGACATACTGATGTGATTGAGGATGTTTGCAGATGGCGGTAAAATTTAATGTGGAAGAACAGGACGCATTTAGCGGTAAAAGAGGTCCAAGGCTGAACTCGCTCAACGGCGGGACACGCAAGACTAACCATAAAGGCCGGAGTGGGAGCGAAAGGATGGGCAGAAGCCGCACAACGCAGCCGTCCCGCCGACGGCTGAGCTCGCCTAGAGGAGCCCCCCCGCCCCCGCCCCCCCCCAATCTAGTCTGCCTGAGGCTGTTTAAACACGCGGCTGGGGTTTTTCTGGGGGCCAGAAGGACTGGAGGGTCCCTGTGGGCGGAGCCTGGTCCCACTTCCACACGGGGCCAGCCATCGCACAACTTGGCCGGAGGAGGGAGAGGGGTCGCCTGCCCGGCCTGGGCTTGAGTGCAGCCTGGGAGCAAGGCAGGGGGGCTCTGCCGCCGCCTTCTCACCTGACCCCTGACTTGGCCCTTCTCCCCCCCCCCCCCCCCCCCCCCCCCCCCCGCCCCCCCCAGGTCGAAGCAAGACTCCCCCCTCCCGCGCTCGACCCCACCCCCATGGGGGCCGTGCTGACATCAGACACGAGATTGGTTGAATCCTGTTTCTGTTCCCTCCCACTTCAGCGTGTGATTGGCTGATGGGAAAAACACCCACCAAAGGTGGTTCAATTCTGCTGATGGCAAAACAGCCTCTCTGTCTGCGTCTTTTTGCCTGTCTCCCCCGCCCCCCCAGCCCCCTTGGAGGAAGGAACCGGCGCGCGGCGTGAAGTAAAGGCAGAGGAGGATTCCCCTAAAAGAACAAAATACCCATTTGGAACCCTACAAAGTTGCGCTGCTCAGAGAAACTTGAACAGAGTAGCTTTTCCATGCAAGAGTCGTTAGCATTGGTGGAAATAAGCATTTTGTCTTGTTCCATTATCTTTCTAAACTCTGATCTTATTAAATTGTTGAGTTGATTATGCGATGGTCTGCTGGACAATGACCACACTGAAGATTTGATTGCTGCATGGCCCAATTATCCTACGCATAAACCGACAGCACACACACACACACACACACACACACACACCCCAGTGTTTTGTCTTCCTGCAGCTCCATCTACCCAAGTTCTCTCCCCCCCACCTCTTTTCCTAGGGCAGGATGCATTTCAAAGCAAAATCTGGGCCATAACTTCTTGCCCTGTTTATTTGCAAAGAATCTGCCTGAAGACTACAAGGACAGCAGAAATATCTCGCTAGCCTCACAAATATTGTTAATTAAATGGTTGAAGTTGGATCATTGTTTGCTGACCCTTAAAATAAGTAAATAGAGTACACTCTGGCATCAGGTACACCTTACCAATAGCTGGATCCTCCTCAACTTACAAAAAAAAAAAAAAAAAAAACCACCTTCCTAAAAAGTGACAGAAACCTGAAGGGCATGTAGGTAACACTTGTAAACAGGGATTTGCAAGCTGAAAGTTGAGCAAGAGACAGTGGCATCTTGAAGGATG